TAGCTCATCCCCACCAGTGTGTGAACGGGTGAATGACTGTGTTGTAAAGCACCTTGGGGGGTTCCAGGACTCTAGAAGGCGCTATATCAAATACAGGCCATTTACCAATTACCATTCGATGCCCTGAATAAGTTTCAGATGGAAGATATTCCCTGTGATGAAGATCAGACCCTGTGGCCAAATCCACAAAACAGTTTGGGCTTTATTAGCTTTTCTTGTATGCTTTGCCAATATTGTGATGAATGTGCCCAGAGGAATCACTCATGATGTACCACTTGTCACCATGTCCCAGTTTTAGTAACTAAACTGCATCCTTTGTACCCTCATCTGCACTGAAATTTTATCCAGAGATAAAATTACTAAATAAGTTAAATAGCTAAAATTGCTAAAATTAACCTACAGAAACAATCAGCTATGTGATCAAAATCAAGCATAAGCTACTCAACAACAGGGATAAGCCATCTTCTTTGTTTTTATTTGAGCGCTGCAGCATCTCTGCTTATGAAAATTAAAATATTGTATTCTGATCTTTGTGTAAAGTTACAGTTAAGTTATATTGCCCTTCAGAGGGATGGGAAGGTGGACAGCTCTGGGGAAGAAGCTGTGCTTCAGCCTGGAGGTTGTGGTCTCACAGTTCCCTTTTCTGGGTGGCAGCAGTACAAACCGTTCATGACCTGGGTGGGAGGGGTCAGCAGCAAAATGACTGTCCTTTTTGTTGTAGACTGTGAGGCTTCCATACCACAGTCAAACAGAGGGTTGTGATGTTCTCAAGCAGCTGAGGAGAGTGGCCGGCCCTCTTCAGTTTCCTAAGGAAGAACGACCTTTGTTGGGCATTCTTCGCCAGAAAGAAGGGGTGAAGTGAGCAGGTCAGGTCCAGGCTGATGTGTAAGCGCAGGAACCCGATGTTGCTCTGTACTTTAGATCTAATGTCATCTTTTGTTCTGTTGGTTGTCCACTGAGGAGGAAAAGGTGGGCCAAACACAGGGTGAGAGCATGAGATTGTGCTATTGGTGACAAACCAGGGCAGCGCTTCTGTGGTTAACTTCAGAGAGAAACCTAAACAAGCGCAGGAAGAATAGTTCAGGCAGTGTCCCAATGTCTCCTGTCCTCTCAGAGACACACTGTCCTCCTCACTTCTGTAAAATAGGTCCGTCATTTAAAATCAGGTTAAAATGAGGATGTTGGACATCCAGTCTTTGCCAACGGTTATTGTCTGTGTTGAATGCATACATCAGACATGGACATAGATACAATGTAAATACTGATGATGCAGATGTGGAAGGTGTCGGTGAGCAGACCCAGAGTCACTCCTTTGAACCAAGATTGTTACAATTGCTCAACGCCAAGTTTCTGACCAATCAGCTGCAGCCGGCTGCTTCACTTTCAGTCAGCAAGAGCTGTGCAGCTTTTGATGTTATGAAGTCACCCTATGCCATTCTCACACAAGAGAAAAAATAAATAAATAAAGCAGCTGTTCTATCAGTGACTTGTTCACATTCAATTCAAAGGTCTAATATAGTGGAATGCATGCAAAAATGATAAGTATGGCGTTATTTCCTAAATCCTAAATCAAATAGGCACAGAAGGATGTTTGCAGCCAATGACCTTCTCAGCAGAGCGCACAGCAGGCTGCATTGTCCTAATGTCCTTGATGGTGGTTCCAGCATACCACAAAGTGATTGAAGAGGTGAGGATGGACTCAATGACTGTGGTGTAGAATTGTACCATCGACTGTTCTGGCAGGTTGAATTTCTTCAGCTGCCTTATAAAGTACATCCTCTGCTGGGCCTTTTTCATGACAGAGGTGATGGTGGTACCCAGGAAGCGGCATGAGTCCACAATTGTGAAGGGAGAGTCAGACAGGGTGTCAGATTTCCTAAAGTCTGTAAACAATCTCTGCTGTCTTCTTGGCATTTAGCACCAGGTTGTTGAGGCTGCACCAGGACACCAGCCATTCAACCTCCTTTCTGTAAGCAGACTGATTGGGGGATTTTTTAAATAGCAGCATCCAAGGGTGAGCACCCAATTAATATTGAGGAATGTGCAGATACAGTGATGAGCTACATCGCAAAGTGTACAGAGGATGTTACTGTATTAAAAAATTATACAGTACGGAGCAACCAAAATCCTTGTACTACTGCAGAGGTTCGTCAGCTTTTAAAGGCCAGAGACACTGCCTTTAGAGGATGGGATAAGGCTGCCCTCCGCTCAGCTACAACAGAGCTCTCTAGTAGTGATGTGCCGGTCGCGAACGAACTGGCTCTAAGAGCCGGCTCTTTGAAGTGAACGACGGGAGCCGGCTCGTCATTGGGAGCCGTCCCTTCCCCTCCCCCCTCCCCCCCTGCCTTGATGAAAGCTACAACATGTGTAACTGCGTGTCCAGACTGTCCACACACAGAGCAGTAGGAGCGGGGAAGAGGGAGGATCAGACTCAGACAGACACACAGCAGAGCACATGCAGGAGGAGGGAGACGAGAGGGAATGAGGAGGAGGAAAAAGGCAAGCGAGAGAGAGGAGAGTGCGACGAAGACGGTGAGAAAATGAGCGCCAGCAGTCGGAAAGTGGAGATTTCTTAAAGTGTTCAGTTATTAAATCCATAGAAATGATAAATATTTGATATATTGCTTTTTTTACATTAGTAAATCATTTTACATATAGTTTAGCATTATTTTGGTTATAAATGTACTCTACACAACAGAAAATCTGAGGAGCCACTTGGGAGCCGAAAGAGCCGGCTCTTTTTGGTGAGCTGAGCTAAAAGAACCGGCTCTCTAAAAAGAGCCGGAATTCCCATCACTATTCTCTAGAGGGATTAGGGCAGCCAAGCAGTGTCGGCTCCAGAATTTTTTTCTGCAGGTGCTATGAAGGAGATAGTCTTTTTATTAAGGGTGCTATGAAGGAAGTGGTCATGCGTAGCTATTGTTCTCTAAAACACCTTCAACACTAGCAGATAAACATGCGTGCACAAAACCTCAACAACACCTGAAACAATCATTAATATAGATCATAAACATATGAACAATTGTTGACTTATCTATGAAATCATAAACACATACAGCCACACAGAAAACCATCTATAGTGTTGCAAGGTTAGCTAATGTTAGTGTTAACATTTCCAGCGGCAAAACCCTCGACTGCTGCGGCGGTTGACGGTTGACTCACTCCATCCAGATCCGTAGGTTCTTGTGGGTTTGAGATCACTTCCAAAGATTCATTCGTTTCTGACTGAACCCGTGGAAATTTGGGCAACTAAAGCTGATCCATTTTACCACTAGCTCTGCCTTTCACTCGTTCGCAGGTGGAAAATGAGGTCAAAGGTTAACATCAATTTCCTGTTTTGGTTTAAGTTTTTATTATCTATATTAGAGCCCTGCACTGGAGCCCAAGGCCTGAGGGTCAGCCTGGCCCGACGGCCCTCAGGCCGGGCTGGACACGGGCTCAGATTTTAGGCCCGTGCAGGGCTCTAATCTATATAATTTACTGATTATTTTTGTTTTGTATGTTAAATATTATCACATCCACACGTTAAATTAAAATTAAATTGTAAAAAAAAATCTATTTACTTGGGGGTGCTATGGGGGTGCAATGACTAATCCAGGGGTAGCTCTAGCGCCCCCCCTGGCGCCGCCACTGCAACCAAGAGAAGGCATGCTGATAAAATCCAGGAGAACATCTGCAGTACAGGGAACACCAGGCAAATGTGGAAGGGGATTCAACAAATGACACAGTAAAAAAAACAGGCAGGGAATCGAGGACAGTGATGCTTCTCTCCCGGACAAACCCAACAAGTTTTTTGCCCGATTCGAAGTAAGGGGGAAGGCACCAGGAGGGGAGAGTAGATGTCCCCCTCCACCTGGTCAGTCCCCAGAGGTCATCAGCCCAGCTAACACCAGGAATATCTTGGCGGAGATTAACCCAAGTAAAGCAGATGGCCCGAACAGCAAAAGCTGGTGGATGTCCTGACAGATTTTTTAACATCTCTCTCTGTCAGTCTAAGGTTCCAGCCTGCTTCAAGACGTCTTTCATCGTTCCTGTGGCTAAGAAGTCTGTTGTGCCTTGTCTAAATGACTTCTGTCCTGTAGCACTGACCTCTACAGTCATGAAGTGTTTTGAATGGTTAGTCAAACCACTCATCACATCCAGTTTACCTGCTCTACTGGGTCCACATCAGCTTGCCTACCGCTCAAACCGTTCCACCGAGGATGCTCTATCCCTCACCTTGCACACAGTACTCACTCACCTGGAGCAGAGGAACTCCTACACTAGTATCCATCCATCCATCCATCCATCCATCCATTTTCATCTGCTTATCCGGAGTCGGGTCGCGGGGGCAGTAGCCCAAGGCGAGAGGCCCATGACTTCTCTCTCCCCAGCCACTTGGGCCAGCTCCTCCGGGGGAATCCCAAGGCGTTCCCTGGCCAGGTGAGAGACATAGTCCCTCCACCGTGTCCTGGGTCTACCTTTAGGTCTCCTCCCAGTTGGACGTGCCCGGAAAACCTCACCAGGGAAGGACCACCCACCTGTAAACAAGAGGTCAGAAGAGCAGTTTAGGAAGCCTCTCACCTCAGAGACTGTGACATCTAGGGGCCTGTCTACTTGTTTATTCTATTTTACTTGATTTTATGTATGTATGGTTTTAATTTAAACAATGTGAAGCACATTGTGTTGTCATGCATGTGTTTTATAAAAAACGTTTGATTGAATTTATAAACATTTTGGTCCCTTGATGACCCCTCAAAATCCTGGATCTTCCATTGAGTCAGTATATTCTAATCTTGTTCTGGCCCTGATGATGCCTAACCATCAGAATTATTGCAACATCTGTTTTACCTCCAGAAAAATGACTTGCAGAGAGGTCAAACAACATAAAGTCAAAACATTTGGAAAGTAAAACAGTAAAAATTGTGTTTCGGGGATGTGAAAATGAAAAACCAAAGAGAAAAATCAGATACCTGCACACACAGAACTAGATGTGCATTAACATGAATTATGTATGAGTGCCTATTGAGCAGCAGCGACATTCGAGTGAGAGAGCTGCAGGTTTAGGAGAGCAGCAGGATTTGGGGTGGCGCGTCTGTCGCTGTGTTGAGCTCATCGGAAGCGTCGGTGTAGAGATGGCAGTAAAACAGTAGCGGACTGCCGGGCCTGTGGGGAACCGAGGACCCGAACGTTCCTGCACCGTTGACTACATGAGGAGCGCACAAGAGCGAGCAAGGTAAACACGGCTGCTTCTCCGTCCCAAGCCTTAACATACCAGCTTACGGCAGGTTTAAGACGGTTTGTGAAACACGTCCTCCATATTCAACCCAACTGTTTGACTGACTAGCTCTGCGTGATGGCGGACAATTAGCCGAGCTGCTAACTAAGTTACTCCGCGAGCCGGTGTTGTGTCGCCTCCGGCTAGCAGACTAGCAGGGTTATCGTTAACTTGGCTAAGCTCACACAAACTGCACGGCTATGTAACAAAAACAAATACGCTTTCAAGTCGTATCTGTGCAAACACACTCACCTGGCTCCTCGGCCACTGCACATGCAGCTAAAGGAACAGTCAGCTAGCATAAAGGTAAACAAAAAACAAAACAAATATAACCAAAATAGCCATTTTAACATCGTAGCTGAGTTAGCTTCTAGCTAGCAAGCGTTAGCTTTTGGTGCAGAGTAACGTCACTGTGTTGTTATAAGTAGTTATTAAATATCTTTTAGATTTCGTTTCATGAGATGTTTGTGCAAAACCACTTCAGCCTGTTAACAGATTGTTTCATACATCTCCTAATGCTAGCAAACACGGTAGGGAAGTAAAGTTAGCAGTTCATGTTTACCCAGATTATATTCATATATCAGTTGTGTGTTATGACCATTAGTTTATACATGACCGCTATCTATGGGGCATTTCTGTTCTTTTATATCGTTTAGTTGCTCGTGTTTACCGAACTTTGTATTCCGTCAACAACACTGGATACCTCTCAACCCATTAAAGGTTTTAACATTTATTATAACTAAACGCGTCGTGTTACATGAGCTGACACAAGCGAACAGAGCAGACATTCTGGTTTTTGTTAAAAACGTTGTCAAGGTTGATCAGCTGAGAACTCTCTTCAACACAACACGGTTTTGACGTGTGTGTGTGTGTGTGTGTGTGTGTGTGTGTGTGTGTGTGTGTGTGTGTGTGTGTGTGTGTGTGTGTGTGTGTGTGGGCTTATACAAACATGGCACAATAGAAAAACAACAGTTGCAGTATAACTCAAGCTCAGATTATGCTTTGCAAAACTCCCTGTAAGTAGTACGGCTGCAATTAATAATTATTATGATAGTCGACTGAGAGGTAAATTTTAAATCTTTTTCTTATTGGTGAATGATTATTGCAATCCTACCTCCTGTTCTGGGCTCTGGTTCAAGTCTCAGACTGCTCAGGTCTGTGATTGTCACCTTGAGACATATAACTTTTTTACAGCAAAATTAATTAACTAGCAGTCAAACCAATGAAGCTAGAGCTAACTATACTGTGGGTAAAGGATGTTTATTATCTACTATAGGGCACAAAATGTTGTTTATCATAACGCCAAACCCTGACCAATAACTAGAATTGTGATTAATTAGCATTTGTTGAGGCTTTGTTATAACAGTTACAGTACAAACATCAACAATAAAAAGTGTCAATGTAACATGAATTCACTCTTAAGTCTAGTGTATGGGCAGCCTTACAGCTGCAGGGTAGTGGTGCTGCTGTAGGAACAAGGCTCTGCTTTGTACAATCTGAATTCAATTTTTGGTTAGTTGGTGTTGAAGGGCTGAAAGGAGCAAAGTAACCTAATACAATGTGTTATAAATAACATCCAGTAGCGTGTATTCTCATAAACTCCTTCATTTATCATTGAATAGGAAGACTAACAGGCACTAATTAGCATTAACAATAACAATAATAACCCAGTTATGCACGGTGCAGTCGGCATGAAACAACACACAAACTAAACAGGATAACACCGTGTAAACTATGCTCCAATCCGATGACATGATCGGAAATCGGGCACAATCACATGATTTTAGAAGGCTCTGATATGAAACACTTAACAAGGAAAATCTGTATCAATGAATTCTTGTATCCTATATTATGTCAACTAGTCCTTGCAGCCCTCCCATTGTCTTCGAATTTGATCTAATGAAGATGCTTTGATTGTTATCTACTCACTTAAAAATGTCTCACCAAACTGATTCAAATCAGAACGTGTTTAGGGATGTGAGTGAGTTGCTGTCTCTCCGCTTTCAGTTGTGGTTTAGCTGATCGTCCGTCACAAATTGTAAATATTCGTGTCCCTTTTGGAAGGAGTTTCTGTCAGGAAGCGGTCTATTGAGCAGCAAGTTGTACTAGTTGGCTCTGAAACATTTTTGTTTACAGTGTCTGATAGATGCATGGACAAATCTTTGAAGAAAACAGCTTTGAGTAAGCATTTGCTCTTGAACAGGGGGTGCTGAAGGTAAGGGCAAACCGATGACCTTGTGGACAATTATGGAGCTGCGTGATTTGAACAAAGGTCACTTGGAATGAAAATGTTAACCTTTGATAAACATTAGCTAAGAAAAACGAGATAAAATATGTTTTCCTTTAATGAATACATCCGAGATTGTTTTCTGTAATACTTTTTGCCTTATTGCTTGAAATGCTCTTCGAATACTGGCAACCGATCAATTAAATGTTTTGTCAAAAAATTAACAATTTTAATGGCCTCAAACGTAGTCCTGGAAATGCCCCATCCAATCCAGAGCTGACCCCGCTTGCTCACACCTGGGGATGCACATTCTCCAAAATTTCTTTAACTGGTTATTGACGCCCCTCAGCGGTTAATAGCCGGTTAACCAGAAACCAACCAGCAACAACAAATCATGTTTTATATCGCTGTTTGATGTCATATGATGTTCCTCTCCACTGCCAGGATTAAAGCCATGAAAAACACACCGTTGTACGTCTCGAACGATGCAGGGAGGAAATAAGCCGTTGGGTCACACGTAAGCTTCATATTTATGAAATTACATCGCTGAAATACTTTTCATTTATAAAATTACTGGGGGTTTTACACCGAAACCGTGTTTGATTTCCTGTATAGCCCTATCTTACCTGCAGTAATTGACGCATCCCAGAAGCAGCTTGCAGAAAAAATAGAACCCGATCCAATCTTTAGCCACGCAGCGTGCCGCTTCTGGGACCTGTCTGAAAATTGGTTTGTTACACTCCATAGACTATAATGGGTTCCATGTAGAGCTGTGATGTTCCGCGCCGCTTTAGCTACCAGTGTGCACTGGTGTCAGGACTAGGGATGCACCGATGGATCGGCATTTGATCCCAATCGGCCGATAGCGCCCCTATCGGTTTTGATCGGAGTTTTCAAAATAGATCAAAGCAGACCGATCAGGTAGGGTTGTCACGGTAACCAGTGTAGCGGTAAACCCCGGTAAAAAAAGTTGACAGTAATAATAACCGTCTTGTTTTGAAAAAAACTATTATCTCGGTGGGTTACCGGTGTAGGCGCGGTGACCCTTACCAGGGCAGCCACCGTATCATCTGCTGAAGTTGCTGGCAGCACATGCGCGCTTTGTTGTTTACAACCAAAACTTTCTTGAAGCTAAAGCTGAAATAATGGCCAAAGGAGGAGACGGCAGCGCTCAGGAGGACATTTTTTATCCCTCAAAGAAGACAAAGTCGGAAGTACGGTCATCTTTTGGATATTTGAAGAATACCGAGGGACAGTTGATAGAAGACGGCTATCCTGTTTGCAGCACATGCAGAAAAATGATTGGTGCATCAAAAAGAGACGAAACCAGGGTGCTTGTTATTTATTCAGACTGTTGTGTTTTGGTACCATATAACGTTTTGAGCTCTGCAGGTGTGAAACGAGCACATGCAGCACCAAATATGAAAGGCTGTGTTTGGCTGTAGCTGGGGGCTGTTTTGTAAGCAAATCCTGCCCTGCTGCAACACTACAGTGGTGACAACACTTTGGGTGGAAACAGTAAATTCAGCTCGCATCTCTAGGAAAGCTAATTCTCATAACCCATTTTTAGAAAAGTAATCTACTGGTGGCTTGCTCATTTTATTTCTTCATTACTCTTTTACTGTCATTTAATTTAATAGTAAAAAAAATACTATTATAAGGTTGTTATATCAACATTAGATGGTAAATAGTTATATTTTAAAGTAATTATAGTTAGTTATTAATATTATTTAAAGGTTGTGGCTCTAAACCTTCCTGTAGGCTTGTGTGGAAGTGTTTGTGTTTAAAATCTAACTTCTATTCAGAAAAAAACCCAGCTGATATTAAACATAGGCAGCAGGGAAATTTGACTTAACAAAAAATGGAGAGAGAAAAAAAAAGACAAATGTCAGACGATGTTGGCTTTCTATGCATGCATCTAGGAAGAATCATTATACAGACATAGAAAGTATTTTATTGATGATAGGAAATGAAATCAGATCAGATCCAGATGTCGAGGAGAGGAAAGACCAGCCAGGATGCCACGCTGTAAAAAATTTCATTTTGTTTGCAATTAAGTGGAAGCTTCACGACCTGCTGGTTTAAAATCAAACCAGTCGAGCTGAAAACCGTCCACTTGTTTGTTTTCAAAAGATTCAAAGTTATGAAGAACCCTAGATAGTTTCCCTCAGTTAGGAAACAACATGGCAGTTTGGATCAAAACCAACAAGATGCAGATTAAACCAAACTCGTGGGTTAAATCCTGTAATTATGTTGATGAGCTGCTCATCTGACGTGAGATGTACAGTTTGGTTCATCACATATGCTCTTCTTCGTTCCAGTGCAGCCATGGGACACGGAGTGGGTTGAACCAAAGGGTCTAGCAAAACACATCCATTGTAAGTCGAGATAACGTTTTCTTCCTGTTTTTGTTCTTACTTTGTAGAGGCATTTGCAGCGATATTGCATCTAAACCTGTTTATTTATCTATTTCCATTCTAGAGGATGTAAACCTAGCTTACATTTGCCTGAACGTGAATCTCAGCTACAAACATTCTGCCTCACTTTGGAACGTTGTACAGTTCACCTGTTCATTTCATTTGGTGTAATAAATTAGTCTGGTGTTGTATTGTTGGTGTTCTTCAGGCTTCCCACTGTGGCGTGTGACATGGCCACGACCTCATCACGGGCAGAGACTAGCCATAACCACCGACGCACGCTGCAGCTCAATGCCATTGGTGAGCTGACGTTCAACAGAAACGATGAAAGTGCACGTCTTTGAAAGTCTTATGGCTTCTTTGCTTACCGTCCACCAGTTTCCTGTGCCAAGCTTAAACGGAAAAAGACTATTTTCGGGGCTGCCATTTATGTGGAGGTGACAGCAGAGGGAGAGACTCGCCGTACCGCAAAGTCCCACAGTTCCTCCAGCCCTAAATGGGAAGAGAGGCTCACTCTGTAAGCTGCATCTTTTCTCCATCTGTGTGTTTGTTTGCATGTTGATTTCCCCAACGGCATGCTTATTTCTTTTTATTTATTTAAACAGTCCGGCGGTCCTCCTATTGGAGACGGAATCAAAACATGCACCTTGACAGAGTAAAAACAAGATTGTTGACAGTTTTTTGAAATTTTAATCATACAAGGGGGAGGGTGACTGCACACAGAGCTCTAGTAAAGTTTAACAACCAAGACGCCAGCAGCGAGTCTCCAGACGGTTGCCGTCGTGCTTTTGCTGCTGACAGCTAGATGGCGGCACCGTGGATAGTTTGCTAGCTGCTGTGGGTCCTTCTCGTGACTTTCAGGCTGTAATGTTTGACGTTTCGTTTTGGAGCGAGCCGCTGAAACAATGGCTGCCTTGTACTCTGGATGTTTTGTGAACACAAAGAACAGTAGGGAGGCTTGATACATGATGTGCTTCTTATCTTACTGACGTTTATTTTTAGGGGGAGCAGATGTTGAAAACTATGGAGGATGGGAAAATGAATGTTTTCTAAACCAGGGTTTTTCCTGGCTCAAAGTGAGGCAGAGGTGAAACCATCCTGACCATACGCCAGCACATGCACACTCTGTGCGTTCAACCTCATCACTTTTTTAAAGGCTAAAAAATATTATAAAAGGCTCAATAATATGCATTAGATTGGTGTTTAATTCCCTTTTCCCATCTGATATTTATAGTTAAAATATTTTTAAATATTTAACCTACATTTCAGTAACATTTTAGGTTTGTATTAATAACACTCATATTAGTCAAAATAACACATAAATATATCCATTAAAATATAATGCATTTTATTAACATGCATTTGTATTGGAAATGGTAATAACATTTAATTTCTGCTGCTAACAATGTAATGGTGGCATGTCTATTATGTACGGTTTGGCAATAATCCAGTTAAAATTATGTTCAGAGATAGAAGCAGTTGTGGATTATATACTACAGCGGCTTGCCGTACTTCCGGGTTCTGTGTGCAGCGGTTCTGATCCATAGCGCTGCAGGATGCAGGATAAACAGGATGGTGGGGACTTTTCATCCGCTTGTAGAGTTTAGTCTTAGTTTTTTGATCATCGTATTGTGGCAATACGGGAGTGGTCTATGACCTGTTGACGCCAAGTATGGCAATTGTACCTGCTTGAGTGCAATTATTTTGAAAACTCATTAAATTCGGGCATGCTCCGGACAATCTATGGTCGTCATTGCCATAATCAGAGTAGCCAATTGTTAACAACGCCACCTTGGGAATTTCGCCCAAGGAATTAATTAAAGCATGTAGATTCATTCCACTTAATTGAGACAGCAGACGTGGTTTCAGAAGTTACAATTCATTTTATTTAATTGAAGAAACAGTTTAAAAGACGTTTTAAGAACTGGCCATGTAAAATACTATAAAAATACTAAAATTAATGCCCCAAAAGAAACTGAACCAATGAAATGTATTGATAAAAAGGAAATTAATTTAACTCACTTAAATTTTCATGAAGTCCAAAATGAGGGTTAATTACAGTTTAACTATAAATTTAAATAAACAAAAAGGTCAAACAATAGGGTCCAAACAATAACTTTCACAGTTAGTTTAGACCATCAGTTAAACCAAACAAAAGGGTGTTAACAAGCAGGACTGAGGCTAGTGATGGAGGCAGGTAACTCGGGACAAAAAAGCCCCAATACAGCAAAAATAATAAAGAAAATATAAAGGATTCACCCCAGGCAGTGAGCATTCATACTAACGTGAGAAAACCCAGCACCACCACACTCGCACACTGGACCACCACCTCCGAGGCCACACTCCACACCTCCTGCCTCAGCCTGCACAAAGAAAACAAGATTAAAAACTGTAGAAAATCTGTACAATATGAATCAGCTGTTCTTCCTCCTGGACTCCAGCCACGAGCCAGGGGAACTTCCTTCAACCAGCTGATTTAAAACGTAGTAAAGGAAGCAAAACAAAACAGCGGCGCCTCCGGCCGGACCACAGATCAATCTAAAAGGACACGGAAGAGGTAGAAATTACCAAACTAACAAATGGCCAAGTGTGGGGACGGCGCAGCACACACCTACCGGTCCTCCTGCTAGTAACGCCTGAGCAGAAGGGAACTCTCTGCCCAGAAGCAACGAGGATTCAATAGGCAAGCGATGACGTCACACCCAACACTGACAAAAATGCCCAAGCTGCAAAGTGCCAACACAGTCTGAGACACAGTAGCCCTAGCGCTAAACAGAGTAGCCATCCAGGTACATAACACTGTTGAAGCAGAGCCAATCACACCATAAACGCAGCCTGAGGACAGGGCTGGCAACACCAAAACGCAGCGGCATAATGGGACCAGCTGTTTCCCGAACCTACTTCCTTACCGGAAGAGCTCCCCTTTTATAGCAGTACGCCCTCCTACGTACGGAGGGCGTACTGCTCTAGACCAATAAAATTGGAGCAGGCATTTCATAATGCTACTGTAGATTTTTTTGTGCGCCACTTGATCATGAGACTGCTACCCGTTAGCTTTAGCATTAGCCAATCTGCGTGTAGCTGCACTTTTGATCCCAAACTATGGACCAGTTCTGCCTTTGCTGGTTCCTTTATTTTCCTCCACTGCATCCAGATGACCACACTGTATGACAGTAAAAAGCATTTTTCTTACACGTAACTTAATTTTGTTCAATAAAGTTCTGGGGAAAAAAGAAATTCAAAGATGTTGCACCAGTGCTACGTTTAAAAATAGACAGACACGCACAGACAGTTTTTTTTTGTCGCACTGAGCCCTACTCTGATATGGAAGAGCCTGGGGGAAAATCAGGACGTCAATAGCACCAACCATAGATATGTACCAACTAGCGAGAAAAGCCACTTTTAATCTTTGTCTGCAGCGGTTTTTGCGCTTTTCGGTGCACCGCTGCTGATACAAGTCCCTTGTAGTGGTGCAACGCTGCAATTGCAGTTAAAATAACATCCACATAGCTGGGGGCAGAGTGAAATCAGGCTGGGGCAGCAAAAAAGTAGCTGGAGGCGGCCGCCACGCAAATTTGAATGCAGGAAAAACCCTGTAAACAGCTACGGGTTATATTTGTTTATCTGTGTGAAGACAATGGCCCATCGTCATTTTATCTCCTTTATTCTGAGTATTTGATCTGTTTTATGCTCCTTGTTTATGCTTTTTAAACATGTCTGACATGTTTTAATGGGTACTGAGACGTACCTACGGGTAAACGTTTAGACTGATATCATGTACCCTTTTCCAAACAGTTATGACATGTTTAGGTTTATGTCATAAGTAAGGAAGCAAAAGGAGGCTACTGTGAGTTGGGCTGTGTCATGCAATTTTTACCAGTGTTTGTTGGATTTGTGTCTTTTTGATTTCTCCACCAGGACCGTGACGCCACTCACACAAGTGGATTTCAAAGTATGGAGCCATCACACGCTGAAAGCAGACGCTCTGGTGGGCAAAGCCACGCTGGACCTCAGTCAGGCGTTGGAGCGCCATGACAGAAAACGTATGACTAAGACACGTCGAGTCCACAGAACACTGATAGCAAACACAGGCTAACATGACATTAGCTGTTATTGATGCAGGTTTATGAACACAGTACCCTGAAACAGCAGTGTGTGTGTTTGCTGCTTAAACAGAGCGCTCACGCGAAGCAGGCCAACTGATGCAGCTCGCTTGTGTTCAGGGATGAGTTCACGCCACCTTTTGAGTGGTAAACAATTCAGCCCGACTCTTACTGGCACCTGTAGTAGAGAGGTGGAAACAAGTGTATATCATTATAAATTAAAGGCTTTTAGTCCTAACAAAAAAAAACCTTCTACCTGTAAAGGACTTTAAAAGTTTCCTGTAATATTTTATCTGACTTGTTTCTGTGCCAGAGAAACACACAGCTAATCCTGGAGGGATGGAACAGCTGGGAACCTGGTTATTTCAGATGTGTTGTCAACATGAACCTAGACGGATTTTCATTTTTAGCAGGCAGGTTCCTACAAACTGCTGAGGTTAATTTATGAACAAGGTTAAAATGAAATGATGTAGTCAGCGACTGTGCTTGTGAGGCAGCTTTAATGTGTAGGAAGTTTACCTTTAAATGAAGTTTTGTTTCAGAATACAAACGGTGATGTCATCCTGACGTTTGACACCACGAGCCTTCATCGCAGTTCTAATACAGACTCAAAATGGAGCAAACATGTTGATCTTTTGAAAGTCAGCATAAATATGAATATAATCTAGATGTTACATTTGGTTCTTTGAAAGTTTTAAGTGCTTGCTCCAGCTTCTTGCTGCACTCGTTTTACAATTACACAGCAGCTCTTCCTGCGTTAGTTCTGCTTTTGTGTTTTTACACCGTCTGGCGGAGTCTCCTGTCAGAAGGACCTTCAATCCCACCTCCGACAGAACTTCTAAAATGGTCACGGGGAGGCGGGGGACATTGAGTCCGAGTGGGCCCTGTTCCGTTCCTCCATTGCTGAGGCTTTCGCTGGAGCGGTTTGCAGCTGAGTGTGAAGCAGCTGGGGTGAGAGTCAGCTCCTCTAAATCTGAGACCGTGGTCCTGAGTCAAAATGCTTTCTTCAGGTCAGGGACAAGGTCCTGCATCAAGTGGAGGAGTTTAAGTATCTCGGGATTTTGTTCACGAGTGAGGGAAAGCTGGAGCGGGAGATCGACAGGCGGATTGATGATGCGGGCGTTGTACCGGTCTGTCATGGTGAAGAAAGAGCTGAGCCGGAAGACGAAGCTCTGGATTTACCAGTGGATACGTTCCCGCCCTCACCTATGGTCACAAAGGACTGAACGAACGAGATTACGGATACAAGGGTCTGCAATGAGTTTTCTCCGCAGGGTGGCTCGGCTCTCCCTTAGAGATAGGGTGAAAAGCTCGGTCATCTGGGAGGGGCTTGGTGTAGATCCACTGCTCCTCCACATCAAGAGGATCCAGTTGAGGTGGCTCGGGTGTCTGATTAGGATGCCTCCTGGACGCCTCCCTGGTGAAGTTTTACAAACACGTCCAACCGGGAGAACTAAAGGTAGACCCAGGACACACTGGAGGATCTCTCGACTGGCCAGGTAACGCCTTAGGATTCCCCGGAGGAGCTGGCCCAAGTGGCTGGGGAGAGGGAAGTCTGGGTGTCTCGGCTTAGACTGCTGCCCATGTGACCCGACCCCGGATAAGCGGCCTAAAATGGATGGATGGACAAACTCGTCTTGGACCTCGGTCTGGGGAGGTTTTGCTGCTCAGTGGGTGGGACTTGAGTCAGAGAGCTTTTGATGTGTTGAAAAGGGTCACAAAGTTTACATCTATTATAAATGTTCAGGTTATTATTATTATGGTAAGAGAATCCTAATCCTCCTCTCACTCCTCTCCTTTGACTCAGTCTGGTTTTTCATCCTAGTGGAGAATGTGAAAGAGATGCTGAATCTGAATGTGGAGCAGAAAGGGGTTCTTGTGCCTGTGGGGGATCTGACCGTGTACCTCGATGGTCTGACTGTCACTGACCAGCCTGGACTGGAACCACTTACTAATGGCAACACAGCAAATGGCACCAGTGAGTTGAAGATTTTTCCATCTAAGTGGCTGATGGCGTGGTGTCAGGTTCAGCCTGCAGCTGCATTTTATTCAATTAAAAACAGGAAAAAGCTGTAAAACACGGTGAAACAACACAAATGCATGCAGTTACATAAACTCAGGGAGATGTGTGTTTCTTAATGAGGAGCTATAAATGTTCTATGTTGTGTAATCTTTCTGACATCATCTTCTTAAATGTGTTCCAGAAGTCCAGCAGAACGGTGAGGCTCTTCACGAAAACGGGGATTCATCCTCTTCCTCTTCAAGGGCCGCCAACAGGTAAAGCCAGGAGACAAACCAAACCTTTGTGTTCACACGTATTTACCCCGCAGCCATGGCTGCATTCCACTTCTGCTGCTGAGCAGACTGGTTGTTCTGTGAAAACGCCAACAATACAGGGAGTGCAGAATTATTAGGCAAATGAGTATTTTGTCCACATCATCCTCTTCATGCATGTTGTCTTACTCCAAACTGTGTAGGCTCGAAAGCCTACTACCAATTAAGCATATTAGGTGATGTGCATCTCTGTAATGAGAAGGGGTGTGGTCTAATGACATCAACACCCTATAACAGGTGTGCATAATTATTGGGCAACTTCCTTTCCTTTGGCAAAATGGGTCAAAAGAAGGACTTGACATGCTCAGAAAGGTCAAAAATAGTGAGATATCTTGCAGAGGGATGCAGCAGTCTTAAAACTGCAAAGCTTCTGAAGCGTGATCATCGAACAGTCAAGCGTTTCATTCAAAATAGTCAACAGGGTCGCAAGAAGCGTGTGGACAAACCAAGGTGCAAAATAACTGCCCATGAACTGAGAAAAGTCAAGCGTGCAGCTGCCAAGATGCCACTTGCCACCAGTTTGGCCATATTTCAGAGCTGCAACATCACTGGAGTGCCCAAAAGCACAAGGTGTGCAATACTCAGAGACATGGCCAAGGTAAGAACGGCTGAACGACGACCACCACTGAACAAGACACACAAGCTGAAATGTCAAGACTGGGCCAAGAAATATCTCAAGACTGATTTCTCTAAGGTTTTATGGACTGATGAAATGAGAGTGAGTCTTGATGGGCCAGATGGATGGGCCCGTGGCTGGATTGGTAAAGGGCAGAGAGCTCCAGTCCGACTCAGATGCCAGCAAGGTGGAGGTGGAGTACTGGTTTGGGCTGGTATCATCAAAGATGTGCTTGTGGGGCCTTTTCGGGTTGAGGATGGAGTCAAGCTCAACTCCCAGTCCTACTGCCAGTTTCTGGAAGACACCTTCTTCAAGCAGTGGTACAGGAAGAAGTCTGCATCCTTCAAGAAAAACATGATTTTCATGCAGGGCAACGCTCCATCACACACGTCCAAGTACTCCACAGCGTGGCTGGCAAGAAAGGGTATAAAAGAAGAAAAACTAATGACATGGCCTCCTTGTTCACCTGATCTGAACCCCATTGAGAACCTGTGGTCCATCATCAAATGTGAGATTTACAAGAAGGGAAAACAGTACACCTCTCTGAACAGTGTCTGGGAGGCTGTGGTTGCTGCTGCACGCAATGTTGATGGTGAACAGATCAAAACACTGACAGAATCCATGGATGGCAGCCTTTTGAGTGTCCTTGCAAAGAAAGGTGGCAATATTGGTCGCTGATTTGTTTTTGTATTGTTTTTGAATGTCAGAAATGTATATTTGGGAATGTGGAGATGTTATATTTGTTTCACTGGTAAAAATAAATGATTGAAATGGGTATATATTTGTTTTTTGTTAAGTTGCCTAATAATTATGCACAGTAATAGTCACCTGCACATGGATATCCCCCTAAAATAGCTAAAACTAAAAACAAACTAAAAACTACTTCCAAAAACATTCAGCTTGATATTAATGAGTTGTTTGGGTTCATTGAGAACATGGTTGTTGTTCAATAATAAAATTATTCCTCAGAAATACAACTTGCCTAATAATTCTGCACTCCCTGTAGTGGAATGTAGTTTTGTTTTCTTAACGGCGGTACCAGCGTAGCATCCAAATCTGTCGGAGTGGGACGTGTCCTTCCACATTTACCGAGTAGGAAATATTGGTCCGCCGTTATGTGGTACTGCAGGGCTGAGCGCTGGAGTTCTAACCTGAGACTGGACCGGAACCGAGTCAGCCCAACCGGTTCAGTCGGACTTGGGCCAGTGAATTATGTTAATTGAGTGGGTTGTTCCGCTCCACTCGCTCAAACAGCAAATGAGAGAGAGAGAGAGTGGCACCCTGTCTGCTCACACAAGGGAGAAGATCGGAGGACACACCTCCAAACACGTTATTTCTCCCCGAAATGCTTAAAACTCAGACTGAGTGTTGTGATCCGGTCTTGGGGAGGAGGTGGGGTGAGTGACGGCGGCTGCAGCACAACCTTCTGTCTCTTTTATTCTTATATCTTTATTTTTTTGTTTCATGATGATAAACTGATGTTAAATTCAATTTAAAGAAAAACTGGGAGGCTGCTTTGGTTCATTTTAAGTTGCAGGAGATCTTGTTTCCCATCTGCTGCTCTAGAGACGCCATGCACATGAGGAGATAAAAGTCCCACAGCCAAGCGGTTGTAGTTGGCTGGTTAGTGAAGGAGATCCATCAGCTGGGTCATTTGATCCTAGTCCAGCCCACAGCCTCCTGCTGGTGTTATCGGCGAGAATAAAACAAACGTCTCAAATAACACTGGAAGTTTAGGATTTTATTAATGTTTTTTATTATTTTCTGCATTAAACAGAACTTGATTAATTCTCCAACATTAAAAGCTAATATATGGACCCTTTATGGATTTTATAACTTAAATTTAAGGCAATAATTGGACTGTCCTATAGGTTTTTAGTATATTTTCAGATTTTTGAGCATTTGCAAAGCATGTTTTTCTCAGCCTGAGGTGTGACTGTTGAGTGAGGAAACAGATTATTTACTTTGTTAAATCTTAAATGTTTAAACTGTTTGGCGCTTTCACACTGTCCGAAGGACTGTTGTGAATGGAGAACTTTTGGGGGGTAGCAGGTTGTGTCAAGACACATTTTTATTTAAAAAAGCAATCATCTGACATGTATTTATTGATGAAAACATCCATATGAAATCATCGCGATGCATCGGGATATCAAATCAAATTAATAACAACAATAATAATAATAATACATCAAACTTATATAGCGCCTTTTAGGTCACTTAAAGGCGCTTCACAAAAAAATGCAATAAACAATAAAACAAAATTAAACATATTAAACAGACTGGGGGATGCTGGGTTGATCCTAAAGGAAGGCCATTTTAAAGAGGTGGGTTTTAAGCAGTGACTTAAAAGTAGAAAGAGAGACGGCATTCCTGAAGTTTAATGGGAGAAAGTTCTGAAGTGTGGGGGCAGCGGCTGCAAAGGCTCGATCCCCCATGGTACGTTGTTTTGTTTTAAAAGGGGAAAGGAGGTTGGAGTCAGCAGAACGGAGGTGCCGGGAAGGACAATGGCGATGGAGAAGTTCAGTCAGATAGGATGGTGCAAGGTTATTGAGGCATTTGTAAGTGATGAGGAGCAATTTGTTATGGATCCGGTATGAAACTGGGAGCCAGTGAAGTTGTGTGAGTACTGGAGTTATGTGGTCCCTGGAGCGAGTGTGGGTGAGTAAACGTGCTGCTGAGTTTTGGATGTATTGAAGTTTTTGTAGGGCTGAGGAAGGACGTCCGTAAAGAATGCTGTCACAATAGTCCAGTCCAGAGGTTATGAAGGCAAAGATGAGTGTTTGGGCAGTGGAGTCAGTGAGGGATGGACGGAGACGGGCAATGTTGCGGAGGTGGAAGAACGATACCCTGTGGATGTTGTTGATGTGGGACTTGAAGGAAAGGGAGGAGTCGAAGATAACGCTGAGATTGCGGACTGTAGAGGAGGGAGTCGCTGTGAGACCGTCAATTTGTAGAGAAATATTTAGAACTGACTGTAGGGGAGATTTGGGACCAGTGATGATGAGTTCTGTTTTGGAGCAGTTCAATTTGAGGAAGTTGGTGTCCATCCGATGTTTTATGTCAGAGAGGCATCCTGAGATCGTGGAAAGAATGGAAAAATTGAGTCATTGGCCCAATAATCGTAATCGAATCGAATTTGGAGACAAGTGAAGATTTACAGGTGGATTTTCAGCGTGACCTCCCATTAAAGGGCTGAATGTTGTGGTGGGTTTTGTTTTCACCTGTCTGGCTGCACATCCCTGGCACTAACTGAACTCTTTGGGTTTACAAAGAGGCTCTTTCAGCTGTGCTCGTTACGTCTGCATCCTCGTTTCAGCCCAGCCCAACAGTGGTCTCACCAGGAAGGTGTCCGTTCACCACAAAGCAACCTGACAGTGTTGATGGGAAACACTGCTTTATACATGCTGAACTTTTATCTGTTCCAGTTTTTGAAAATGCTGTCAAACTTTTAAAAAATTATCTAAAAAAGTATTCTAAAATAGTCAGAGAGCCTGTGGTGGTGTTTCCTCAAGGACATCTTTCTGCTTTCTCAGGGTAGATGGTTACAAACCTAAAGCAGGAATCAGAACAGCTCAGTGCTTTAACGTTTCCCTCCTCCTACAGCACAGTGAACGGGACAGACTTGGGTCAAAGGTCAGGTTCCTGTTCAGCCACCAGTGGTGCGGAGGGTCAGGTGCCTTCCAGCTCCTGCAGCCCTGCTCCTGATCACACCCTCAACGGGGACACCACACCCAACTCCACCCCAGTGCACCAGCCCTCGGACAGGGAGACGGAGACCAGACTAGGTGAGCTCTCCTCTCTTGACGCATCAGCTGGGTTCCTGCAGCCCTCAGACAGCAGAGACACGGCTTGCTTCTTTATTTTATGTTCAGTTGATGCAAAGCCAGAATATTTACTGATAATGTTTTGCGTCGGATGAGAGTCTGCTCACATCAACCCTGTGGATAAATGAGGTGATATTTGCTGCAGGTCTTGGGTGACGTGCGCTTAGCCTCGCAGGTAGGTCTCTGGTTTGCTGGGTTTTTGTTCTTCATGACTCACAGGCTTGTGGTGAATGGTAAAGAGGAGCAGTAGATTAATTTTCATTAAGTGAAGCCTGCAGCCTGCTGCTGTCAGCACCTTTGTCCCAACTCGCAGGAGACAGAAGGGAGGAAAGCAGAGCTGCTCTGGATTAAACCGATGAAAAGAGGTTAAATCCTAATAAATAAAGCTGCTTTTATACGTAAACACTGAAGTAGGTTGTCTGACCTCATCTTTGGGTTGTGACAATGTTCTGGAGGTGTTCTCTAAATGATGCTGCGTCAGATTTTACACTAATAATGCATGTCTAAATTATTCAGCACTGTGTTTAGTAACAAGTGCTTATATATACGCACTTATGTCAAAAAATGATGAAGGTAAAATTAATAAAATCAAAGCTGGAGCGCTTTCTCGCTTCTCCTCAGACTGCCCCGTTCAGTGTTGGTTTTACTGTCTGCAGTAAATGGGGAATCCGCCGAGGCTGTTCTAAGGGAACCTTCTGCAACAAGAGGTGACGCGCCGCCCCCTGTTGATGACCACGAGGACTGCAATCCAGATGCTGAAACGGCCCCTGCGAGCACATCTCAGCTAGCCTCCACCCCTTCTCCAGCCACCTCTGTTGCTGCTAAACCCGCCAACGGCACTGCTGCTTCCACTACACATGCCTCTCCAGCCCAGGGGGCCACCACCGTCACAACATCTTCATCTTCGTCCTCTTCCTCTCCAGCCGCGGGTGACACAAGTGCTTCAGGAAGTGTGGGAGGCAGCAGTAGTAATGGCACAGCTGTGACTACAGATGGCGTGAAGCCCAGGCAGCAGACGCCCAACGCTGCAGCCTCAGATCCTTTACCACCAGGGTAAGATACCCGTGCTGTCAGCATCGTTCAGGTTTTCAGGGCATTCAACACTGATGTCATCAGGCTTTTCCCACTGGTTTCTTCAGCTGATCAAATTGATGTCACTTCATTTAGAGCTCTTTTGTTTACTGAGGATTTTAGAGACAGAATGATTAAACTGATGCTTTTCTTTATGTTATAAAGATATAAATCTTATTAGCTCTCAAATTGTTGGAATAAAAACCATTAAATTGCGATTAGTAGCAAAAACAAAAGTTAATTTTGATCTAGTGGATTTAACAGGATTTCACATTAACTCATTCACTGCCAGACGTTTCCTGATCAGAAAAGCCCTTCGCTGCCAGCGTTTTTCAGCATTTTCACAGTTTTTTTAACTCACTGACGACTTAAGTCGTCATTTGCATGTTTTTACCGTGTGGGCATCGGAACGAGCCCCCGCACCGTGAGAACAAGCATCTCCGCTCTAAAGCCAGTCTTCATCCACTTACGTCACACGTCACGTGATCAGGAAGCAGAAAATCCATGTGTTAGGAGATCGTTTTGGGCCGCTGCTGTAAAAAAAGTGAGGCACGAACCGGAAAAGCTTCTGCCGATCACAATTTGACAACGGATTATAGAAGAACGGATAACGCTCGAAACGTGGATTCTTTCTGATGTAAGGTGAGTCTCCTCTTTGTTTTGGTTGTTTTGGCATTGACATCATCCTAGCGCACAATGTTCTGTGACTCCTAAAAAAAACTAAAAACGGTGAGAAATTCTGGCAGCGAAGGGCTTTTCTGATCAGGAAACACCTGACAGTGAATGAGTTAAGAGTCACAGAACATTTCGCTCTATGAAGATGTCGACACCAAAACAAAGCGGAGACTCACCTCTTACATCAGGAAGAATCCACCGTTTCGATCGTTATCCGTTCTTTCATAATCCGTTGTTGAATTGTGAGCAGCAGAAGCTTTTCCGGTTCGCGCCTCGCTTTTTTTACAGCAGCAGCCCAAAACTATCTCCTGACACATGGATTTTCTGCTTCCTGATCACGTGACGTGTGACGTACGCGGATGAAGATCGGCTTTAGAGCTGGGATGTCGGTGCGAGGGCTCGTTCCGACGCCCACACGGTAAAGATATGCGGGGAGAAAAAAATGCAAATGACGACTTTAGTCTGACATTAGTCGTCATTGGCAGTGAATGGTTGGATTTAAAATGACGATCTTTGTCATCAGTGGCAGTGAATGAGGAATGTTCAGAGGAAAAATCCATCTAAATCTGAAAAACTTGCTGTTCAGACCAGCTTACTAAAGCTTGACATCTTCTTATTGTTCAGGTGGGAACAGAGAAAGGACCCACATGGGAGAATGTATTATGTGGACCACAACACCCGGACGACTACCTGGGAAAGACCACAGCCCCTACCACCAGGGTCAGGACCTTTGTCTCTAGGTCTCTTTGAACCAGAACTTGAGTCTATATTTTAAAACGCATCATGTTCTGTCGACACCTGAATTTGACTGATTAGTTTCAGGTGTATCAGTTAGAATATTAAACTGGACCTGGGTGAATTCATCCCTGCTGCGCCGTCTGCTTGACCTCTCCAGGTGGGAGCGTCGGGTGGATGATCGGGGCAGGATCTATTATGTAGACCACAACACGCGCACCACCACTTGGCAGCGTCCCACCATGGAGTCTGTGAGGAACTTTGAGCAGTGGCAGAGCCAGCGCAGCCAGCTGCAGGGAGCTATGCACCAGTTCAACCAGAGATACCTCTACTCTGTAAGATCACCCCAGATGTTCTCAGCCTTATTGCAGCTCTCTGTCCTTGTGCTGGTGATCGTCTGCCTGACTGAAGAAGCAGTTTGAACCCAATGCCAGTGCCTGTTATTTCTTCATTTTAAAACCCAAGGGTTTCTAGATTACAGAGCTGGTTTCCTTTTTGATGACTCTTCAGCGAAACCTGCTCAGGGAAAGGATGTGGTCTGGTGGAAGAGAAAAACAACGTGTTCAGGTTATTCTGAGCATCGTGCCAGAAGGCTGTAAAGCTTTATTTTATTCTCATCCACTGAACAAAGACATTCAAACAAATCACCCAAGCAGTACATTGTTCCAACTCAAATTATGGATAGAAGCGTAACACACCGACACACATTTAAGCTGAGAGGCTGTTGTCTTGATGTTTCCATGTGTTAAGGAGTTTAAGGTTCCTGCAGAAACCGTTAGCTAACGCTAACATCTAAGACACTTTAAGTTTAAATGGTTTTTCCAGTGTTCTACACCTTTAAAACACCGTCCGACTCTAATCCTAAAGGTGTGGTTCACTGAAAAACAATTTTTTTAATATTATTTGTGAATATTATCATGGCTGAACATAAAAATAGTCTTTTTAGCATCCTGGAAACAGCAGAGAACAACTTGGCCTAGTAGAAGATGACCATTAGCATTAGTAACTCCACCACACAGCAGAACTCCATGGATTGTGTTATTTGGAGAGGTAAATCATCAAAGTTGCGGAGCAAACATAGTCAGTGGTAGAGTCGCGTTGCTGTTAGCCAATCAGAGGAGAGATATCCAAATATCAGGAAGTAGACACCAAATCCTGTCATCTGAAGCTCTCCTCTGACCTGGCTAACTTCTAGATCCTGAAACCGGTGCATCAGGGCCTCGCCCCGTGGAGCATGCTGGGTACCGGGAACATTCTCATTGATTGATGATACATAACTCTATTTATCTGAAGCAACAATAGTTGGTTTTATTTTTCTGGTTATGGAAACTCTTTAGTTAAATGTACAGCCATGTTGTTTTCACACACAGTAAAGGACAAACTGCTGAGTCGTTTTTAGCAGCTCTCCCTCAGTGAACACACTTTTATCTGGTTTTTGTAAACTTTGTTTCATTCTCCTAAAAGTTTGAAATATTTGGAAGAGTTAGTTTTCTGAGTGGAGTCTCTGAGCGTCTCCCTCGTTTTCAGGCTTCCATGATGTCTGCTGAGAACGACCCTCTTGGCCCGCTGCCTCCTGGCTGGGGTAGGTCCACAGCCTTTGTCCTGGATGAGCTGGTTTTTATGTATGGAAACAAAAACACACCTCTGTTGTTTTGTTGATGAGAGAAAACATCACACCTATTTGCTTTTAAAAACCTTGTTTTCTTGAGTATTCGTGTGTGTTGTGTGTCCTTGCGTGTGCGTTTTTCACCATTCGGCCTATTGTTTTACCTTTTCACTGAGCCAAAACATTTGTTGAACATCTTCATCTATATTTTAAAGCCATGAGTCGGTTTTGTTTGGTAAAAGCTTTTTTATTTGATCCAACTCGTGGTTTAATGTATTTTATTTCTCATCCACTTCAGAGCGACGAGTGGACTCCAATGATAGAGTGTACTTTGTTAACCACAACACCAAGACGACACAGTGGGAAGACCCTCGGACCCAGGGGTGAGCTCGGAGCAGTGAAACACACACACACACACACTGGGTCTGTGTAGCGCGTTAAACATTGTATGCAGGAAATTGTGTCATTCACACAGACTGTGGTTCGTGTGCTAATAAGATCACCAAACGATTAGACTGGACTGAATAGGTTTAAAGTTATACCTGTAAAGATGTAACCATCATACTTTCTGCGCTGGTTTCCCCATCATTACAACTGAAAACTGAAATGATCATGGATGTAATTTTCACTTTAGAAGTGGGGGGGACACGGGGGGGGGGGGGGTCTTTACAGTATGTTCTAATGGGAAACAGGCTTCAACACAAATGGTTGTTTTCTGCTTGGTCCTAGAGCTCAACCAGTGTCAATTTAAAATAGCGTAATATTGTTTTTGGATGGTAAAAAGTGCAGGGGTCAAAGCTTGACTTTGGAAAATAGTGGGGGGGACATGTCCCCCCCCCTCCCCCCCAAATTACGTCCATGGAAATGATACAGGTGGCAGGGAATTGGCCTGACAACCAGGTGAAGGCTCACAGGTCATCATTCAAAACAGGCACACTGGTAAATTACAATTCGCTAACGACCGCAACCAGAAGGTCTTATTTAAAACACTCAGCACCACGTTTAGTTGACACACAGGAGCTTGATGTCCTGCAAGTTCCTTTCAGATCAGCCAAGTTAGAAGATTCAGATGATGCAAGGGGCACGGGTTACAGCCAGTGACGTGTCACCCACATGCCTGTGAGGACCACTCACACTTTGTTGGCGTTACTTTTGATGACAGGACTTCGGATAATATTGTTTATGGCTGCCATCAACCTGCACTACTGTCACCATCGACCGGTTGATCACAATCAAACCTGCTTTACCAGTAAAGTTGCTGTTCTCATTTTAAACCTAAGACAGCCTGCTGACGTCAAACAGTGGGAAAGATAATCATGTCAGAGAGGGCCAACGTGCTGCAGGCTCAGAGAGGCCCTCTGGATCATTGACCAATATGAAGACATCAGGATGAACCTGGTTCTGCTAATGGGTCATCAGATATTAACACTTGGTTAAGCCTGGTTTATGCTTCTCCGTCAGCTCCACAAGGGACAGACACGCACGGATTGACGGAAGTGTTTTGCTCTCATACTTCTCCGTCTCCTGGGGAGTGTTGCAAAGCAATTGCCCGGCAGGACAACAGAGGGCGTAGCGCTGTTCTGTGGTATCCTGTCATGTATCGGTCCAAAATAGTGTGTTTATATTGTGTTTTTGTGTATATAAGAGACTTTTAACACGGACAAATTTGTCTATCATTCTCCTCCACCTCTTCATGCACTCCCCGCCTCTAAACCCACGTTTCCCGTCATTTCCGTCCACAGATAAAACGCTTGCTGCGCATCTTTTCACTCCTCCAGTCACGGGGGAATTAAACGTTCATGTTTTAGAGTTTTTTCGCGAGGCATTCTTCAAGCTGCTCCGTGTCTGCCGCTAGTTATCCTCGGCTCTCTTTATGTTTTTGAGGGCGCAATGGCGGTGCTGTAAACAACAGCGGCGTCCTGACCAATCACAAGCTTGCGTTGTCCGTCTCGACTGACGGATGTTTAGAAAAGAGAGCTCGACTCCGTCCGTCCTTGCCGAGCTCTCCGGCAGGCCCGCAAGGACGGATAATGGCGTTGCGTGTCTCCGCACTGACGCAGACGTAGAAGCATGAATCAGGCTTTAGTTTCACCTTTTACTTTTGTGTGTGTGTGTGTGTGTGTGCGTGCGTGCGTGCGTGCGTGCGTGTGTGTGTGCAGGCTACAGAACGAGGATCCTCTGCCTGAAGGCTGGGAGATTCGCTACACAAGGGAAGGGGTTCGTTACTTTGTGGATCACAACACCAGAACCACCACGTTCAGTGACCCCCGCACTGGAAAGTCCTCTGTGTAAGAACTGCTAGCTTCATATGAACCCACACGTCTACATCACCACGGTGTAAACACGACCTCTACATGTAAACCTCATTTCATTAGTCATAAGCCACTTGCTTGTTTTACATTCACATGTTATCATATTCACAGGTGCTTCTAAACTCGTGGTGATTGTTTAGAGGTGTTCTTGTTTTATGTCTCACCTGTAAACACCTCCTCTCCTCAGCACCAAAGGCCCACAGATTGCATACGAGCGCAGCTTCAGATGGAAGCTGGCTCATTTCCGTTACTTGTGCCAGGTGAGTACTTCATCCCTCTTTTACTTACCCTTTTCCTCTCGTTGCATCTTCTTCTCACCCTTCCACTCCTCCTTGTCCTCCCCCAGTCCAACGCTCTCCCTAGCCATGTGAAGATCACCGTCTCCAGACAGACACTCTTTGAAGACTCATTTCAGCAAGTGAGACCCTCCAGCCATCTTTCAGCTGTTCTGTTGTTAATCACTGAAGAGGTGGACGTTTGCTAGTACGTTTTTTCTGCTTTAGTTTGATCCTGTGTGTCTGTGTTTCAGATCATGGCCCTGAAACCTTATGACTTGAGGAGGAGGCTTTATGTCATCTTCAGAGGCGAGGAGGGTCTGGACTATGGTGGCCTAGCTCGGTAGCTTAACCTTTCTAAAGTTAAAGATAAGTGAAGTAATGTTTGATCTGACTGATCCTGTCTCTGTGTCTGTAGGGAGTGGTTCTTTCTGTTGTCCCATGAAGTGCTAAACCCCATGTACTGCCTGTTTGAGTATGCTGGGAAAAGCAACTACTGTCTGCAGATCAACCCAGCGTCAGCCATCAACCCGGACCATCTCTCCTACTTCTGCTTCATCGGACGCTTCATCGCAATGGTACCTTAACAGGCTCTTACACACCAGCCCTATAAGGATGGGAGGTGTTAAAGGGATCCCAGAATCTAAAGCCACATTTACCTTGTTGTTGAATAAAGGCAGCTTGGGGTGTCCGATGTACCAAAAGCCTGAGCCATCTCTGACGCGCTCTCCTTGGTAAATGAGTCATGTTGAAGTGGCTGTGGAGAACACTTCATAAGCTTGGATCAACACCTCCCACACACACAACGCGTGTCCCAACCCACTTCAGCGTCGGCAAATAAATAAATGCTGGTGGCAGTAAAGCTAACCCAAACTACTGCTAATGCTAACATGAGATGTTGGACGTGAGGACAAGAAAAAAGAAGAATGAGTTGGAGCACCACTCACGTTCCAGGATGTGTTGGGAATATCCAAACTAGTGCTGGACCGTTTTCTTTTATTATTTTATGATAAAACAAGTTAGTTGCTTGGTTTTCATCAATTCTCTGCTAAATCTGTAAATGACTGTTGTCTCTTTTCTGTTAGACGTGTAAAAATCAAAATGTTGCCATGCTGGTGAACTACTGTAACATTTTTATGGGACAGTTTTCTCCCGAGTCTCCTTGTTGTGACTTCTTGTTTTATGTTTGTTTAAGAGGGGAGGGCTTGGTGATGGAGCATACCTGGGTCTGTGGTTTTGATTGGTTGGGAATAAGTAATGACTAGTATTAAAGTAACACCAAAGAATTTCCTGCTCCTCTGCCCTACTGGTTGAAAGTGGAGTTACAACAGTTGTAAACAACTCTCCTGCCGTCTGCTGTAGCTAGGGCTAATAAACAAGCTAACACTTACATGAGCCGACTAATACTAAAATAAACCACAAAGTAAAACGATCCTCGCTGTTGTACAAAATATTATTGCGTACAAGTTCAGTAGCAACAAAGCCAGGTCACCATCGGTCCGTAGTTTCATAGCCTCCTTTAGCTCCTTAGGCTGTGCCGACTTTTAGCTCTTTGCTTCTCCTCCAGAGACACTACTCTCCTACTTCCAGGCTCTGCCATAATGCCAACAGAATTGAGTTTTCTTCTTGAGCTATTTATTCACTGTTTGCCAACTGCTACTCTTTATTTTAGCTACTGACACAATAAACAGCTAACAGCTCATAGAGAGCTCCCCCTAGGACACCTAACTGTCCCACAAAACTGTTTAGTGCGGTGTCTGGTCAGAAGACGGCTGTCCAACACTGGCTCACTGAACTGCTGCATTTCCCTGGGTCCTCCATTCATCACACACACTCAGTTATTTAGCATCAGAATACCACTGGTGTGAGAGGTTCTCCGCTCAATAACATCAGAGAATCAGAAACAGGTGGCTGCTACCACTTCAACTTTAGGACAAACTACCAGAAAGAAAAACACCATTTGAAGTCACAGACAACAAAAAATGCTTGGATCTAGAAACCGGTGACTGGTGTTTAGCACTCTCTCTGACAATGCGGGTTCCCATATCAGGGGGGAGTGGCCTAGGGATGATGGCTGACAAGAAGGGAGAGAGTTCTCTGACTGTCTTTGTGTTTAAAAGTTAGCCAGTTTTGCAGATTTTTTTTATTGCAGCTTTAATTTCCGGATGTTTTTCAATCAGCAGCCATTCATATGTTTTCACTTTTATGCACGAACCTGCACATAATCTGTATTTCTGTAATTAGTCATCTCTTGTGTTCCTGTAGGCCCTTTTCCACGGGAAGTTCATCGACACGGGCTTCTCCTTGCCTTTCTACAAACGCATGCTGAACAAGAAGCTGATCCTTAAAGACCTGGAGTCCATCGACCCAGAATTCTACAACTCACTCATATGGATCAGGTAAACATCAGGGCTGTAGCATCGTTTGGTGTGGCCGATAGACATGCAGGTTACGGGTGTTACGAATCACCTTCAAGATTCCTTCAAGAGGAAAGTTCTTTTAAAATATTACTGAAAGGATTTCGTTCATTCACGTGATTTCTGAGAGAAAAAGCATCCCATTATGAACAAATGTGCTCAGTGCTCCATGTTTAGAGTCCGTTTGAACAAACCCTTCTTCTCTTCATAGGCGTTTATTCAGTTTGGGAGGTATTTTTGAACCCACAACCCTACCTGCATCGGAAATAAGAGCAAGGACAACATTTCAAACGTTGAAAATGAAAAAGACTCCTGAGTACCAGATCTTTAAGTTAACACTGTGGAACAGAACTAAATAAATCACTGAGATAAAAGAGAACTGGAAAAAAAAAGTGAATAAAATGTTGCATAAGTTATATCTTTGCAGGCTTTGTCATTAATTGTTTAGATTTTAACCAGCTCCATGAGACTTTTACCAGGTCTAGCCGGTACAGCAACAGGGTTTTTCCTGAATCAAATGGAGGCAGAGGTGGTACCGTCCTGACCATGCACCAGCACATGCATACTCGGTGCATTCAACTGCCTCACTTTTTTGAAGGCAAAATATTTTTTCGTCAAGTGTTCTAATCTAAGCTTCTGTTGATGAATAGAGTATTCCATTTGACAATATTTCAAGTGAAACAAAACTGGTTTGCTGCTAAAAATTAAGAAATAAAACAACAAAATGATCAGGCTGAAATAACAGACTTATTATAAAAGGCTCAATAATATGCATTAGATTGGTGTTTAGTTCCCTTTTCCCATCTGATATTTATAGTTAAAAATATTTTTAAATATTTAACCTACATTTCAGTAACATTTTAGGTTTGTATTAATAACACTCATCTTAGTCAAAATAACACATAAATATATCCAGTAAAATATAATGCATTTCATTAACATGCATTTGTATTGGAAATGGTAATAACATTTCATTTCTGCTGCTAACAGTGTAATGGTGGCATGTCTATTATGTACGGGTTGGCAATAATCCAGTTCAAATTATGTTCAGAGATAGAAGCGTTTGTGGATTATATACTACAACGGCTTGCCTTAGACTTGTAGCAGTAATGTCACTCGTATCTGCAGCGGTTCTGATCCAGAGTGCTGCAGGATGCAGGATAAACAGGATGGTGGGGACTTTTCATCCGCTTGTAGAGTTTAGTCTTAGTTTTTCGATCATCATATATTTTTCTGTGCGCCACTTGATCGTGAGACTGCTACCCGTTAGCTTTAGCCTATCTGTGTGTAGCAGCACTTTTGATCCCAAACTTTGGACCAGTTCTGCCTTTGCTGGTTCCTTTATTTTCCTCCACTGCATCCAGATTTCCACACTGTGTGCCAGTAAAAAGCATTTTTCTTACACGTAACTTACTTTTGTTCAATAAAGTTCTGGGGAAAATAGACAGACACACACAGACAGTGTTTTTTTTTTTTTTTGTCGCACTGAGCCCTGCTCTGATATGGAAGAGCCTGGGGGAAAATCAGGACGTCAATAGCACCAACCAAAGATATGTACCAACTAGCGAGAAAAGCCATTTTTCATCTTTTTTTGCAGCGGTTTTAGCGCTTTTCAGTGCACTGCTGCTGATACAGCACCTGTGTAGTGGCGCAACGCTGCAACTGCAGTTAAAATAACATCCATATAGCTGGGGGCAGAGTGAAATCAGGCTGGGGCGGCACAACATTAGCTGGAGGTGGCCGCCACGCAAATTTGAACGCAGGAAAAACCCTGAGCACGAACCACGGAAGGTGTCGTGATAGATGGCTTTATGTAGAGAATGTGTCAAGCACCTGCTGGCCTCGCAGATCATCAAAGCCTCAGGCCACCATGTTGGTTTACCCTTACACATACGAGCTGCATTTCTCTGTCAGCTCTTCACTTGGCGAGTCCGGGGGTTCTTTTTCCACATAAAGGTCCTGAAACTAAACTAAACTGAACCAGAGCTCTCTTAGCACGTAACGTTTTACATTTCCACTGGTCACACCTCAGACTTCAGCACCAAACAGCCTCCTCTCTGCTGGACTGGAGGGAAGAGCTGCCTGAGGCAGGATCAGGGAGACCCACAGCCTGAAAGTGTTGTGAGCAGCTCTGAGTCAGTTTCTTTGTTTTCATTTGAAACAAGAAACAAGTATGAGCTTGTCGACACACTGAAATGTCATGATACTAAATCTGTGTTTAAAAGCTGTGCATTGATTTATTTTTATTGAGCATTTTCATTCAAACATTTCCAGAATTTTTATTGTGTGGTGCAATTCACACTGCAACTGCTAGGGGGCAGCAGGATTTTCCTCCTTTATTCTCACAAAATCACCAGAGGTGTCTGAACTGACTTGTAAGATTAATTTTAGTCCTAAAAATTGCGACTATCATCTGACTTTTCGTGCCAGAATATGTCGTGTTGCCAGATTCTTGCCAGGACACACCCCTAATAAGCAGGATCTCCTCCCCTCAGGGACAACAACATAGAGGAATGTGGTCTGGAGATGTACTTCTCAGTTGACATGGAGATCTTGGGGAAGATCACTTCTCATGACCTCAGACCCGATGGCGCCAACATCCTGGTGACTGAGGAAAACAAAGAAGAATACATCAGGTTGTTTTCTCATCACAGGAAACCCTTCCGCCTCTGGCTTTCCTTCAGAGCAGCTCCGTTTGAAATGCTCTGCTGCTTTGTGTTTTTGCAGTCTGATGGCAGAATGGAGATTCTCACGTGGGGTCGAAGGTCAGACCAAAGCCTTCCTGGATGGATTCAATGAGGTGGTTCCGCTTCAGTGGCTCCAGTACTTTGATGAAAAGGAGCTTGAGGTGAGCAGTCATTTACTTTTAACTTCCATCGTTTATTATAACCTGACACTGACGCGCACCGTCCAAGGCCACGCCATAGAGGTTACTTATCATCTTGTGTGTGTGTGTGTGTGTGTGTGTGTGTGTGTGTGTGTGTGTGTGTGTGTGTGTGTGTGTGTGTGTGTGTGTGTGTGTGTGTGTGTGTGTGTGTGTGTGTGTGTGTGTGTGTGTGTGTGTGTGTGTGTGAGATCTAGGTGATGCTGTGTGGAATGCAGGAGGTGGACCTACAGGACTGGCAGAGGAACACTGTGTACCGCCACTACACCAGGAACAGTAAACAGATCATCTGGTTCTGGCAGGTACTCGCTCCTCACCTGTGCTACAGGTTTTAGAGAGCTGCTCATCCTCGTGGTGGCTTTGTTTCTCCGTGTGTTTGTTAAAGTCTGGCTCCGTCCTCTAGAGCTGAGCAGGGGCAGTCGGGTCAGTAATGATGACTGAGTTTGTCCTCACTTTCGTCCCCGCAGCTGGTGAAAGAAGTGGACAATGAGGTGCGACTGCGACTCATGCAGTTTGTCACTGGAACCTGCAGGCTTCCTCTGGGCGGCTTTGCTGAGCTCATGGGTCAGTAGTAGACATGTGAAACATCTGGAGCTGCGCTGATGCAAACGGTCTTCTCAGCTCACCGTTTTGATGCATTTCAGGAAGTAACGGTCCTCAGAAGTTCTGCATTGAGAAGGTGGGGAAGGACACGTGGCTTCCTCGGAGCCACACATGGTCAGTGCTCATCTCACACACATGCTGCGGTCAGCAGGACGACACATCTGAATGCTGAGGTCATTTTATAGATGAATCATGTCATGTGAACAAGACCGAGTCTCACCAGGCGGGGACTGGAATGAACCAGCAGGACTCTAGGAGTAACACCATAATAATGCCCATAGATGGCCTGGTCACGAGGAGCAGATGACTTTGGTGCAGTTGTACAGATTTTATTACAGCGGTTAATTACAGACGGTTTGATTCCTGTGTATGTTCCCTTTGTTTTATCTATTAGGTGTCTCATTTGTCTCTGAAACTAAAGGAGAAGTTTTCCAGGCATCACCAATGATCTGTGACTACTTTGAGATGAAATTTGCAAACTTTTAGTTAAACAGTGATTGTATTGAGGGAGAGGACTCCATCCCAGCCTGATCTCTTATTCGTGAAAAGAAAAATCAATATTTGGAGGTTTTGGGTCTTTGCTTTTTGGCAGCAGACCTTCCTGAGCCAGCCTGAGGGTTAGGGTTAGAGCTGCTGAGGCACACTCCTGAAGGCCCTGCTCCCTTCACAGAGGAGGTCACATCAAAAAGTCTTTAAACTACACAAGCTCCTCCTCAACACAGGACTGTAATCTCATTACTCTTAACATCTGGCACATTTGACTCCAGAAGGTTTGGTTTGTGACACTCGTTTCCTCTGAGCTCTGGGTCTGTGACATCAAGCGTCGACCTTCAAATAGTGAGTTAGAGATTTTTTGGTTGATCTTGAGTCAGTTTTCTGGAATGTCCACTCCTGGGAGGAGACGTCCGCTCAGAACCTCCTGCCAGCTCTGCTAAAGGTCCTTCTTCCTGTCATGTGTGACCATAAAACCTTTGCCTTGTCCACATGGACAGTTACAGATTTCAGTTATGTACTCCGTGTCCAGGGTGAGACGGATCGGCTATGATCCGACCTGCACGCCTCAAATGTCCTAGAGGTGTACAGGAGGGGAGTTTGCAGCAAATGACCTTCTCAGCAGAGCACACAACCCTCTGCAGCTTCTTCATGTCCCTGGTGGTAGCTCCAGCATACCACATGGTGACTGAGGAGTTGAGGATGGACTCCATGACTGCGGTGTAGAACTGCCTCATCAACTGTATACTCGTCAACCAATACTGATAGGTTGATTTACCTCAGCTGCGTCAGGAAGTGCATCCTCTGCTGGCCCATTTTTTGTGATGGAGGTGATGGTGGGCTCCCACTTGAGGTCCTGGGTGATGGTGCCCAGGAAGTGACATGAGTCCACCATTGTGATGGGGGTGTCAGACAGGTTTAAGGGGGAAGTGGGGCTGTGTGCTTCCTAAAGTCCACAACAACCTCCGCTGTCTTCTGGGTGTTTAGCACCAGGTTGTTGTGGCTGCACCAGGACACCAGCCGAGAACACAGCCCTGAGGGGAACCGGTGCTGACGGTCTGCAGGTCAGAGCCATTCTTCCCCAGCCTGAGTTGCTGCTTCCTGTCCATCAGGAAGTCAGATCCAGCTGCAGATGGGTCAGGCACGTTCATCTGGGACTGTAATCGTGCCCAAAACATTTCTAATCGTCACAACCCTAATCTCAACACACGAGCCCAAATCGTGTATTTAAATAGATTCTGATTGTTTTTTTTTACTAAGCTTTATAAAAGAGACACTTCATATCAGCTGTTAAAGCCCTAAACCAGTCTGAGGTAAACTTGTGATCATAGCAGGGATACGTTTATTCCACATGACAGATCTGTATGATGTTGTAAAAACTCATCATCCTTAGGTATCAATGAGGTTTAACAAACTACACTTGACTGATTTCTGCTCCTTTATCCTTCTAGTTTTAATCGTCTGGACTTGCCTCCCTATAAGAGCTATGAGCAGCTGAAGGAGAAGCTTCTCTTTGCCATCGAGGAAACGGAGGGATTTGGTCAGGAGTAGAGGGATGAGTCCACAGGCCCACTCCGGACCACCGCTGTTCACTCAGCCAAGAGAAACAAACTCAAACAATTGCACAAGATAACCACCAATGTAAATAAGCTATTTTGTCATCTAAAACCAAATCTTAATTTGCAGCGTAATTCTTGTGGCGGTCCCAGGCTGTATTATAGAGTGCTCCAACATGAAATATGCAAGCATTTTAGCGTCCTGAGACGGTGGATGTTTTTACGTGTCCTCCATCAGCTGACCGGCGTTGGGTGTTTTTGAGAGGTTTCTAGTTCATTTCAGGCTCTAGTTCTATAGAGCCTTTAAAAGGCAAAAAGTAGGAAACTTGGTGCCTGAAGTCCTTTTTCCTGTCAGACCCGCAGTCATTTAGGAATTCATGTGCGCTTGCATGCTGCCCGTGAAGATTAGGAGACTGCTGTGACTGCCGCCATGGCATGCACGCAGACATTTTGGCATGGACCGCTGAATCTCCGAACGAGCTCGCCGTCATACAAGGTTCGTCATCAGTGGTTCTGATCCGGAACACAGAACGTCGCTCGCTCCCAGTTAGGGTTTTCTCCCAGTGGTCCAGGACAACCAGTGGATCCTTCTGCAGGGGCACAAACGAGTGCTCAAGGAAGATGATGTTCTAAATCCATTAGAAAGCATAAGCCATGTGTGTGTAAGAGTGTGTGTGTGGTTCTAAGTGAATGCCAGAGATGCGGGACATGTTCCCGGCTACCTGCTTGCACACTGTGACGTAACAAACGAAGGGCTTCTGAATGGCATCATACGAGGATTCCACCTTAATAATCTGCATTGTAACCCTGCAGTTTAGAAAATGGCCCAAAGCAACAATAATTCAGTGGTCCAGTTTGTCCTGGATGGGTGAGAAAGACTGTTTTAGTTTTAACAGGTGGCTCACACACCTAATGAAAACGTTAAGACATTATCATCTCAAACAGATCTTCTGTAGTTGTGTCCAGGTGCAAAGATCTCTTTGGTGTGGGGGGGAGAGAACCCAGAAGCCACGCCCACTTATTCAGCCTTCTAGGTGGCACAGACTTTCCCATCATGCATCTCTACTGCAGCCTGATGCACCACATCACTGTGTTAGTTTTATACTTAAGCCTTAGTTCCCACTGAGCTTTTGTTTATTCAAGTGGATGTTCTCTTTGTTCTACGTGTCATGTGGTTTAAATCAGGCAGAGGACAGCAGATCTCGTAGCTTCCAGCTGCTTCGGGCGATGATGTCCATCCGTCCCGTAGAGGATGCATGTCCAGCTGAGCTGCAGGGAGGAGGAATCTTTACTCTAGCAGGAACCTACCGTGTGTGTGAGAGAATATTAACTACATAAAGTAAATCAAGTACTTTATTTATAAATCTGCGATGCCTTTGTTCTTATCAGAAATTGACTGTTTCAGGTTAATGTCATAGCGGACAGATCAGGACACACCTGGACAGCTGGGCTCATTAAAATCCACTCATCGTTTTTAGATTAACTCATTTTTTTTATTGCGTGGGTAAATCTGTGACGTCAGCCACCTGAAACGCATCCCAACTGTAACATATCACGTGTAGATACACTGTAAACAGCAGCTACACTGTACAGAATGCCCCTTTACTGGAGACGGTGTGTATAGAAGATTCATTTTTAATCTGATTTCACCCATTTTAAATGGAGAGAGATGGATTCATGAGCTCCAAATAAATAAGTGAATAAACCCCCTCAAGGGCTGCTTTTTGTTTTGTCTGCCAAAAACGGTCAAGTTCATAGTTGGTAACTAGCATGTTTAGCATTGGCTTTGGCAAAAACACCCATGCAGGTCCCTGAGGGTCACGGTTCTCAGGCCTGCTCCAGCACACCTGATGTGACTCATCATTGGGGGCGGCAGCAGCAGCTCAACAGGTTGAGCGGGTTGTCCAGTAGTCAGAAGGTTGCAGGTTCGATCCCGGCTCCGGACAGAGAATTCTGCTGTTGTGTCCTTGGGCAAGACACTAAACCCATCTTGCCTGCTGGTGGTGGTCGGAGGAACCGGCGGCGCCTGTGCTCGGCGCGCCCCAGGGCAGCTGTGGCTACATCGTAGCTCATCACCATCAGCGTGTGAATGGATGAATGATGCACTGTAGTGTAAAGCGCCTTGGAGCCCTTACTCTGAGAGGTGCTATACAAGTGCATCATTTATCTCCAGGGACATGATGCTGATCAGGTGCGTCGGAGCACAAAAACCTACAGGACAGGTGTCTGAGAACGGGACGAACGAAACATACACATCTTTTTCATCAGAACAGTAAATATTCAGTTAATATTAATTATAAAAGGAATGATCTTAAAATCCAGGTAGAGGCAGGATGAGCAAATCAAAGATTTGTTCCAATAAAACAATCATCGTCGCTTGCTTCCATTTAGCCACATTCACTGGTGTCTTCTGTTTCTAACATAAATTACCCACGATGCATATTTCTAGGAAGCATGGCTGGTTTGTGTGAAACCAGTTTTACTGCAGTAATTATTACAGAATCGGTCCGAGGGTCGGGAACAGCCTCCTGTTCCACGAAGAGGAGATGAGCTCTTCATCCAAGCTTCTTTAGAAGGTTCACAGCTTCCTTATGGACCTGCAGAGGAACAAAGATCTTAGTACGTGCACCAACAACACCGTCTGGATGTGGGGCCGTTAGGGTGTGAACCTCTTTGTCCTCCAGTGTGTGAGCAGGATAATCTTTAGCTTTGGTCAGCCAGAGCAGCGCTTTCTGCTTCTCCTTCATGGCCAGGTACGTCTTCCCGAGCATCAGCAGGTTTTTACTGTAGAAGTTGGGATCAACTGAGGAAAGTGAGGATTTGGAACATTATTAATGGAATAAAAGTTTTACTACAGAATTTCAACCGGAGCCAACAGCTGTTGTTGAAACGGTCCAGAGAGGTTCTGTTCTACCTTGTTCAGCTTGCAGGAAGAACTCCAGTGCCTGAAAGACAAACGGCACTTTAGCACACCAACACACACACACACACACACACACGCCGACACAAGTGAACTATTGCTTCATGACTGAAGCTCTGTAACAGCTCTTGTCAAAGTCTGAATGAAAAAGGTCAGAGGGAGCTGAGAGCTCCTTACCTCTTCGTATGTGGACGTCGGCGGTGAAGCAAAAATGACAGCTGCCACTTTGCGCTGATACCACGGCAGCTCAGCAAAAGCAAAACACCTGTGGGAGAAGAAATGTTCTGATGGTGGGTCGGACCAGAACATCAGAGGTATCAGCCCTGATGGCTGCTGTATTTTCTGTTAGCCAAAATCAAATGTCTTTGGAAATGTTGAATTAAGACATTTATTCTTTGCATTGGTACACCTAAACATTTTTATTGAGCTAAAATTGATAGAACAACCCGAGCCATTTTCACTGGGCCTCAGAATAAAAGCAGCTTTTGTTTCTGCCAACACAAAAACAGGCCTTTCCTCATCCTGCAGCAGGTCTAGTAGGCGCTCTAAGTTCATTTGTAACATGCTCCTACTTGTTGGGGGAAGTTTGGAACCAGACATCTTACCAGAAGCCTAAAATGTGTAATGAAGTGGCATCTTTGGGATTGAGCTTGATGGCTTTCTTTTAAAAAAAAGGAAAAAGATAAAAGATTAAAACAGCAGAAGCAGATAATTTTACAGCATCAAGATGACATTCAGTTATCCTCACCTCCAGATGCTCCCTGATGATGTAGGAGTTTCCAATTTTTACTTTGACTCCTTCAAAATCCCCAACATCGCTGAGACACACGGCGTACCACTGTGTTAGGCAAAGAACACAACCTGCAAATACAGCTCACGTGCACCGAATCATCAGTGAATGCGCCATCTTACTTTGTGTGCAGCAAAGCACGTATCATCCCTCTCCAGGGCCCTCTGTGCATATCCAAAGGCCTCGAAGACCAGCTGCTTCTTTCGTTCAGGCTGAGTGTCGGGCAGCAGGGACAGGTCACGAGACGCCCGGGCCAGCCTCCACAGGAACTCTGCATTGTCACTGAATAAACGACACACCACCCACGTTAGCTCGCACTGCTCAATACTCTAATCCACAAAAAGTAAAACAAGCCTGGCGAGAATGACCAGAAAGGATCCTTTCTCACCTGTCCTTGTACTGCAGCAGCAGCTGGTAAAGCCTCTCTGTTTCTGCACATCCATACAGGTAGTCCGCCTGCTGCAAAACCTTCTCTACCCCCCCACACACAATTACAATAATTATGTTACTAAAACTACAGCTTTAAAATAACAAAATCAGAGTTGTACCCAGTAATCTGGACATGATGAATGACCACCCAACAGTTTCTTTACCTTCGTCTGAAGCCCAGACCACAGCTGAACTCTGCACCCACCGAACCGCTTCATAACTCAGATAGGACAGAGCAGGAAGCCCCAGGAGGAATGAAGCTCGTCCACTCTGCACACGAGGAAGTGATGGGGACATTCAAACGAAATGTTAGACCAAAGATAACAGTGTCTTGTATGTTGATTACAGATCTGTCGCAGCTGACCTGGACAGCGCGGATCCCTAAAACCCAGTTCAAACTGATTACATTTTGTACCTGTTGTGCCAAAAAGCGACTGGCTGCCAAAAAATGATTAGCCACCGCAGGATCGCGCACAGTCAGGGTAATTGCAATTGACGAAATTCCCCAGGATTTCGCCTTAAAACTCGGCATACCTAGCAATATGGACACTGAGAAAGCAGAGATAACCTCGTCCGGTTTTTGGGCAGCCGGTCGCTTTTTGGCACAACACCTGTAACACACTTGTCCTGCTGTTGACCTTTGACACACAAGGCGAGGTTCATTTATATCGCACATTTCATACACAGAGGCAATTCAGTGTGCTTTACACATAACATCCCCCTAGCACTGCAGTAGGAAAGATATCCTAATGTCAAAAGAGTGATCATGGAAAGACGTAGTTACTTACACGCAGAGAGCCGACAGTCCTTCGGAAAGTTGTCCAAAAGAAGTAGCTAGTTCCCCTGAGCTTCGTGCCTTTGGCTCCAGGAGCAAACTGCAATAAGGAGCTGTTCACACACCAACTCAGAGCTCTAGCAGCCATCCTAAATTAGGTCCAAACACTGAATTAACACCAGGAACTGCCTTAAGCCAACTAAGTTCAGGGGCTAACCCAAAAAGGTTAACAGGAAACGTTCAAGAACAAACGACATGGAGAGTTTATAAATGCTAAAAGCGATTGTTACTTAATTTTCCCAAAGTACATCTGAAAGTTGAAAAATAATAAATATCCCTTCCTTTATCTTCATTATTTTAATTTTAATTATCTGTCGTTTCAGACTATCATAAAGCAAACTGGAACAAACAGTTTATTCTTGAATAAACCCCGGCGAGCTGACATACGTTCCGTGTGTTCTGTACTATCCGGTTAGAAATGACAACGTGTCTTAAAGGTTCCGCATCAGTCTCTCTAATATTAATAATACATTTTTTTTATTTTGCTGTTCAGTTTCACGTCAACATATTTACTCAGTATGAATTCCAGATATATTTAAAAAATCTGACATTTAAGGTGAACTCAAACGTTAAAAATAGGAGCGAGCGTTACTCTCGGGACTCGCTCAGCTGCTGTTAGGTAAACGTTAACTGCAACTGACCAGAGGGAGCAAATAAAATTACAAACTACTGATTCTTCATCAAAAACTCAGGTAAAAATATTTGGTTCCACTTCATATTTAATACACGTGTTTTAATTTTAACGCCTGATGTCGCCATACAGCTGTCTACCTTTTTTATTGGGTAGAAAGTTATGTCTCGTTGTTTGTTACCAATTTGACATCATCTGTCATTATTAAATCATTATAATATTTAGAAAAACTTAGTTTATGGATTTAAAGGAGTGTATGTAGGTTTCTCTAATGTCTGTCAACATGTATTTACTCATGCAATGTATCAAATAAGGTGTTTTTAACTAATATACAGTAAGCTCACTCAAAAATTTAAAATGATTCTAAGTCTGTTTAGAATTTTGTGTGAGCCTTTCTAATTAGCTTAATCTGGCAGGTTTGTCCTTGTTTTTATTGTATGTTGAATTAATTTGTTCAACTTTAGTAACATTTGGTGTTAAATATACATTTATCTTCCTTTTCCAAGCTGATGGCTACAGGTGGACCTCCTGCTCCAAGTCCCCCCAACCTGGTCACCAAGGTGGAGCTGACCATTTCCTGTGAAAACCTGATGGACATGGATTTCTTCTCCAAGTCTGACCCAGTCTGTGCCTTGTTCCTCTACACTCCAGACTCCATCTGGTATGAGGTATGTGTGGCTCACGGTGGACCATGTTCTCTCACACTAGTCCAGCTCTATTGATGCGTTTCTTCATTTTGATGTCAGATCTTAAACCAGGTACTCCTATTTTTTTTCTCCACTAGCTTGGGCGCACAGAGACAATCCAAAACTGCCTGAATCCAAAATTTTCCAAGAAGTTTGTGGTTGATTACTACTTTGAGACGGTGCAGAGGCTGAAGTTTAGTGTGTATGACATTGATAATGACAGCCATGATCTGAATGACTGTGATCACGACTTTTTGGGGGAGTTTGAATGTACTCTGGGACAGGTGAGCTTCACCTCGTACGGTTGTAGATTACACATTGATCGACCTTTTCATTTAAACCGGGCTTTCTTTACGTGCAGATTGTCTCAAACAGGCAGATGACGCAGCCATTGCTTCTGACCAACAAGGAGCCTGCAGGCCATGGGACCATCACTGTGAGTGGACTCCACAGCTGTGGAAAAACCCCTCGACTCCATGCTGCTTCTTCGTTTGACTCAACAGTTTTGTTGTCTGAACATTTAACAGATCTTTGCTGAAGAAGTAACAGACACACGAGTGGCGAATTTTGAAGTGTCAGCCAGAGGCCTGGATAAAAAGGTCATTTTGGGGTTTGGGGCTCAGTAGTTTTTATTATGATTGTGAACTGTGAGTAACAAACTTGGGTTCGTTTGTGCAGTTTTTGAGGAGCTGCGATCCTTTCCTGGAGTTCTATAAGAAATCAGAAAGTGGCTGGCAGCTGGCTCACAGGACAGAGGTGCAGATATTTATTCAACGTTACTAATCTGCAGGTTACTGATGACTTTTGGCTTATTTTCTATTTAATTCTACAGGTTGTGCATAACAACAGGAACCCAGTATGGATTCCCTTCTGCATCACACTCAGATCTCTCTGTGATGGAGACCTTGAAAAACCAATAAAGGTGAGTTTTTTTATTCCATTTTACAGGAAAGAGCTTCGTAAACCATCCATCCATCCATCCACCCATCTTCTGAACCCGATTTGTCCACGCAGGGTCGCGGGGGTGGGAGTGGGGGTGGCAGGTGGCGGTGCCTATCTCCAGTAGTCAACGGGCAATTAGGCGGGGTACACCCTGGACAGAGAGCCCGTCCATCGCAGGGCAACACAGAGGCACACAGGACAAACAACCTTGCACACACACACTCACACCTAAGGACAATTTAGACAGACCAATCAACCTAACAGTCATGTTTGTGGACTGTGGGAGGAAGCCGGAGTACCCGGAGAGAACCCACGCATGCACAGGGAGAACATGCAAACTCCATGCAGAAAGATCCCAGGCCGGGAAACAATGAGGAAAAACTGTCTGGTCACACCTGATACTTCCACGAGGGAGAAACCAAGAACTGCTACTGAAAGGTCTACAACATACCCCTCAGTGCCTCCGGGCAGCACAGCCTGCAACCCCCTGTAGAAGAGTCCATCAGAGGTAGAACGCAGGGCGTCCGGTTAAGAATCCGACAGCGTAGTCACAGTTTGGCACTGACGATGTGCCATATCTTGGAAACCACAGCCAAGGGGGAGGTGGATATATTCGGCTATGCAGCCGAGAGGTTTGTCAATGTTGAGAGCAGGAATTGCAAGTCCAAACACACAACGACCTGCAACCCCACCCAGATTAACAAACTGCGTTGAGAACTCAGAATCCTCAAGCAACGCACAATATAGCTTGAGAAGAGTAAAAGTAACCGCTGGCCGAGCTTCATGACATCCGAGCAGTATACGATGTCCTTCAATGTTCAGCCAACCTCCATGACTGGGATAAAATCAACACACATCCAGTCCCCAACGTTCAGGACGGTGGTCCCTGGAACACCTCCTTAGCAGCTCCTCAAAAGTACTTAGGAATGGGTGCTATTTCTGCTCAGGACCGTTTCTGATGGTATGGCCACAGTCATCACTACCACCAAGGGCCAAAGGCCACCATGTTCCACACAGCCTGAAGGACGTCCATCATTCAACCACAAGCAAAGTCAGGCCTCCTCACCACCGGTGGATCAAGTTCCCAGCCAGGATAACAACCCCGCGGCTTCGACCAGACATGATCATCACGTCCGATGCCACCATGCAGCTGGTCGCTCTTGTCATGGTTTGTGCTGAGTCTAACTGTGTTGTGATGAGTCTTCTGTGTGCAGGTGGGTATGTCTGGAGAGCAGCTGGAGAGCAGCTGCTACCTATCTGTTCATCAGTGGTCAGGGGATTTAAGGAGCATTGGGACAACTCATCAGTACCGGATGATACTCAGCATTGGGAAACTTCTCCTCCACCAACCAAACCTCCATCAGCTACAGGAAAACTCACCGGATTCCAACCCTGTCTGCCAGTCCCGTCGCTCACCCCTGACCGCCTGCTCTCCAATCCCCACCTGCCAACTCGGACACCCCGAACTCTGGTACTCAGCTCCCAGGCACACCTGACTCTCGCTCTACCAGCTCAGCCAGCCGTGACTTGCCTACCCCTCTAAGCCTTACCAACAACCAGGAAACTGTAAGCTACAAACTCATTTCTTTCACGGTCAAATCTGCAAATACTCACTCCAGTCTCTGTTCTAGAACTCCACCGGAACCATCGGATCTCAGACCATCATCTCCTTTGTACATAATAATAAACCTTTTTTACTTACCTTTGTCTCCGTGCATGATTCTGCATGTCGTGGGTCAAAAAGCTGCAGCCCAGCATGACAGCTCTAAGGGCTGATGTGTGGACAAGAGCTGCTGGAACACAGGCTGGGGTCCGATCAATGCTGGTCGGGTCGCCTGGGCGAGGGTGTCAGATGTTTGAAAAGCCCTGAAACACCAATGACCCCCAGGTTTCATCCCTGATGAGGTGTCCCAGCATCCGCAAGATGTATGTTGCAGCTGTCTTACAGCTGTGTGAAGGCTTTTATATATTTTAGGTAAAACGTTTCCCCTTAAGAATGTGGATGACTTTAAAGGCCTGTTGACTGGACTGAGCTGCTCCTGTTTTGGTGTTGAGTTGGACTGACACCAAAGGTTGATCAGGCTGGACGTCCAATTGTTACGTTCTGAGAGTTTTCATAAATCTTTGCAGTGAGTCAGCAGACAAAGGCAAAAACCTCGCTGCCCACCTTTAAGCTGGTGATTTTGTTTGTCTAACAGTCATGATCTCATGCACTAATAAGTCATGTGATCATTTTTTATCTGACAATGCTACCATACTAAAACTGGAAGGACTTTCCTGCTGACTTGATGTACGCAATGCATAACTCTTGGTGTGATCACACGAATTTGTGTTTTATCTATTTCATTAATTCACTGTTGAGTGAGCTGATGTCAGAAATAAACGAATGAATGGTTTAAAATCCCTTTCCTGTCTTCATGATAACTTGGTAACTGCTCCTTTGGTCCTCCTCCCAGGTGAAGTGTTATGACCACTACGTGAACGGCTCCCATGAGCTTATCGGGACCTTTAAGGCGTCTCTGGCAGAGATGTTACACGCAGGCTGCACTTTCCCTGTGAGACTTAGGTTTGGTTCCTTTTGATTTGACCCTGAACACGACCCTGGCATAATTGTAAATATTCTCTCTGGTTTTCAGGCGGAGTTTCAGTGCTTTAATGAGCAAAAGCTTAGAAAGGGCAACTATAAAAACTCCGGGGTCATTTGCATAAGGCGCTGCCAGGTGAGAATTTAAACTTCCTGATTCCTCAGTGAAAGTGTAAGATGTGTGTTTTTGGACACACATTTATTAGGATCGGTCTCTTGCAGATGGAGAAGGTATACAGCTTCCTGGATTACATATTGGGAGGTTGTCAGATCAACTTCACGGTAGGTTCTGTTTTGCCCCAAAACAAATCTTTCCGGTGATAAATGTGTGATGGGCCGCCCCCTTAAGGCTGACTCGTGTCCCCATTCTGCCCTGGCTCAGATTGCCATCGACTTCACCCAGTCTAACGGGGTTCCAAGCTCTCCCAATTCTCTCCACTACACCAGCCCAGAGGGCTTCAACGAATACCTGCATGCCATCTGGGCCGTGGGTCATGTCGTCCAAGACTACAACAGGTAACCACGGCGTCAGACACATAGGACGCTGCAGCTGAGCCAGGACGTCCGGTCTTCTTGAGACAAACATTCCACTTTTGAATCCGGACCTTTGCTGTTTGAACAGCAGCCTCAGATGTCCTCTTTAACAATTTATAAATGTCATATCTCCTACAAAGAGTTCACCCAGGCAGAGGAGTTAAGCTCCCAGCCGTAACTGGAGGGCTGAAAGTTCACACCCAGATCAGTCCTTGTGTCCTTGTGCAAGGCACGGTGGCACCTGTGTACGGCAGCCATGCTTCTGTCAGTGTGCCCCAGGGCAGCTGTGGCTCTGATGTCGCTCATCACCACCAGTGTGTGAATGACTGTGTTGTAAAGAATGTCCCAGAAAATCTAAAAATAGGATAGGAGGCAGATCTTTTAGTTATCAGGCTCCTCTCTTGTGGAACCAACTCCCAGCTTTAGTCAGTGAGGCAGACACCTTGTCTACTTTTAAGACTAGGCTTAAAACATTTTATTTGATGGGGCCTATGGTTAAAATCTGATGTTAGCCTAGATCTGGACAAGTGGGGGAGTAGAGGGAGGTGGAGTGTACAGTAGGTAAAGACGGCTCTCCCTTGCCCTGCCTCCAACATGCCTCCATCTTAAAGGCTAGGTTATCCAGAGTTATCTCTGTAGTTATGCTGCTATAGGCTTAGACTGCTGGAGGACACACTGACCACTTTCTACACTCTACTACTTTCTTCTACAATCTGCTCTTTAACTGTATTATTTTCTGCAATTTCAGCTGTTAACTTTATTTTTTCTCTAAGTGTTTTTCTCCCCAGAAGAAGCTACAACGATGTTCTGCTGAGCTATGGTAGCCTCATGGAGGGGGCCATCAGCTTGAACATTGTTGCTAACCATTTAATCATTCTCCCTCTTCTGATAACACTTTACTTTCCTTGACATTGAATGTGCTACTACTAGTATACCCATTTAATTATACAGGTTCTTCTAAAAAAATTAGCATATTGTGATAAAGTTCATTATTTTCTGTAATGTACTGATAAACATTAGACTTTCTTATATATTAGATTCATTACACACAACTGAAGTAGTTCAAGCTTTTTATTGTTTCTAATATTGACGATTTTGGCATACAGCTCATGAAAACCCAAAATTCCTATCTAAAAAAATTAGCATATCATGAAAACCCAAAATTCCTATCTCAAAAAATTAGCATATCATGAAAACCCAAAATTCCTATCTAAAAAAAATAGCATATTTCATCCGACCAATAAAAGAAAAGTATTTTAATACAAAAAAAGTCAACCTTCAAATAATTATGTTCAGTTATGCACTCAATACTTGGTCAGGAATCCTTTTGCAGAAATGACTGCTTCAATGCGGCGTGGCATGGAGGCAATCAGCCTGTGGCACTGCTGAGGTGTTATGGAGGCCCAGGATGCTTCGATAGCAGTCTTAAACTCATCCAGAGTGTTGGGTCTTGCGTCTCTCAACTTTCTCTTCACAATATCCCACAGATTGTCTATGGGGTTCAGGTCAGGAGAGTTGGCAGGCCAATTGAGCACAGTAATACCATGGTCAGTAAACCATTTACCAGTGGTTTTGGCACTGTGAGCAGGTGCCAGGTCATGCTGAAAAATGAAATCCTCATCTCCATAAAGCTTTTCAGCAGATGGAAGCATGAAGTGCTCCAAAATCTCCTGATAGCTAGCTGCATTGACCCTGCCCTTGATAAAACACAGTGGACCAACACCAGCAGCTGACATGGCACCCCAGACCACCACTGACTGGGTACTTGACACTGGACCTCAGGCATTTTAGCATTTCCCTCTGCCCAGTCTTCCTCCAGACTTAGCCACCTTGATTTCCAAATGGCATGCAAAATTTGCTTTCATCCGAAAAAAAAACTTTGGACCACTGAGCAACAGTCCATTGCTGCTTCTCTGTAGTCAAGGTCAGGCGCTTCTGCTGCTGTTTCTGGTTCAAAAGTGGCTTGACCTGGGGAATGCAGCACCTGTAGCCCATTTCCTGCACACTCCTGTACACAGTGGCTCTGGATGTTTCTACTCCAGACTCAGTCCACTGCTTCCGCAGGTCCCCCAAGGTCTGGAATCGGTCCTTCTCCACAATCTTCCTCAGGGTCCGGTCACCTCTTCTCATTGTGCAGCGTTTTCTGAAACACTTTTTCCTTCCCACAGACTTCCCACTGAGGTGCCTTGATACAGCACTCAGGGAACAGCCTATTTGTTCAGAAATGTCTTTGTGTCTTACCCTCTTGCTTGAGGGTGTCAATGATGGCCTTTTGGACAGCAGTCAGGTCGACAGTCTTACCCATGACTGCGGTTTTGAGTAATGAACCAGGCTGGGAGTTTTTAAAAGCCTCAGGAATCTTTTGCAGGTGTTTAGAGTTAATTAGTTGATTCAGATGATTAGGTTAATAGTGTCACGTTTTGGGATGGTAGGACCCAAAATGCAGGAACCCAAGATGACACGAGGCAGGTGATAATATAAAGAAAAATCCTTTATTTTTGAAGGATGAGTCCAAAAAATAAGAATAAATCCACAGGAGCTGGAAGTCAAAACTCCAATAAGCCCAAAATGAAAACTAGAGACAAAACACTAGAGAGGGCTGAGATCAAGATACTAGAGACAAAGAACACTAGAGACTAGAGCAGAACTGACAGAATTACCACAATGGATCGACACAAGACAGGGCTTATATACACAGGGAGGAGTAATTAGGGAAATTGGCAGCAGGTGTGTGGAGTGAGGGCTGGAGGGAAGTCAGGTGAATATAATAATCTAACTGGGAAAACAGAAACAGAGGAGGGCAAATACCTAAACACAAAACTTAACAGCAACTATCTAAAGACAGAGGGAAGGGCTCTCACACACACACACACACACACACACACACACACACACACACACACACACACACACACACACACACACACACACACACACACACACACACACACACACACACACACACACACACACACACACACACACACACACACACACACACACACATACACTGAGCTGGGGACAAAGAGGCTGGAGATGACCTGGGAGGAATGATTAAAAAGAGTAACAACATAAGACACTTAACTGAGACGCAGACAAAAGACACATGAGGGCGCTATGAGACACAGAAGGGAATCTAGAGAGGAATGGAGAAACATCAGGAGACACAGATGCAGACCATGACAAATAGCTCGTTTAGAGAACCTTTTCATGATATGCTAAATTTTTGAGATAGGAATTTTGGGTTTTCATGAGCTGTGTGCCAAAATAATCAATATTAGAAACAATAAAAGGCTTGAACTACTTCAGTTGTATGTAATGACTCTACTATATATGAAAGTCTAATGTTTATCAGTACATTACAGAAAATAATGAACTTTATCTCAATATGCAATTTTTTGAGAAGGACCTGTAGATTCACTAGGATAAATACAATAAAGTTTATCTCTCACCAAATGGAATATTTACTAAGAAATAACAATGTAACTATAGACACATTACTTGGTATATATGTTGGAGGATGGCTGCTTATACTGAGCCAGGATCCTCTGAAGGTTTCTTCCTGTTAAAAGGGAGTTTTCCTCCCCACTGTCGCTACATGCTTGCTTAGTATGAAGATTGCTGTAAAGTCACTGACACTAGTCAGTGACTTGATGCAATTTGCTGGGTTCCTTATATAAAAAACCTTTTTCTGATTGGCTTAATAAACAGTTTGGAATGTTTATTATGTGAAGTGCTTTGAGACTACTCTTGTCGTGATTTGGCGCTACATAAATAAACTTGAATTGAATTGAATGCAATTAAAGTGCTTTGGGGGGTTCTAGGACTCTAGAAGGTGTTCTATAGGCATTTTTACTATTTTCAGGAACGTTTCCAGCATTTCTCCTAAAGAAGTCTTCTCCACACACGTGCTGTTTTATTTATTTATTTATTTATTTATTTATTTATTTGTTTATTTATTCTTTCTTTCTTTCTTTTTTGTGCAGGACTAAGATGTTTCCTGTGTTTGGTTTTGGAGCCCAAATCCCTCCATCCTCAGAGGTAAATATTCTCCTGTTTTTATTAAATATTGGGGGAACACTTCAAAATAAGGGTCCCTTTGTTAATGTTATTTTGTGCATTGTTGTGCATGAATAAACTATTAAATAAAGTATTAACAACTAGTTAATCATATTATGTAATGCATTACTAAGCAGACACCACCCTGACCCTTTGTCCTATAACCACTTAATAGTTAACATGTAATGTTAATAAAGGGACCTTTGTTTATTAATGCTTAATAATACACTAACACAAATAAAGGGGCCCTTATTGTAAAGTGTTACCTATATTGTTATATAATTTTAAGTAACTGTTCAATAGGGAGTTTCTAAGCTCCAGCGTTTATTTGAACAACATTCTTTGCTGCTGTGGAAAACAGATTCACAACTTCACCTCAGGTTTCTGAATTTTGGTTTTATCTGAATATCACTGCTAGCCTCTTATGAGGTCTTCTCACTGAAGGTTAACATTTTATGTTTTGAGAAAGACACATTTTAGGAGATATCTGCCTGTTTTATGATGCTCACTCAGCTCTGCGCCACTTTGCATCTCGTCTCAACAGGTTTCCCACATGTTTCCTGTCAACTTCAACCCATCAGATCCCTTCTGTGCAGGTAAAGAAAGACAGAAAGAAAACAATATTTTGTATAGCCCCTCTCACGAAAAAATCACCAGGCATTTCACAAGAACAAAAAAAAAAAGAAATAAAAAAAAAACAACATTTATTTTTTAAATATCATAAAAAAGAAAATGAAGAAATTGTGATTAAAAAGTGTGAGGAAAGATGAATAAGAGGGTGGTGATGAAGGTCACACCACAACCTGAACAAGTGAGTCTTCAGCTGCTTTTTAAAGGAGACCACTGAGTCCACTGATCTCAGGCTCAGGGGGAGAGAGTTCCAGAGTCTTGGGGCCACAGCCTGGTGCTGCACAACCAGTAGGCTTTGATCACTGGACCTCAGGGACCTGCTGGGGGTGTAGGGACTAAGAAGATCACCAATGTAAGATGGTGCTTGTCCATGTAAGGCCCTATAGACCAGAACCAGGATCTTGAAATGAACCCTGAAGTTGACTGGCAGCCAGTGAAGCTGGAGGAGAAGCGGGGTGATGTGGGTGTGTTCGGAGGAATTGGTCACAAGCCGAGCACAGGCGTTCTGAACCACCTTTTCTTCCTGGCACTCGCGGAGTACAGACGCTTCTCTTTTTGCTCCCTTATCTTTTTTTCCCAAGGCTCTTTGTCCTGTCTGCCCACAGAGCGCTTCTCTGCATATTTCTGAAAAACTCTAGTTTTACTAACCATGGATTTGAAAAATTGGTCATTCAACACGATTGATAAGATTTTTTCAACAATGAGAACGGAGCAGGGGCTCTCACATGTCCACAGGGGACACACCCGGCGGGGTATATGCTGGATTCCTGGAGGAAATGGAAGATCATATGCCTCTCCCGGCTGTCCATTGAGGATGTCAAAGACGTGTGGATATTCGGCCTGATGATCCCTGGATTTCTCCTGAATGGAATGGGAGGATATCTGGTTTTCTGGAAATTTGGGAAGACGGGAGAGATTGGAGGGCGACCCGCACCCACAGAAAGCACCGTCCGTGTGGAGACTTCTCAGACTGGGACGTTACTTGAGGTGAATCATAAGCTGGACAATGTTCTAGCTGCGATACCAGTATTACTGCGCAAAATGGACGTCATCTCGGAGAGAGTCACCGGACGGTATGGACAAGTTTAAAAACCCAAAATTGGCTTCACTGAAGGACTGGAATGATCAGTTTAAAGACTGAAGGCAGAGAGGAAAATTATCTCAGCCTGACCCAAACAAAGTCTTGTTATCCGAATCTGACACACTAGCAGCCTTGAGAGGCTAGGAACAAACCCCCACGAACAAATGCAGACAGATGCTGTGAACCCCCCCCCCCCGCCTTCGGCTTGGTGGACTTCAGCCTGGCGAAGTCATCAACCTGCAGGAGTCAATGTGCTCTGCGCTCCTCCCAAGATCTCCCTCCCACCTGTGGCTACAGTGGCTGAGCGCCGTAGATGGCTGCTCTCGCTGGGGGAAGCAGGATCCCAGCGGGGTGATGTGGGTGTGTTTGGAGGACGTGGTCAAAAGCCGAGCACAGGCATTCTGAACCACCTGTAGACGGTTCAGGGAGGTTCTGCTCAGACACGTGAAAAGAGAGTTACAGTAGTCTAAGCGTGAGGAGATGAAGGTGTGGAGAACTGTCTCAAGTTCAGAGCAAGACAGAATGGGACTTAGCTTAGCAATGTTCCTGAGATGGAAGAAGGAAGAGCGTACGAGAGAACTGACATGAGAATCCAGGGTGAGAGCTGGGTCAAAGGTCACACCAAGATTCCTGACAGAGGGTTTGGCGTGAGAAGCAAGCTGACCAAGAGAGTCTCTGACTTTGGGAACTAGCTTGTCTGGGGCACAGATGAGGATCTCAGTCTTATCTTCATTCAGCTGAAGAAAGTTCCCAGCCATCCAGGTTTTGAAAGAGTCTAAGCAGGTGTGTAAGTACATTTAGATAGATTTAGACTTTGCATTTTGTGCGTGTGTGTGTGTGTGTGTGTGTGTGTGTGTGTGTGTGTGTGTGTGTGTGTGTGTGTGTGTGTTTTGCAGGCATAGAGGGAGTGGTTCAGGCCTACCAGCAGTGTCTACCATGCGTGGAACTGTGGGGTCCCACCAACCTCTCCCCCATCATCAAACACGTGTCCTGTTTTGCCAGACAGGCTCTCCACCAGAACTTAGCTGCAGTGAGCATCAAGATGAATCATTTTCTATCCTGAAATTCCAACACATTCTCACACCCAAAGCCTGTTAGTTTATGTAAACGTGTTAAATCCACTAGAGGCTGAAGAAGATGTAAAAGCATAAAGTGGGGCTTTGAATTTATCGGTGTCTGGTTATGTCCCGTTTGTGTTCTTGTGCAGGAGTACTTTGTGCTGCTCATCATTACAGACGGCATCGTCTCCGACATGGACCAGACACGCCGAGCCATCGTGAAGGCCTCACATCTGCCCATGTCTATCATCATAGTGGGTGTGGGCGCAGCGGATTTCAGAGCCATGGAGTTCCTGGACAGTGATGACCACCTGTTGCGTTCCCCCAGCGGAAAAGCTGCCGCCAGAGACATTGTTCAGTTTGTTCCCTTCAGAAAATTCCAAGTGAGCAACAGCCCATCACTGTCAGGACTTTAATGTGTGCTCTTGTGTAAAAGTGGTAAACAATGACTATCTCACCTTCTGTAGGCAGCTTTCCGACCCGCCTCTATATAGACGAAAAGTTTGACACAACTCAGAGTGGTTCATTTAACTTTATTTTATAAATGTTTAGATCGCATCATTCAGAGTTTTTAACAAATAATGATGGTGTAAGTGTTTCCAAAATATAATTTAAATGAATTCATAATAACTCTGCTGGAGTGTGTAGCAGGCCACTTTTCCTTATCAAGTTTATCAAATGATCTATATCCTGCCAAAGCTGCACATTTGTTATGGCCTTGTTTGATTGATAGACTGTTTTGTTTTGATTTATGTGACATGTTCCTGACAGGACAACCGGGTGGCTCTGGCCCAGAGTGTCCTGGCAGAGCTTCCAGATCAGGTGGCGTCATTCTTCAGGGCTTACAAGCTAAAACCGCCAAACCTAACTGATGTTCCAGAGACGACCCAGTAAGAAGAGTTTGTTTGTGCCTGCTTCTCCATCAGCCTGTTTGATACAATCAGAAATAAAAGCACAATAAACATACTGCATAGGATCTCTGACTTGGTTTATTGAGCATTAAAGGTGTTTCTGAGCCTGCTGTGATAGCAGCCAGCAGCCCTAATGAAGTCATCACCATATACTCTATAGCCCAGGGGTGTCAAACATGCGGCCCGCAAGCGGGTTAAATCCGGCCCGCGAGATGGTTGTGAAAACTTTATTTTCATACTTTACAATGTAGAGTGAAAATAAACGTATCTTTGTGAGCAAGTTTTCTCTGTAATGAGTATAAATGAAACAAAGCTGCTCTCAAGGCTCACACAAGAACTTGAATCCCATCCTGAAGTTGGCCGCCACTCAGGATGTGACTTCTGATATTGATGTGCTGGTGAAAGCTAAAAGATGTAAAGTAAAATGAGTCAAATATACTTTAAGTGCTGCATGGAACTGATCTTGCCGTGTGTAAGCTCTTTGAATCACGAAGGAATTTTTTTTTTATTGATTGATTTTATTTATTTTTTTCAAATTTTCAAGTACACTTCAGGTGTTGTACTTGTACTACACTGTCCTCAGGCTCCAGCCTTGTTTCATATTGATTGTATTAAAACAAAGAAAACAATCTGAAGTTTTTTTTTTCATTTACCAGTCCGGCCCACTTGGGACTAGATTTCCCTCAATGTGGCCCCTGAGCTAAAATTAGTTTGACACCCCTGCTATAGCCAGTGACAGTCTCTATATAGAGAATAACTAGACTAAATGGGATTTTTTGGTTAATGTATTGGTTGCAGAAATGTTGTAAATTTAGCAAAAACACCTCTAGAAAGAGACGCATATTTATTCACTTCGGAAAACTGCACTTTGTTGTTGTACATTAGAACATTTTTTCTGAATCTGTACTTTAAGTAATTTTCTTGAAACTTGGTTTTTACTTTAACTTAATTAGCGTATTTTTTTCCTTCCTGAAAATGTTGCATTTGAATAGCTTTAAACCAGAATTTTAGTTTAATTAACTTTCTATTTACTTAGCCTGTGTTTACACTTTTTTTACAATCACTATGACAGTTTTTCAAAACATCTAACAAGCTCCCTAAGCTCCTAACACAGTTAGCACAACATCCGTCTTTCTAGGCTATACATTGAACACATTCCTTGTTGCTTAGATGCAAAATGCATAAGGTTAACACCCATTAAAATGTTAGAACCTCTTATACACACAAGCTCATCCGAGACGAAATGCATACAGTCAAATTTACAAATGACTTCACATTGCAGAAAACATAATGTTCTAACATAACTTATAGGCTAAAGTCAAAGTAAACAGCTGTTGATATTGTGAGCTAAAGCCCCAACATAGTCCCTGTATTTCACTATATTTCATTGCCAGTGAGAAACATGACGTACTTTTGTTTTTTACAGTTGTAATTCCGGTGTTGTTTCTGCTTGTTTATCTTGCAGTAATACTGTAATCTTTTGCAAATATAGTCTGTACTGCAGCAGTTCTGTGTCTGTACATTACATAAAGCTACTCAGAGATGGTCATTCACTTTTTTGTATTGAATTTCTGCGAAAATAACAAAATGCATGCATTTACGTACTACAGCAAACCCAACAAAAGAAAAATGTAGAAAGGCTTCTAAAATAAGGGCAGATCTGACACATAAAATAATGTTGTTTCTGTTATTTCAGCTGATATGATGGTGTATTTTTGTATGATTGCAAAAATGTTCCTGTTGAAAAGGAACATGTGTTACTGTTATGTATAACTATTTGATTTTGTAACATTTTTGCAGTGTTTTGGTAGATGATGTACTGTAGTTCATATTTTTTAGGAAATTAGTGAAAAAGTTGCATAAATAGACATACATGGAACTTCCCATGTCCTATTAAGGATATTGGCTATATATTACTGTAAATATGTGAACTCTAACCTCTGACTTTTATTTTACATTAGCTAAATTAATAGTCCCATTAGTTATCAATAAATGATAACAAAGGAATAACTGCCATCTCAATTTTATTAAATCTTAAAACAAAACTTATAAAGTTGCATTTGTTAAATGAAACATTATATGTCTGAGGTTGTACAGCCTTAAGGATTTGACAAAAACTTTTGATACTTTTTTTTTAACCAAGTGTTATCCTAAATGTGTTGACATTTCATAAACTAAAGGGATGGAAGGAATACTTTGTGGATTAAACTGTTACAACAGACTGACAGCTAGAGAGTGTTCAGAGAGACTCCCTTTCCAAGATGGCGTTCGTAAAGATGCATTTATGAATCATACATACAAAAAAAAAAAAAAAAAAAAAAAAAAAAAAGGTCAGTAACTGTAAAGGAAACGTCATTGTCTATATTTGGTTTTCCGCTGTTGTCATGGACTGACTGACTGTTCCAGGCTGTTTACAGGAAGTGGTCACAAACCCCACCCACTGCATTTGGCTAACAGGAGGCATTGCCCCTTTAGGGACAGATTCATAGTAAAGGTAGGTTATATATATTATATTACATACTCTGTCTTCCATGCTTTTATTTTGTTCGCGATATAAAAACAAATATAGCGTCTTGTTACTATCCTGTAACCTAGAGAACACACTCTTGTGTCACACTATTAGCTTAGACTATAGGAAACTTCGTGGGGAGCTCCGTTATCTTGACTAACAAACTTCATGCTGGTTAGGCAGTAATTACGTTAGTTTTGGACCATGCAACTCTTTTCTTAATTGTACGTAACTTATTTTTATCGGATTTGGTAAATTCGGAACCTTTTTCTAAAGGAGCCTCAGTTAAATCGTTAGTCCCGTTACTTACTGCCAAATATTTACATGATATTTGAGGCCCTGTAATGGTCGTTTTATATATTTATAAGCTACGTTGTGCTATATATATATATATATATATATATATATATATATATATATATATATATATATATATATATATATATATATAAGCTGCTTTGTACTAAATGTGGGTATTTTCCACATTCCTGTTGGACCTATGAGTTGGACACACAGGTGTGTGTGTGTGTGTTTTGAGAGAGAGAGAGAGAGAGAGAGAGAGAGAGCTGAGCAGGTCTGCTGTCTGTTTGCATAAATGATGATTTTCAGTTTTTTTTTTTGCATTTGGCAAATTGTATTTAAAGTTGTTTTATTGTATTGACCCATTTAAACAGTTAGATTAAATACTGCTTGCAGACAATGCTCTTGATAGTGAAGTAATTTGAGTTTCGCTTCTTAATGACTCTGTTTTTGTTGTTACTGCCGGGATAATGAATCTGTGGTGTTTCCCTGGTTGGTTGAGGTTACTTTTTATTTTCAGTAGCAGGTCTGATTTTTGTGGGAGTAGCTGCTGTGTGTCTGCGTTCCACCAGCTCGTAGAATAACGTCTGGAAATATCACATGTTTGAGCCAAACTCTAGAGTTTATACAATGCACCTTACTTCCACAGCAACAGTCTGTGTGTGTCAGCTGCGGCTGGTTTTAAACCTTTTGTTTACTGATGGAAATAACTTTCTGATAAAACTTGCATCCCAGTTTCCACAGAATGCTAAATCCTGTTCATGTCACAGGTCAGCCATAACTTGACTCTCTGTGGATGGTGCAAACATAAGTTAGGGTTTACTGCTCCATGTTTATGCTTTTTCTGTAGCATCTGCCCCACCCCAACCATGGCGGCAGTTGGAGCCCCACCACCCAGAGCCACAGACTGTGTGACGAAGGTGGCTCTCACCATCTCCTGTGACAATCTGTTGGACATGGACGCATTCTCCAAGTCTGATCCCATGTGTGTGCTTCGGATGAACACCTCAGGTCCTCACTGGTATGAGGTAAGTGGGTCTAAAACTAGATTTTTGGTTAATTAAAACAAACAAAATAATGTTGAGCACTTCATTGTATTGTATCTTGTTTATATTAGATTTGCCGAACAGAGAAAATCCAGAACTGCCTTAATCCCAGGTTTTCCAAGAGTCTTGTACTTGACTATTACTTTGAAGTGGTGCAGAAACTCAGGTTTGAAGTGTACGATATCGACACTGAAAACTGTAGTCTAGAGGAGGCGGACTTTCTAGGACAAATGGAATGTACCCTTGGACAGGTTAGTCTTCTTTTTCTCTCAAATTATGGTTTTTTATCATCCTAAACGCCTGTTTATCATATTTATTCTTTTCTTACATGGTTCTTGCCTTTAAAACTCAGTTTTACATGTTGTTACTGTCTTACTGTAGTAGAGGGTTGTCTTTTTGATCAGATCGTGTCCTCGAGTAAGCTAACAAAGCCACTCGTTAGGAGGGACAGGACACCGGCAGGGTCAGGGACCATCACTGTGAGTTCTCTCATTTAATGACTGCACTCTTTCACTCCGATGGTGTTCATGTGTTTTTGTTTTTTGAGTATTTTGTAAGTAATTTGTTAATTTAGATCTGTGCAGAGGAGCAAACAGACAACAGGGTGGTGGCGTTTGAAGCTGCAGCTAGAAAACTGGACAAAAAGGTAATGAATTTATTTTAGTCGTGCTAATGATCAGTTAGCTCGTGTTTTGCTCTGCTAATTGCTCTTGATTCATCAATTTTGTTTTAATTAGATGGAAATTTTTACTTCAGATTTATCTTCATAATTTCTATTTAACTCTCCCACCGTCTTAATGGGTGACCCCCCGAGGAAAGTTGACCATTTAGCAGGACTGATGGTTTATCCCTTGAGGTCCACGTGGCAGGGGTGAGGTGGTGCTGTATATGGTACAATAAACAACTTGTATGGCCCTGAACTTTGTGCTTTCTATTTTTTGGTGTATTGCTTACTGACTGCTTGATGGTGTATGCAATTCTGAGTAATTTGTTTATGATTTGAGAGTAGTGTTTGATTTTGAGCACAGCTAAAACTGTTTTGAGGCGAAAGTTTGATATTACAAGAGGAATGAGAGGTTTTGTAAATCGTGCTTGAAGCTGAGGTTTTGTGTTTAATGTTTTGAGAAAAGGGAGCAAGGTTTCAGGATTTGCGCTTTGGCAATTGAGAAAAACTGTGTTACTCTGCATATAAATAAGTCAGCTGATCTGTAGTATTTCACGAGTAACCATGGCAACCAAAATCAAGTGACGCAAGTGCAGAAAAAAGTTTTCTTGCCTTCCAGCAGCACTGTGCTGTTGCAGCTGTGAAACAGAGGAGCGATCATGGGCGACATAAAAAGTAAAAAGTTATCAGATGGAGACCAAGAGGAATATTTCAGTAAATATTGATGCCATCCAAAATGATAGCACTAAAGTGTCCAGGGATCCCTGAGATATTCCAGATTGAAGCGTAACAATAAATGAATTGTCAGTGAACACCAAATTCACCCTGAATTATTTGATCTGTTTGCTACAACTCTACTTTCCCAACACTTCATCTCTTTATTTCTGACAGGATTTTTTTGGCAAGTCGGATCCTTTTCTGGAATTCTACAAGCAGACGGAGACGGGATGGCAGCTGGCTCACAGGACAGAGGTGATATGTGTTGTGTTTTCTGCCTCAGAGATTCTTAACTCTTGTGCTTTTAGTAAGGTTATAACACGTTTTTACAGCTGATACCTGAAAGAGTCAATGTAGTTCTGAAGCATTTGTTGTTTTTCAGGTGATTAAAAACAACCTAAATCCAACATGGAAACCGTTCCGAATCTCAATGCAGTCACTGTGTGGAGGCGACGTGGAAAAACTTATAAAGGTAAACTGCTGACATGACAACCCCACTCATGCAGCCTGGCTAACAGACTAAGCTGTTTTTATTGATGTGTAAAATCATGGGAGGCTGATTTGATCCCCATTGGAATTTTTGTGCATATTTAAAGGTGCAATAAGTAAGAATTTTACAAGACAGTCTAGTGTCTCAATCATGTTGGAGGAAAGGTTTTCTGAACCAGATTTCCTTCTCAGCTGGCTGGGGGGTTGCCAGGTTTTTTTTCATTTTAAAAAGGCTAAAGAGGGATGTAGCAGACCTGAGTGGTTTATTGGTTTGTACAGAGAACCAACATTAATTTCTGTTATGATTTACATTTTTCATATTCAACTATACTATCGAATAGCCTGGACAACATCTGGATGTGTGAAAAGTAAAGTTTTGACCAAACATTTAGTGTGTGAACCACAAAGGTAGCAGAAGCTAGGTAAGATAGTTAGCAACAACAAGCTAACGACTTTCTAATAAAAAAAGGATCCATTTAAAGAAACAAACATTGAGTGATGCTATGTGAGAACTACAGCTCCTCTCCTCGTGGATACCAATCTAAATGGCAGCTGGCCCAGAGGAACAAATTCCCAAAAGAGGAGCTACTTCTGTAGTTTGTACGTTTTTAGCTTTAATAGGTCAGATGTAGACCAAATGGTAATCTTTTCAAATTATGTCTAGCAAAAGTGGAAGACATTGGTGGTAACACTAGCAACTTGCTTTACCACCTTAGCTGAAAACACGTCTTGGAGTACCAACAGATGTTTATGTTTATGTTTATGTATTTAGCAGACGCTTTTGTCCAAAGCGACTTACAAGTGATAATTGGCATTTTGCTCTTGAGGCTAACAACAACAATAACAACAACAACTTGACATCAGTCATGGAGAGGAGGGAACAAGGAGTGGACAGCAGAGGGGGGGACGGGTGCAGGCAGGGTGCTAGTTAAGAAGATGCTCTCTGAAGAGCAGGGTCTTCAGAGAGCATGTTTTATGACTGCAACCATTAGCATTGAAATTCTTTACCTTCATTCCTGCCACCTATTGGCAACTACATTTATAAGGGTTATGCATTTACCTGTGCCTGGACACGATAAACAACATGATGCATTTTGTCTAATATAACATTCAAAGGGGATTTTTAACAGAGATGTGAACAAGTTACTGCTTTGCAAGTCACACGTTTTTCCAGTCAAGTCTCGAGTCAAGTCCAAGTCAAAGACAGCCAAGTCCAAGTTGAGTCCAAAGTCAATAATGTGGAAGTCCAAGTCCTTAACTTTGAATTTTCAAGTCATAATCAAGTCATCTGTCAAACTTTTATTTAATGACAATGATAATAAATAAATTCGAGAAGTAAAGCTTCTTAAAGCTTCATTTATTTGCTCAAACAAGCAGAAACTGAAACTGATTATAAACAAAGTGCTGCTGCATTTAGCCGTACAAAATCACGCCCAGAACGAAGAGTGATGTATGATTTTTTGTCCATGTCATGCCACTTTTGTGCTAAAATATCAAACATGCTCAAGTCATCATCAAGTCAACAGATGCAAGTCAATTCAAGTCGCAAGTCATTGGCGTTCATGCTCGAGTCAAGTCGTAAGTCTTTATATATTTTATCAAGTCAAGTCAGAAGTCATTAAAATAATGACTCGAGTCTGACTTGAGTCCAAGTCATGTGACTCGAGTCCACACTTCTGCTAATTAAAGCCAGTATAGTGCGTGAATTATTTTCTTATTTCAAGACAATGTGAGTAAAATACAGAAAAAACCGATATGATTCCTTTTTAAAAAGGTGATGTGAAATGTTGCCATACAGCCCAGCCCTAAGACATGGTCATCTGTCCCGCTTCCAAACTTCCTGGTACAGAAGTTATTTCTTGTAACCCTGAGAAGCCCCGGTATCCTTTTTGTTTTACTCTAATATCGGGTAAGGAAGGCTAAAGGAAAACATTCTTCTGCTCTAAAAAGCCACTTTTTTCAATTACCAACAACTCGATATTACAGTGAAATGTGTTGATCTATGACTCCTCTTCGCTCATCATCTGGAATCGCCTGGCACTGATCTGAAGCTGGCAACAGGTGCGCTGAGTGGACTGGTTTGTGGTGGTACATGAACTACAGTACCCTGATTTGACCGCAGAATGTCGTTCTTACTTAATGCACCTTTAAGCTTTTGATCGTCCTGCAAATGAAATAAAGAAATGCCTGTTATTTTGTTTCCATCCTCCTAATTCTGTTAAAGCAAACCTGTCAGGAACAGCAGCACAAGTGAGTCACCTGTTGGCAGAGTGAGTGCTCATCACATGAAGGCTGCTGTGTGTCATAGAAAAGGTCCGAGTCCTGGATTCACCTAATCCTGTCTGAAAGGAACACATGCTCTGTAGTTCTGAGTGGATTGGCCCTTTGGTTAACGCACCTGTTAAGTGATGCCATCATAGCCTCACAGTTATTTAGAGCATATTTACATCCTTCAGATGAGCTAAACAATCGGTGAATCAACACACACACGCACACACACACACACACACACACGCACATGCATGCACACACACACACACACACACACACACACACACACACACACACACACACGGCATTTTTATACAAAATCCATTCTCTTGAAGCTGTTTATTTAAACATTCTGTACGTCCAGTAATCAGAAAAAGAAAGTCCACCGTATTCTGGTTTCTACCAGGTGCTCAGCACTAACTTGAAGAAAATTAAAACCCTCCACAGATTTTACCAAATGATGAAAACACTGACAAAGTGTAGCGTTAAGACCTCTCCGCCGTTATGGCTGCTCTCGTGGTCTGCCTGTATCTGTTCTGTCTATATGTGTGTGTAACCTTGGTCAGGCTGTTCTGTGGAGTCAAGTTCCTATGCTCTGGTTCGCTGGAGCACTGGCAATAAAATTCTCTCTGATTCTCTGATTCTCTGATTATGATGATGAACATAAATGTACCTCACCTGGACACGAGTCACCAGGGCCCCTCTGGAGCCAGTCCTGGAGGTGAGGCATGCAGGTTGAAGGAGTGTAGGAGCTTCAGCTCCCACCTCTGGCAGAACTTTGAAAACATCTAATTTATGAACATAGTTATTTATAAAAATAGTGGGCCTCCATTTGTAAGGTGGCTTACTGGAGTTGTGGTTGCTGGGTGGTCAGTGTCTGTCGTGGCAGCAACTTGCATACTTGCTGGTGTAAACTGGTGGTGAGGGATGCTGTCAAGCTGAAGGAGTCCTGTTGGTTCTGTTTGGCCTATGGGACGCCAGAGTCGGTTGATAGTTACTGGCAGTCAAAGCGGATCACGGCTAAGGTTGTTGCTGAGGCAAAAACCGGGACATGGGAGGAGTTTATAGAGACGTCCATATGGCTTTGAGGCGATTCTGGTCCACCATTTGGCATCTCAAGAGGGGCAAGCGGTGCACAACCTACCCTGTATTTGGTGGAGATGGCATGCTGATGACCTTGACTGAGGATATTGTGGATCTGTGGGTGGAGTACCTAAAAGACCTCCTAAATGCCTCCTGCAAGTCTCGCAGTGAGAACGCAAAGTCAGTACTTTAAGTTGGGCTCTCCAAGTCTCTGGACCTGAGGTCACTGAGGTTGGCATGGCCAGGATGAGAATCAGCAAGTCTAAAATCATGGTCTTGAGCCAGAAGTGGGTAGAATATCTTCTTTAGGTTAGAGACGAGGTCCTGACCCAAGTGGGGGAGTGTAATGGGCCATTCCCATCTGTACCGGGTCGGCCCGGGCCGGGTACCACCGGTCGGCCCCAGCCTGGCCCGGTTGATTCCACACATCCTTGTCTTAAGCCCATGTGGGCTGATTGTACCCACCAATCAGAGGCTTGCTCTAATGGAAGTTGTCAATTTGCTGTCAGCAGTGGGTGTGTTGGCCCTGGTCGGCCTGAAGCAGGCCCGCTCGAGAAGAGGGCTGAGAATGAGCCTTGGTTGGCCCAGAAAAATACCAGGCCACCCAGATATGTAAACAACCTACGCTACCCGGCCCGGGCCGACCCGGTACAGATGGGAATGGCCCATAAGTGTCCCATGGTCTGCTTCATGAATGAAGGAAAAATTGAGCTGGAGATTGACGGGTACATTAGTGCTGCTGTCTCTACGATGATGAACGCTTTACTGCTCTGTCGTGGTAAAGAGAGAACTGAGGCAAACTCTTGATTTACATTTCAGCTCTTATGGTCAGGAGCTTTGGGTAGTGCCCAAATAAATTAGGTCGTGGATACAAGCGACCAAAATGAGTTTTCACTGCAAGGTGTCTGGGCTTATCCTTGGAGATAGGGTGAGACACATCTGGAAGGGGCTTAGAGTAGATCCGCTGCTCCTCCACAATGACAGGAACCAGTTAAGATGGCTCAGGCATCAGGTTAGGATGCCTCCTGAACGCCTCATTGTGAGGTGTTCAAGTCACATCCAACTAGGAGGTGACTTAGACCTTTTCCAACAGCGCTACTCAGCCTAAAGCAGCTCGGTACAGCGTGGGTTAACTCAGCTCACCCCAGAGTGGCTGCTTTTCCCTGAGGGGGGCTCTTTACTTCTCCCCTCATGCTATTTTTGTCTTGAGTGAACAGTGTGAGGTGATGTGTATGCTACATAGAAACACAACATGAAGATGGGGTGATGTTGAACATCCTGCTCAGTTTGATGGCTTTTTGTCATGTTGGTGGAGCTGGGTTCCGACTATCAGCTTGTGGAGCTCTCGGGAGACCGATGTTTTCCACCCGGTTCTCCCCTCCCCGCAGCTCGGCGCATCTCTGTCTGATCGCGACTTCTGTCTGCTGCGCGGGCTGCCGGCTTGTGGCGCTCTGGGATGGAAACCTTTCCACCCGGTTCTCCCCAGCGGCAGCTCTGCGCATCTCAGATTGCAGCGGCACTTGTCTGCTGTGCGGCTGCCAGCTTGTGAAGCTCTCGGAGACCTCTGTGTTCCACCCGGTTTTACCCAGCGGTCAGCCCGGCGTATCTCTGACTCAGAAGCTCTGGTGTTGTGCACAGTTAACTCCGGTTGTAGCTAGGTTGCTACATCCGTTAGCTTAGTGTCAGGTTAGCTTGTAGCTAGTTCTACCAGGTGTCATCAGTTGATCCCAGCCTTACAGCCCCACCCTCAGCTCCACCTCTCTTCCCTTTTGTGGAATTGTCTGGGCTTAACGGAACCTGTGACACGGTCAAAATGGCGGTGGTGGCCACCTCCCATTTCTCCTCAAAAACGTGTTATTGGAGTCTATGGAAACCCATTGTCCAATATTTATATGTCGATGGGAGCAACCGGTGACTTCACCTCCTAGCCAATCAGTGGCTCACAGCTGCAATACTGGCCCGGGTAAAGCCTGAGTGATGCTTCTCTGTCAGCTCCAAAAGGGAGAGACACACACACGGACGGAGACATGTTGCCCTCATTTTTCTCCATCTTCTGGGGAGTGTTGCAAAGCAATTCCCCGCCAGGACAACAGAGGGCGTAGCGCTGTTCTGTGGTATCCTGTCATGTATCCGGTCCAAGATGGTGTGTTTATATTGTGTTTTTTGTATATAAGAGACTTTTAACACAGACAAATTTGTCTCTCATCCTCCTCCACCTCTTCATGCTCTCGCCACCTCTAAACCCACGTTTCCTGTCATTTCTGTCCACAAATAAAACGCTTGCTGCGTAACTTTTCACTCCTCCAGTCACGGGGGAATTAAACGTTCATATTTTAGAGTTTTTTCGCGAGGTATTCTTCAAGCTTCTCCGTGTCTGCCGCTAGTTATCCTCGGCTCTGTTTATGTTTTTGAGGGCGCAATGGCGGCAGTGTAGACGACAGCGGTGCCTTGACCAATCACAAGCTTGCGTTCTCCGTCTCGATGGACGGATGTTTAGAAAAGAGAGCTCGACTCTGTCCTTCCTTGCGGGGGCTCTGCAGCAGGCCCGCAAGGACGGATAATGGCGTTGCGTGTCTCCGCACTGACGCAGACATAGAAGCATGACTCAGGCTTAAGCCCTTGGAACCACAATGGAGCAGGGACTGAGAAGTACCAGGAAATGAGGGGGAAAATACAAAACTGTACTGTTAGAAAAGGTGGCCAGACCAAACCCCACACTCCTGAGTCACACAGAGTAGAGCTGTTGGAAAAGGTCTAATAGATACTACGTTAGATACTATAGAGACTATACTATAATACAATGTTTGTTGGCTGTCTTGGGAACACCTGAGGATACCCTGGAGGTGCTGCCCTAAGTCGCTGGGGAGAGGGAAGTCAGGGTCTCTCTGCTTTGGCTGCTGCCCTGCAATCCAACCTCGGACATGCAGAGGAAAATGGATGGATAGACAATAAAAAACCAAAATTAACGTCTTTTTATGTTTTTCCCTTCTTATTTTCTCTGTAGGTTGATTTAGAATTCACTTTTAACCCTTTCTAGATTGATGAGTGTCATCAGTTTTTGAGGTTGTTGCTGATGTCTTTCCTCCTTGGTATTGCGTTGACACACGCCAGGATGCTCCAGACCAGGGACTTTCTGAGACTCCTGCATTCACAGCAGCTGTCACACTAAAACCTTCAAAAGCAGAAAGGGGAGAAATTCACAACCAGCGTTTCCATTTTTGTTTTGCCTTCGATTAAAAAAAAAAGATGATTGAATCTGTTGAGCGTTTTCCCACATGAGGTTAGATCTGACTCCTTTTAGAACCTGGTGAAGATCAGATCCATAAGAACTGGAAATGGGGTGGATTTTCTTTTTACCACTTAAATGTTTTAGTTGTTTTTGTTTACTGTTCATTCAGTAGAGTTTTTATCAGACTAGATCTAGAAACATTTTGCATTGACAGGTTATTTAAACAGAGGGCCAAATTCCTATTAGGTAGATTTTTCTGGTAAGAAAAATCACCCATGAGTTTCTGAGCTGTAGCATCAAACCGTTCATCTGAACTGCTCTGTTGTTCTGTGTGTAGAGCTTGTTGTGTCCCTTCTTTTCTCAGATATGATCATGCTTTGAAAGCAACATTGGGTCATTGCCTGATAAAATTGTGTGTGTGTGTGTGTGTGTGTGTGTGTGTGTGTTTCAGGCAGCGGTTTGAGTTGGGGTGGCAAATTCAAAGCTGTGCACTCATAGCTTGCTTCTGAGTGGTGCTTTCACACGCTGCTTAAAAAAGGCTTTATGTTGTTGGTCTTCCATAATGAAATACGTCTGATTTTTAAAAATAAGTGTTTTTCTCTCCCAGGTAGACTGTTACGACTACAACAACAGTGGCTCTCATGACTTTATTGGATCATTTCAGACAACACTCAGCCAAATCCAGCAGGCCACACAGTCATACGCAGTAAGCTGCATTTTTACTAGTCTTAAAGAGCAAGTCACCCCCTACCAGAGTCTAACTTCACTCCCACTTCATGTTTGAAAAATGCAACAAATGCTGTTGCCTGGCAGACCGAGAAGGAGGAGCTGCTAACAAATACACACACACAGGCTCACAACAGCATTGTGACATCATAATGTACCAGTTTACATCATAGCATACCTCTTAGCCAATAGCGGTGGCAGATTTAAATTAAAATACAGTGCAGAGTTTTTACCTGACAACGGCACAACACTGCCAGTTTTAGGCAGAATATTTCACTTTTAGCTAAGATGCACTGAGGTGCCAAATTATTGACGACACATGTCTGCAGCACGATTAGACACTCGTTTATTTAGTTTATCAGCAAAAAAAAGTTTATTTGGGGGTGACTTGCTCTTTAATAATGAAATTATAGTAAATTAAGTGAGTGTTGTCCTACTGAGGACCTCCTGCTTCATCCATATCTGATCTTCTTAGGCTGAGTTTGAGTGCATCAACAGCAAGAAGGGGAAGAAGAAAGGATACAAAAACTCTGGTGTCATCATCATCAAACAGTGCAAGGTACTGTGGGCTAATTTCAGCTTTTTGTTTTTAATTCTTTGATTCGTAAAATTTACAGAAACTGTAGGAAAAATAGCTTTTAAGGAAAACAGTTGTTAGATCTAATGACATGCAAAGATTAAAAAGTCATTCATATTAACAAGCCATAAACTAGAAGCATGACCACTAAATTTATTTGAGGCAGACAGTCAAAGTGAGTCTATTTTTATGGCAGATGTGGAACAACTTTAATAATCTGGGTCTCACTGCTGACACCCTTCACTACAACCAGTAATGACCGCTATCCCTGACTGATGCTTTTTATCATTTAAAGTGAATTAAATGAAAGAGCTAGCATTCTGTGCAGAAACAGTCAGTTTTAAACTAAAATCATCATTTAATGAAAAATGTTTGCATTATGGATGTTCCCTTTAAGTCTGTTCAAGCGGTACATGTACATATATAGCATGGAACCCCCCCCCCCTCCCCCCGCCACCGCTTGGTCTAACTGATCCATCCATTTTCGACCACTTATCCGGAGTCGAGTCCCGGGGGGCAGCAGCCTAAGCAGGGAGCAGGGAGAGCCCAAACACCCTGTGAAGAAAACTCATTTTGACTGCTTGTATTCGCAGTCTTATTTGTTTTGGTCACTACCCAAAGCTCGTGACCATAGGTGAGGGTAGAAACGTAGATCGACTGGTAAATCAAGAGTTTCACCTTCCGGCTCAGTTCTCTTCACCACGACAGACCGGTACAAGTCCCGCATCACTGGAATGCAGCACCAATCCACCTTTCAATCTTACTCTCCATCTTTCCCTCACTCGTGATGAACAAGACCCTGAGATACTTAATCTCCTCCACTTGGGGCAGGACCTCATCCCTGACCCGGAGGCATTTTTCCCTTTTCCGGCTCAAGACCATGGTCTTGAATTTAGAGGAGCTGAGATCACTTTCTGATGAAGCGAACAGGACCACATCATCTGCAAAAAGCAGAGACGTGACCCTCAGGCCACCAAAACAGATCCTCTCAACACTTTGGCTGCACCTAGAAATCCTGTCCATTAAAGTAATGAACAGAATTGGTGACAAAGGGCTGGATTTATGACTGCTCCTTCCTGAAATATCTGTGAACAAACCCGCCCACTCCTGCTTCTGAATACATTATTTTCCTGACTTGTTTTTAATGTAATAAATGAGTAGGCTACTGCTCTTACTAGAGTACCATCACTGAGTCCTCTTCCTTCCTCTGGTAATGGAGCTTCTGTCCTATTAGACATTTCAATAATATATGTGCTTGTGTCACTCAGCTTCCCAAAAGCAACACACATATCAAAGCAATGCATACATCTTTCGCATGTTATCCTCCTCCTATTGGTTCTGTTTTACTTGTGAACTTTTCATAACTGGATTTAATATTTTGTTGTGGGTGGAGATTCAAAAGCTCTGATGACACAGGAGGTTCAAGACCAGAAAAGCCTGCTCTCTGCTCGCCCTACTTTCACTTTTGGCACGTTGTTAGCTTAAACAGTGAATTTTTTTTTTTTGTAGTTCCTCTGCTCCTCCTTTGGAAGGAGTGTGTGTAGAAATGAATGTGTGTGTGTGTGTGTGTGTGTGTGTGTGTGTGTGTGTGTGTGTGTGTGTGTGTGTGTGTGTGTGTGTGTGTGTGTGAATTAAATGAGAATGCATTCAGGCATAGAATAATAATACATTCAGTTAATAGGATCAATCATCAAGAAATAATAAACATAAAATTTCCATAACAGTTACCATCCATCCATCCATGCATGACACAGAAGCAGGTGCCTCATGATGTGATTGGACCAGCCTGGTAAAAGAAATAACCAGTGATCTGCAGACACGCTCGTCCCCTGTTATACTGCTAGTTTTATGGGACGGTAAAAAAAAGAAGTGTAAATTCAAGAACAACTGTTTGTACGGTTGTCACTTCGGCCCACTGAGCAAATGCCCAGGATGCCCGATGACCAGTCCAGCAGTGGGACCCAATGTTTTTTCTCCCACAAGACTTGCAGGGCTTTAGTTAAGCATCCACATAACTGCAGATGCTTCCTTGATCAGCCTGCCGATCTCTCGCTCCCTCTCTCATGAACAAGAACCCAAGATACTTAAGCTCCCTCACTTAAAGAGCAAGTCACCCCCTGCCAGAGTCTTACTCCACTCCCACTTCCTGTTTGAAAAATGCAAAAAATGCTGTTGCCTGGCAGACTGAAAGGGCAGAGCCACTAACAAATAAATACACACACACACACACACACACACATGACATTGTGACCTCATAATGTACCAGCTGACATCATACTGTACTTCTTAGCCTATAGCAATGGCAGATTAAATTTAACTGCAATGCAGAGTTTTTACCTGACTAATGTGCAACAATGACAGTTTTAGGCAGAATATTTAAGTTTTAACTAAGATGCACTTAAGTGCCAAATGATAGACTGCATGTGTCTACAGCATGGTAATATATAGCTAATCAGCATAAAAGAAGTGGATTTGGGGGTGACTTGCTCTTTAAGGTAGGATCTCTCTTCTGATCCCGACCTGGCAGGCCACCCTTTTCTGGTTAAGAAACACGGACACGGATTTTGAGGTGCTGATCTTCATGCAGTGTGGCAGAAGCATGTCAGCCAAGACAGCCATACAACATCCATACCCTTGAGGTATCCAGGATGAGTTTTGCCAGACCCCTAACATTTACCACTGTGTAGATCAGCACCCTAATCCTAAATTATGTTTATTATACATAAAGTTTTGTTAATCTCTGATCTATTCCAGTTCAAAGGTCAGTGTTGTACCAACCTGGTTGCACTTCGTATGACTCGGTAACCATGAAGTAGCTCTCAGTTTCACGTAGGTTGCTGATCGCTGGTGTAGATGTTGGACTACCTCAGCGACTTCTGCTCCAGAGATTGCTTGATCCACCCTTTGGTCCCCCCAGCTCTGGTTTCTTACTAGATAACATGTTGTGGGTTTGAGGAGCTCCTCAAATTATTCTGTCCACTGCCCAATTATATCCCCAGCTGGTGTTACCAGGTCTCCATTCCCAGTGTAAACAGAGTGGGCTAATTGCCGCCTCAAACAGAGATCTGGTTGCCATTATAATCACAACTTTGGTTAAAGTTTGACTGAGAAATTCAATTGTTTTTACCTCAGTGATATTTGTATGAAGACGTCAATGATTTCCTGTCAACCGTTGCTTGCAGACAGTGAAGGAGTACACATTTCTGGATTACATAATGGGCGGCTGTCAGATCAACTTCACAGTGAGTACTGAAACACTCATCAGTGTTTCTAGGATTCAACTGCAGTGGCACTTGAAGGCAGATAGCATGTTTTCCAGGTTTGGTTTGAGTTAGACTGGTTGCATTGAAGTATTTTTGCATCTTGCTGGGGTCAGATCGCCATAGATTTCACAGGCTCCAATGGAGATCCCAAGTCGCCTAGGTCCCTCCACTACATCAACCCTCAGGGCTACAATGAGTATCTGGCAGCCATCTGGGCAGTGGGTAATGTCATCCAGGACTATGACAGGTAAAAAGATGGCCTCCACAGCTAATGGAATAGCAAATGAAATTGGCTCCAATTACTGAGCGAAAGTTTCACATGTACACCTTGACTCTCTACTTGTTTCACTTCCTTTCCGCAGTGACAAGATGTTCCCTGCCTTTGGTTTCGGTGCTCAGATCCCTCCAACATGGCAGGTGAGTGGTTCAGATGGTCTTTATTTGATACACTGAACGTGTGTCCTGATTCTGTCTCAGTCTTCCAGATGAATTTTTCTAGGATTCAAAAATAAATGGATGTTTTTTGTTTGCAGGTTAGCCACGAGTTTCCCATCAATTTCAACCCAGCAAATCCATTTTGTGCAGGTAAAATCTGATTAAAGTTTATGTGATTGCACATTGGGAAGTGGAGAACTCACTTTCCTGTTTTTGTTGGTGGTGTCTGAAGTCATTTACTGTTTAATGAGCCTTTGCAGCAAAGTTCTGATCCTCCTGGCCCTTCGTGGGATAGAGTAAAGATAATATTATAATAGTGTGTGCCTAGGGCAGGGCAATAATAGAATGATAGTAATGTATATTTTGAACTAATTTATCCTTGATAAACATATGAAAACAGGTTGATGGAAACTTGGATATGAAGACCAGATGAAAAACAAATAAAGTAACTGTCACACGGTGACCAGATGCACTGCTAACGGCTAATGTTTGTGTGGCGTTAGCCTCTTACTGCAATAATCTTAACGTTGCTGATAAAATTAAAGAAAACACCCAAAAGGGAAAGCAGAGATGGAGGACACAGCGAATGACATCGTTGACAAAAAGGGACACGTGGACATGATTCCGATATTTTGACTGAGCCACTAATGATGTTTATTATTGTCTTTCTGTGCATAATTAACAGGACAATAAGGAAGTTTGACAGCCAACACATGTATAGAAATAATAAATGTCTTCTTCATACATTCTCCTGCAATGCCCTGGTCCTGTAGAATGAGCCCTGGCATTTTTACTGTGATTGCCTGTTTTTCTGTAAAATCACAGAAAAAGAGAGCTGCTCGGGTCAAGCAGGCTGCTTCATGCGCGTTCACGCTCAGGCTTCGCCCGTAGCATTTGCTATCAGTAGCTTTGGCAGCAGAGAGAGAGGTAGTACCAACTCAGCGACTTTGTCGCTGTTCCTAATGCCTAGTGATGAACCTAGCAACATTTCTGAGGACCGTTAGCTACTTTGTTCTAGATATTTCCTGCAAATTAGCAACAAAAATAGCCATTTTTGCTCCGAACCGTTCTTTGAACTTTGTTTCAGCTGTCATCAAGGATATAAATGTTACAGATACAAAAGACGTCATTTGGCACTTTAGCTCACCTAGTAAGACATTGTTCTCTCGTGCTGAAGACCCGAGTTCGATTCTTGATATGAACATAGTTTATTTTTTTACATTAATGGTATATTTTTTACAGTAAGATGCCCACATTTTTATTTGAGACAGGCCAAACGGGACTGAATTCACAGATAAAAAAGATGTGGGTTCAACTTTCATTTTGGAACAATTTTTCAAGCAAGGGAAGGGAAGCTCTGTCAAGCTGACAGACTGACCCATCTTAAACCTTTGTCGGCTGTGCTGAAGAGAAAGGTACAGAACCAAATTAATTAATTAGCTGCGCGTTCTCCTGTCCTCTGTACTCCGGACCACACACACACACACACACACGCACGCATGCACACACACACACACACACACACACACACGGGACTGTCTCAGCTGTTATTTTCATTAAGGAGTGTGCACGTACAGCATGCGCGCCTCGTGCGCGAGCCTACTATTGAAGCTGCCGTTACGCTTTTGGCCTGAGGGGGCAATTGCGAGCATAAAAATTCAAAACTCCGTAAAGTCCCTTTAAAGGCTGCTTAAATTTTCACAGATATAAAACATTGCTCTTGTTTTTCTGTTGCCTATTTATAAAGAAGGAATCTAAAAGGAGCAGAGATGTTAAGAATTTATGTTTCAGTGCCTGTCTTATTAAATCGGCATCAGCAGAAGAATATTTCCATTTTTGTTCTCTTCTATTATTTCACGATTATAGTTTAAAATAAACCTCCTTTAATTGTCCAAAACAGTTATATCATGTTTGACATGTTCAGCTTTTGAAAATATAGCTTTAAAGTCACAACCATCTGATATCTTCTTATCTCGCTTGAAAGTGCCAGAAAACATTAAAGATTGACAAAAATATAGATTTTTTTTACATCGTGATTGATATCGATATCGAGTTGTTACAGCTGTTGCTGTTTACCTCAGAAAACAGACACTGCAGAGGACAATCAGTGCATTGCCTCCTCCTCCTTCCTGCACAGCTGCACTCACTTGGGCTGACCACCTCCTGAGCAGAATAAAAGGGAGAGACTGGATCTGTGCCAGTTCTCTCATGTGCTCCGTTTATTGGTGTCATGTTACGTCCCCGACATGAGATGGTAAAATGTGAAGGATGGGGATAACATAAAAACTGAACAGTGGATATGAAAAGGGTTTTATTGTTATAAAAAGGTTCTAAAAATGAGTAAAACAGACAACGAGCATTATAAAGTTAATGCAACACACACAAACTCTTGAAAAGGTTAACATTAAAAGACGAATGATCTGGGTAAAACGAAGGTGTTTAAAACCGAAGTCAATCATATTCCATAAACGAAGTTAACCTTTAAAACAAATGAACACTCAAACACCAGATCCCACAGGATCACTCAAGAGTTAAAACTTTAAAAGTTAAACTCATCAAAACGGAGTAACGAACGAACAAACGAAGGGGTTAAAACCAAACGAATCACAATGATAAGAAAAAAATATTTCCATGTTGCCCTGCCCTATTGTGTCTTAAGGATCGACTGTGAATAGAATTTTCTTTCTGCATAATTTTTACCTGAAGCTATTTATTCTGCTGTGACTTATGCGTTTGCAGACTTTAATAGATATGTCTTAAATGGCATCCAGCGTGTGACGAACCCGTCTTTAGTCCTGTTTGTTTGCTTGCATGTTCTCCAGGTGTAGAAGGTGTGGTGTTGGCCTACCAGCAGTGTTTGCCTCAGGTGAAGCTTTATGGCCCAACGAACTTCGCCCCGATCATCAACCACGTGGCTCATTTTGGCCGACAGGCCTTGCAGCAGCAAACAGCCTCTGTGAGTCTCTGAATGCTCTGGTTTTGGGTGACAGGTCTTCTTTTCCCCAAAAGTGATGACGAGTACGTGAAAACGACTTTGTTCATTGTTGTGTTGGTGTCCTTCTGACCGGTTTAATCTTCACAAATCACTAACACATCTGCTCCATGCCTCTGCTGTTGTTCTGAAGCAATACTTTGTCCTGCTCATCATCACCGATGGAGTCATCACTGACATGGATCAGACGCGCAGCGCCATCGTCAACGCCTCCCGGCTGCCCATGTCCATCATCATCGTCGGAGTAGGAGGGGCGGACTTCGAGGCCATGGAGTTCCTGGATGGAGACGATGGTACCCTGCGCTCGGCTACAGGCGAAGCGGCCTTGCGGGATATCGTGCAGTTTGTGCCGTTCAGGCAGTTCACAAATGTAAGCTGCTGCCTGTGATCAGGATGGATGTTTTGTGTAGGCGCTCCATAAGAATGGTGTTTAAATGTTGTACATTTTATTTCAGGCGGGCTCAGCAGCCCTAGCACAATGTGTATTGGCGGAGCTGCCAGACCAAATGGCCTCCTTCTTCAATTTATTTGACCTGAAGCCCCCCAGCGACTCTTGTCCTTCCTAAATATGTACGAGTACCCCGATTTCATCACTAACCCCGCTCTCCCTTTCTCTTTGCATTTGATACCCAGCTGCATGAATAATCTTACTGACAACCTGAAAAATGTTTAGATATTTTAGGATTTTGACTAGGGCTTAGCAATCAATGCATTTCATTGAATAATTCAAATGAATTAATTTTGAGCCTCCAGTTCACTCTGCTTATACAGCATTAATGCTGCTAGCTAAAAACCGCCGGTAAATGGCTTAGTTCAATACCGCAATAAAATAGGATTAGCACCCTAGCATTAGCGTGACCCTAGCTAACCACAGCAGCATACTGAAATACGGACAGATACCAGCTATCCTAACTGTGTCTGAAATGTAACGTAACTGTCTAAGTGTTGGTGGTTAGCGTAGCTGCATTCCAAGCATTAGCCTGACCCAGTTCCGGTTCTGAGCCAACGCTGATGTTTTTGATGCGAGAAAAGCTTTTCCGTGTCGTTACAGTTTTATGTTTGGATAATATAAATGTGTGATTTATGAACAGAACAGATTTAATGCAAGGCTAAATCGGTGAATATTCAGTTTGAATTGATTTGACTGTCAGAATATTCTAATTAATCTCCATCATCAGCTGCCTTCATGCTGACCAACATCATACAAGATCTGCCTACTTTTGCCAGAATGAAGTAAAAATAGCAATTCAGTCGGAGCAGATGGAAATAAGTGTTATTTTATGTGGTTAACAGATGAAACAGCTGTGATAAAGCCCTCTGCCCACGTGGATTCCACAATAGTATAAAGCTGCAGACCTGATTTACGGTTGCAGCAGATTCACCCTCACACATCCCAACCAGCAGTTTCCCCCGCGAGGCATCGACATAGAAGGGTTGATCCGCTAACACACACACACACACACACACACACACACACACACACACACACACACACACACACACACACACACACACACACACACACACACACACACACACACACACACACACACACACACACACACACACCACTTGAACAGAGAAAAGGGGGCTGAGATGGTCACACACACACACACACCACTTGAACAGAGAAAAGGGGGCTGAGATGGTAGCAAATTCCCAGCCTGCATTATTGTGCCAGTCCATCTCTGGTGCTCATCCACCAAACTTTATAACCATTCAGCTAAAGGCTAGCGGTTAGCATTTTGCTTGTACTCACAGCTCACAGAAGGGAAGAAGCAGCTTAGGCTGGAAAATGAAAGCCTGAAGCAAAACATTATTTTGGGCTGTTTTTAATGAGGAAATAACAATAAAGTATTGTAAAAGATCCAAAAAGCAGAGGTTTTGTGATATAGTTCCTTTAAGCCACATTGCCCACTCCTTGTTTTTTTACTATTAGTCTTTGCTTTTCACAGTATGTGGAGACATTGTGTCGCGCTATCAGCCTGTGTGTTACTCTGCTTCAGAACTAACAGGGACCCAGGGGCTTTGGAGCTTTTCCTTCAAACAGAAACACAGTTGAGGTCAGCGGTATAAGTGCACTTGTTACGGGTGATTGAACTGCTATCAGGTGGCTACAAAACACAACGTTTGTGGGACATTTCACTTAATACTACAGTACTCAACATAAATGAGTACACCCTCTTTAAAAAGCATGAATAGCATGCGAGGTGGGTTAAGTGTCATGCCCAAGGACTGAGCAGGACTCGATCCTGCAACTCCTGTGCCACACACACACACACTAAATATATATATATATATATATATATATATATATATATATATATAGTGTGTGTGTGTGTGTGTGTGTGTGTGTGTGTGTGTGACTCTTGAGTGCATGTGTGGAACAGAAAATCCACAAACAATTTAAATCTGCACTAAATTCTTGTTATTTTTTAAAAACAATACATTTTAATGTTGGAAATGAATGCCTTTTTGAAATCAGTCACAAAAGGCCTCAAATAGATGTGATTATTTGAATTTCAGTTCAGATTTTGATGATCATGCAGCCCCCTTCCTGCATTTTTCTCTGCTTTCTCTTCATACTTGTCCTCAACTTGTCCCCACGATGTCAATTTGTCCCTCATCTTTCTTCAGTGTCCTCAGGAAGCCCTTGCTCAAAGTGTTTTGGCAGAAGTCCCAGGACAGGTGGCAGGTTTCTTCAAACTGATGGGTCTGAAGCCGCCCCACAGTGACAGCACTTTGTCTGACCTGCCATCGGCACCGCCATCTGATCCAATCTGAGGAGCAACCTTCTTCCTCCAAACATCAGCTCCCTCTGACTCTTAAATCTTGTTTAATTCAAATCTAATGGCATTATCAGTATGTGACAGAACGCTACCCTGATGGATCGCTACATCTTTGCTTTTTTATTGTTTATTTGTTGATAATCCACAGAAGTTCTCTTTCTACACAAATGAACAGCCGCTGCCTTGATTTTCCCTTCTTTTTTCCCAGGAATGAGAGATATCAGGATGTTTGAATCATTCTTCTGTCCTTGGTACGGGTTTATGGTGAGAATCAGTTTCCTCTCCAGGTATGACACAAATCTGTCTGTAAAGATTTCTGCACAGAGCCTCCAGACCGTTTCAGCTCCATGTTGCTCATTTTCTCTAATTCTGATTTGTTTAAACGTGTGAAAAAAAGTTTTTATATGATTATTTCTGATTATAATCAGTCACAGTTGCAGGCTGATCATGAAAACGGTTTCCTACACCTATCCTGCATTAGCGTAGACAGTGAAACTCTAGGATTAGAAAAGCCTGACAGATATACGTCGCAGTGTCACCTAACATTCATGGACTCACCCATCTTGATTCACAGTGGGGAAGGCTGTTGTTGGCATAGCGTCCAGGAAACAGCAGAGAACGTCTTGGCTAGTAGACGCTAACTGTTAGCATTAGCAGCTCCACCACAAAGCAGATCTCCTCCAGGCTTGTGTTATTTGTGGAGATAAAACATCAACGTTGCAGAGCAAACAGTCAGTGGTAGAGTCCTGTTGCTGTTGACCAAATGTGTTGGTTAAAGAGTAAACCACAACTATTGCTTTAAGATGCTGCATTTGAGAGCGATGCTGGAAATGACGCAGTTTGTCTATCAGAGTATATGTATTAGCAAAGTTGTTTACTATTGTTTAAATATATTTTGAGGAGAAGTAGAAGAAAACAGCTCTGATTCACTCAGATTTCCACTTTTTCTTAACATTTCTCCTGAAATGGGAAGTCACCATAGATCATTTACACAATGCATTATCTATGTCTTTGTGTAATCTCAAATTAACTTAATTCTTGATTATTCCGACTTCATTCAGAACTTTTTTCTTCACTTTTTCAACCCGTCAGCTTGTTTGTTCCCATGTTACTGCTGGGCTCGTGAGTGTCGCCTACTTTAAACTCACTAAACTCGGTCAAAATCATTTCTAGGATGACTTGAGGATTACAGCACAGGCTGTTATTGATTTTTACTACTTACGATTTTTACTTACAAATTTAAAAACTCTTGTGCTATTTGTTTACTTCATAGATTTAGTTTAAAATATCTAATTTGTCTTAATCCTGAGAAACACCTCAGGTAAGTATTGACAGTGCACCACCTTTTCCACATTGGGTTATGTCAGCCATATTCCCTTAAACCTCTCAGGCTCAAAATAAGTTTTGATGAAAGGACGAACGACTAAGTCATTTAGGGGTACTTCAGAGTTTAAGAAATGCCCATTGAATATGTATGTGGAGTAACCAGGTAAGTAGGTTTTAACGTTGCAAATCAGCAACGCCTGCCTCCAGAGGGTTGCAGTTCTACACACAACACTCTATAATTAAAACATTAAAAAAATTCTGCTAATTTAAAGAGAGAGAGGTCGGGTTTAGATAAGTATTCACAGCTGCATTGTTTCCACTGATCATCCTTGAGGTGTTTCTGCAGCCTAACTGTCCATCTGTGGACAATTCATCTGATAAGACATGATGAAATCAAATGGATTATATGAAATATTTAGGGAAAAAGGGGGTTTTCCATTTAGTAGTAAGTCTAGCATAATGATGTAGAAAACCTGATGTGCTGTAATACTTCCTGGATGCACAGTGTGCATTTTTAAATGTGTACATTTATTGAGTCAGTATGTTGTTTACAATGTAAAATGTTGCCATATGTGCTGATTTTATGTTTTTATCATTCGATGCAAGAAACACAGCCTGAATAACCTATACCAGAATCGCCAGTGTGAAGCAAAATTTTCATGTATGTAATCTTAATTCATTACAAAAACTAATAAAAATCACATGATGTTATTTTTTGCCAAATGTAAAAATATGGAAAAACTATAAACTGTTCTGTTCTATTTTTGAGTTGTACTTCTGTTGGGTTCATTTTGTTAGTAGATTTTTATCCAGATGTATAAAGAGTTGCCCACCCAGACTTGTTCTCAGTTTCAGCACGGTTACATCTGGCTGGCCACCCAAAGACACACAAGAATGCACGTCATAAACCCACTTACACCACCCCTACACAACCATTCTTGGACACCAGAGATGGTCTGTTCTTACTGGGGTAACCCCAACCAGACGGCCAGCTCCCACTCCTATCCTCCAGCCCAGGCAGCAAACCAAGGCTGTGAGAAGATTGGATGTCATTGGATGATTTAATTAAACAGTATATTCTTCAATCTCTGCTGACACTTCCTAACCCAGGGGTGTCAAACTCATTTTAGCTCAGGGGCCACATTGAGGGAAATCTAGTCCCAAGTGGGCCGGACCGGTAAATAAAAAAAAAACTTCAGATTGTTTTCTTTGTTTTAATACAATCAATATGAAACAAGGCTGGAGCCTGAGGACAGTGTAGTACAATTACAACACCTGAAGTGTACTTGAAAATTTGAAAACAATAAAAAATCAATAAATAAAAATTCCTTAGTGATTCAAAGAGCTTACAGATCACATGGCAAGATCAGTTCCATGCAGCACTTAAAGTATATTTGACTCATTTTACTTTACATCTTTTAGCTTTCACCAGCACATCAACATCAGAAGTCACATCCTGAGAGGCGGCCAACTTCAGGATGGGACTCAAGTTCTTGTGTGAGCCTTGAGCGCAGCTTTGTTTTATTTATACTCGTTACAGAGAAAACTTGCTCACAAAGATAAGTTTATTTTCACTCTACATTGTAAAGTATGAAAATAAAGTTTTCACAACCATCTCGCGGGCCGGATTTAACCCGCTTGTGGGCCGGATCCGGCCCGCGGGCCGCATGTTTGACACCCCTGTCCTAACCTTTTCACACTGCTGTTTCTACCAATGCCTTTCTCTGTATCCCATGATTACCTTTTTCCTTCCTTCACATGTTTTAATCCTAATTTTTACTTTCGCACATTTAATTTAAATTTTACTCATTTTTAAAATGATAAATGACCCGCACTTGTATAGGAGTGAAAGGACTCCAAAGTGTTTTATACTACAGTGTATTTCACACACACACACTGATGGTGATGAGCTACGATGTAGCCACAGCTGCCCTGGGGCGCACTCGACAGATCATCATTTTTTATAGTATTATTGTGACACAATGGGATTTTTATTGTGAGAGGTGCTATATAAGAACAATTTCTTCCTCTTTAAAAGCTCAGTGACTGATAATACTTAATATTACCAAAACGTAACTTTTTGGGGCCTTACGGGGAAAGCCGAGCTCTGGAACACACACATCACGCATTAGGAATTCTTCGCCTCAACATTTTAATTCACTAGACAGGCACGGCTGATTGAGGACTCTTTATTTATTATTACACAATAAAAATTGTTAATAAATAAATACACTATTTTTATAGTTTTAGTTTGACATGAGTTCAGTGTCCCGGTGCACACTCCATTCCAGTAGGTGGCGGTAATTATGCAGCTGTTTGCCACAAGAAGAAGCCTGACGCAAAGCTGTAAGTGTCTAACCTCACACCAAATTCTTGCTTTGCAAAGTACATTTATTTAGTCTGGCTTGCCAGGCTAGTAAGCATCACCAGGCTGTGGAAACTTCATTCTCTCCCGTAACATTCTGGGGTGAGTTCTTTTCTTTTCCTGAACCAGACACGCTGCGGTCTTCGTGACAACCGAAGCTGCAGCATCAGGTCAGCAGAAAGCGTCCTGGTCTCTGGGTCTGCTGCTGCTCCTTGGGCCTCTCTGAGAAATGCGCTCGTTGTCCATCAGATTTAAGAGGTTCCCTATCAGACTCGGGCTCTTTAGTTGGTCATAGTGCAGGATCGCTGTTGTCAGACGGAAGAGCCCAGATTCAGATTTTGACTTTGGAGAGGAAATAAGGTGCAGTACCGGAGTCGTCCAGAGGGGCAGCAGCATCACTGGTGCAGAGGATGTTGAAATGTCAAAATACAGGTTTGATTTTCAAAAAGTCTTTAGATGCATAATCAGATAATAAAGTCAGGTGTGCTGTCGTCTTGTTGAATTATTCAGCTTTTTGTTGGTCCAACACCCCCTTCCCCCCAAGCATTGGGCCAGGAATGATGAGGAGGTTCTGGGTGACCAGCTGCTCTGGAACCAGGAGAGGACTTTCATCGTGGACCAGGAAGACCCTACAGGATGGACCAGAACGCCTCTGAGGTGAGAGTCCATTTTCATGTCAAATCACTGGAAAATCATAATCTTCTTTTTCATGTGTATCACCATTACCCACTGATATGGAGTGGGGACCAGCACTAATAATAATAATACATTTTATTTAAAAGCACCTTTCAAAACACCCAAGATCGCTTTACAAGATAAAATACAGTAAAATACCAGAATAAAACAAACAGTCACTTTTCTACCACCCCAGAAACCTCAACGATACCCAGGTTCACATTTTTGCAACCAATGGCTAAGAAAAAAATGGCCATTGCCTTCATACTTAATGTATTGGCTCTTGTTCTCCAATTTAGTGATATCACATGATCAAGCTTTTCATACATTCCATTCTACAAAATAGGTAAAAGTATGTACGATTTGTGCTGATATCGTTTCAGATTAATTTCAGTATCGGTCAATAATGTAGGCTGCAACATTGCTATCGTATCGGAAGTGAAAACGTTGTATCGGGACATCCCTAGTTATAAGTGTTGTAACTCATCACAGGTGAAGTCTTTTTCATCCACTCTGGTGTAATCAGCGCCCCCTACAGGACAGGTGTCACACAGAAAGTTTAATTGTTTTCTGAAAGATTTTCTCTTAGCTTAGAAGATGTTACAAAACTTTACGTTTGCTTCAGGGAAGCAGATCTGTATTTGGATTGAATAATAAAATAATTAAAAAAAACTGAATAACATCTACTAATATGGAAGTACTAAATAAAAACAATGTGCCCCAGTGTAGGAAAATGACTCCTAGATAAATCAGTGAATGTTCAAATAATATCTGTAGCACGTTTTAAAGAGGATCTAGTTTTATGATAAACAGCAGCCACTTGTTTGAGAAGACAGAGAGGACACACACACGATGGGTGTTGGTGGTTTATCCGTTGGGGTCCACGTACAGTAGCGGGGGTGAGGTGGTGCTCACTCTTCAAAAAACACAAACAAAAAAAAAACATGTGGGGTCTATGGGAGCCTAAGTCACGCCCATCTACTTCCGGCTCATGGGTCCCCGGAAGAACGAAAAAATAAATGCAAGTTAACGGGGCTAAAAACGCTATTTTCTTATCCGCTTTGTCTTACGCCCTGGATCACACATATGTTGTACTGCAATTTAAATGAAAAGGAATGATGGGTGTTTCGACCATGCCAGTTATGTACTTTAAGATTTATCAGCTTGTAAAATTTCGTAATTAGCATGACTACAATCGGTAATTAGCATGACATCACCACATAATCTCCTCTCCCCTAACGTAGTTGATACCTAACAAATGGCCAGGTTTATGGTGGCTCTTTCCTCCTGTGGGAAGTTTGCTGAACTTACAGCCATTTTCCCTCAGTTTTCTCCGTGTCTGGTTCAATGACGTCATTTTCGTGAAGCGCATTTGTAGTCCTGGACTTATTTTAACACAAAACCCTAAAATAACGTTCCCCCGTTCAAAAATAAGCACGTTCGTGGTATCAAAATGTGTCTTTAAAATTCACGGACATCATATGTGAAACCCATGAATAGAGAATAGCATTTTTAACCCCGTTGATTTGCATTAATTTTTCCGTTCTTCCGGCGGACCCAGGGTCCGGAAGTAGATATGCGTGACTTAGGTTCCCTGTCGGACCACATTAGTAATGTGGGAGTGTTAATCACATGCTATTTTCCAGTGATCCCCAACTCTCTTCCCTGAGGGGCAGCATGTTTTAGTTGTTTCCCTAATCCAACACACTTGTATTCAGCAGCTCATGGAGCTCAGAAGCCTGCTAATCACCTGCTGATTGAAATCAGGTTTGTTGAAGCAGGAAAACGGTAAAACATGCTGGATACCGGCCCTCGGGGAAGGGAGTTGGGGATCACTCTGTTATTCAGAAGCAGCATCTTAATCAGCTCTCCTGCCTTGTTTTTATTGCAGCTTTTAGCAAAACACGAACAAATAAAAGGTGCTACCGCTTCAGGATGTTGGATCATCTGTGACTGATTTGTGTGTCCCTCTCCTGAATCAAAGTTTGTTCCATATGGATCTGGACAGCATGACTACAGGTACTACTACTACTACTACTACTACTACTACTACTACTACTACTACTACTACTACTACTACTACTACTACTACTAAAAATTATAATAATACTGTTAGGTATTTTCATTTTCCCATCCAGGGTTACCTGAAGGGAAAGCTCACCACGCAGGGGTGTTATTATCAGTTTAACTCATACTAATCTTATTAACAATAAACCATTTAGACTTTTCAAAGTGGAGAGAGAGAGATAAAATGATACACACGAGTCGGTAGTCTCTTTGCTCTCGTCGGACAAAAGCCCTCTCAAGAGTATTTATTAAAAGACACAAAAATGATAAAACGCACACACATTTAGGGAGACAAGCATGCGCTGGCACAGGGCGTTCTTACTGATAAGCTAGGACTGGGAAGAAGCAAGGTCAAATGCTAGGGAAAAATGGGCTGGATGTAATTTTGTTTAAAATCACACACAATGTATCCATAATTTATCCAACAAATACATTTGTGTATGTGGTGCAGGAGAGTTGATATGTGCTGTGTGTGTGTGCTGCTTAGATAAGGGAGGTGTATGTATGTCAAGGCTATTCAATTCCGGTCCTGGAGGGCTGGTATCCAGCATGTTTTAGTGGTTTCTCTGCTCCAGCACACTTGAGTGTTTGTAACCCCTCTGCAGCAGCTCATCAGTCTCTACTGATTGAAATCAGGTATGTTTAATCAGAGTTATATAGATAGATAAAAACTTTATTGATCCCCTTAGATGTGTTCTTGCTGTGTCGTGGTTCTAATTCCATGCTGTCGTTTTTTTTTTTAAACACAGAAACCGTTTTGTTACCTGTTTTCCCGGTACATTTTGTCTGCGGCTGCAGACTTCCTCAAGCTGATGCTGATGGTGGTTTATCCTGGATGTGGGACCATGAACAGGGACGAGGGAGTTTACACGTTGGACCGCGCATGGGACTGCATCGTCGGAGAGGGAAGAGCGGGCAGCAGAGGGCGACAACGTCATCTGCTGCCCGCGGATAAACGGAGAAGGAAGTGACGCCACCATCAGCGTCAGCCTGAGGAAGTCTGGTGTCTTATTCTTTTTCCAAACAACGTAACACAAAATGTTTATAACACGAATACAACTGAAGATATTTTAAATTAAAAATCTTTAAATAAATGTGGTGAAAACACCAAACTCAAAATCACATCAACCTAATTTTGTTCAAAATATTGTTGTGTAATGAATTAGATTACGTGTTATTTAATGAGCCATAAGGAGTAGGATTCCATAGGAAATATGAAATCCACCATACGGATCTGTGAGTTATTTAAACCAGAAGATTGGATCTTTTTATTGCAGGGATTGGATAACCGCTTCGTATTCACTCAGAGACAACAGAAGAGAGAGAGTCAAGTTTAAAAGTTAAGAATTTTATTACTAAACTAGACTGATTTTAAAACTAAATGTATGGTGTAACTAAAGTGGATGAGACGGTGAATGGATGACGTGTAATGTTGATCAGAACCAGCAAATCCGAAGAAGCGATTAGTTCTGACGGGAACTGAAGGTGTTGTCTTTGCATTAAGCGTTGGTTAGGAGGTCCATAAACACATGAGACACCATTATGTCGGTCTACCTACCCTTCGGGAAGTCCTCTGTAGATCCGGAATGTCGAGGTCTTAGCTTGACCTTCTCTGGAACCGAGCTGGTAGGAAAAGCAGCGGTTCCGACCAGTCCAGTCTGAGTTACTTCCGGGTTCACGACAGTTTGTTGACGTCTGGTGAGACCCAAGCCTGGGTCTTGATGGTTCAGCTTTTGTTCTGAAAGGAACTGTTGCCGCAGTTGGTATAGCGAAGAATTTTTCAGCTTGTCGTTTGTTCTTTCGGTTAAAGAGTAGAGATCAGGATTTGCCACTCCGTCATTTTCTCTGGAACGCTTTGAACTGGCGTTAGAGCTGATGTGGCATAGTTTTATACCTCGGATGTTATGGTTTATTGTCGAATGAAAAATTAACAAACACCATCAAAACCACGCCTCCGTCAGATCTGTAAGATTCTGATTGGATCAGTGAAAGTAATGTGTTATGTCTTTTTAACGCTACGTGAAATGAGTCCTGTTGGAACATTTAAAGTCATAGTACCTTTATATTCTATAGGATTATAATAAAGTAATTAATATTTTGATTTCACAGGTCGGTCACATCTTATTTATTGACCAACACTTTGATGGATTAGCTTTATTAAAATAGAGTTCTTTGATCAATCAAAAGAAAAGAGTTCATTCTTCGTTCTTCTGTTGAGCTGAAAATAAGCAGGTTAGAAGGAATGCATGAGACCTTGAGACTATCTCTCATGCAGACTAGTTCTGAGCAAAGAAGGGAAAAAACTGTCATTCCATTCCGTTACAGTCGTAAATGAGAATTTTTGTGTTCTGTTCTTTAAACAAATATCCATTACGCCTTAAAAATTACTTGAAATTATTTATTTTAAATACATTACCCAAAGTAAACGTTCTTTAGATGGTATTCTATGCTTTTTTAAAAGTATTTGTTTTGCTGCAATTTATCTGGTATTTGCGAATGTTCCAAAAAATTTCAAATATTCTGACAAATACAAACAGGAGAAAATAATGTGTTTGAGTTGATGTTGTTGCCTCACACTTCAGATTCAATCGCTCTATTCTCTTCCACTTATCCAGAGTCTGGGGTCGCAAGGAGTCCCAGACTTCCCTCTCCCCAGCCACTTGGGCCAGCTCCTCTGGGAGAATCCCAAGGCGTTCCCTGGCCAACCAAGAGACATAGCCCCTCCAGCGTGTCCTGGATATTCGTTTAGGTGTCCTCCCGGGGACTCTGCCTATTCACTGGAAGATGTACCGATGGGATTGAGGAGGTCTGCAAAGAACAGGATTTAAAACAACCGAAAATATTCGTAATGAAATTTTGGTGTCAGGCATGGCTATAACGCTCCACCTGTGAGAGTAAAACTGTAAAGCTTGTCTTTGGCATTCAGACATCAATGCCAAATCAGACAATCAACCAAAAAAAAAAAAAAAAAGAAAGTTCATCCCCTCTTGGGGAAACATGGTTCCAGAGCCAGAGCCGTGCGTTGAGGTGATTCTATATTGAGCCAGAACCTCTCAACCTCACATACCAACTCCAGCTCTTTCCCCACTAGAGAGGTGATATTCCGAATGCCAAATGCTAGCTTTTGCAGCAGAGGATCAGACTGCCAAGGTACCTGCCTTCGGCTACCTCCGGACACACAATACACCAGACCCCTTTGGCCCCTCCCATGACTGGTGAGCACATGGGAAGAGGGATCCACATCTCCTTTTGAATAAAAGCCCGGCTGCCAGGTGCTCGCCAACATGCCCCAACTCCAGGCCAGCTTTTCAGATAAATCTCAATATAAAACTGAGGCCATGTTGCCCATCCTTTCCTGGAACAAAACTTTGAGTGCATAACATTCCAAATCAGGGATTTGATCCGTTTTTATGGCATCACATGTAAAATAAATCCTTGAAATAAATGTTTTTGGTGGCCAATGTGCTAGAGAAATTTGATTAATTCTAGTAAGCCTACATTTTTAAAAACCTTTGTATATTCACCTCACTAGAAAGTCACTAATCTCCTGTTTAGTCCGTTCTCATCTCACCGTCTCATAGCAATAACGCAACTGTTAAATGTGTAAATTGACAAAATGTGTTTGTTTCCTGCAGATATCCTGTTGGTTAAAGAAGAGGATCCTGAAGGACAAAGTACTGGTGTGGACCAGCAGGACCAGGAAAACCTCCCTATAAATGTGGAACAGGAGGAACTCTGGACTTGTCTGGAAGGAGAGCAGCTCAGTTTGAAAGGGGAAACTCGTGCCACCTGGTCTCCATCCATTGCAGTTTCTATAAAGACTGAGGACGATGAAGAGAAACCTGTGTTCTCACAGCTTCATCGTCATCAAACAGAAGACAGAGATGTTTTAACCAGCAGCTCGGTTAAGCAGAAGACAGGAAAAACTTGTGGAGGAGCAGAAATGAGCAGGAACCCAGATCTGAACCTTCGTAAACAGACATCTGAGTCTTCAGAGACTGAAGTTAGTGGAGATGATAAAGAGGATGAAGATGTGAATCTAGACTCTGAGCTTTCAGACTTTGGACCTGAAATTGGAGATCAGGACAATGACTGGAATGAAAGCAGGTCTTCTGAGTCAAATGTTGAGACTGTCAACAAATCTGTTAGCTGCTCTGAGTGTGGTGAACAATTTCTCCACAAGTGGTCTCTCCAGAAACATTTGAGAGTGACAAGTGATTCAGCAATTGGGTCTTCAGGCTGTTTGGTTAATAAGAAATGTGTTGGAGAGAAGCAAAATGTAGACTCAGGCAAGAAAGTCCAGGTGGAACCAAAATCATTTAGTTGTGATGACTGTGGAAAACAATTTAGCCAAAGGACAACTCTAAACAGTCACATGACAATTCACACAGGTCAGAAGCCTTTTGTTTGTGAGCTCTGTGGACAAACATTCAGACAAAAGAACACTTTATACAGACATATCAGAGTCCACACAGGACAGAAACCTTTTACCTGTGAGCTCTGTGGAAAAACATTTAGACAAAAGACATATTTAAACAACCACATGAGAGTCCACACAGGTCAGAAACCTTTTACCTGTGAGCTCTGTGGACAAAGATTTAGCCTAAAGTCAACTTTAAACAGCCACATGACAGTCCACACAAGACAGAAGCATTTTGCTTGTGAGCTCTGTGGACAAAGATTTAGTCAAAAGACAAGTTTAACCAGACACAAGAGTGTCCACACAGGACAGAAACCGTTTGCTTGTGAGCTCTGTAGGCAAAGTTTTAGCCGAAAAACACACCTAATCAGTCATGTGAGAGTTCATACAGGACAGAAACCGTTCTCCTGTAAGTTCTGTGGACAACGATTTAGCCAAAAGACACACTTAAACAGTCACATTAGAGTCCACACTGGACAGAAGCCTTTTTCCTGTGAGCTTTGTGGAGACAAATTCATGTATAAGAAAACTTTAAACAGTCACATGACAGTCCATACAGGACAGAGGCCTTTTGCCTGTGATCTCTGTGGACAAAGGTTTGGCCAAAAGACACATTTAAACAGTCACATGAAAATCCACACAGCACAAAAGCCATTTGCCTGTGAGGTCTGTGGACAGAGATTTTGTCGAAAGTCAACTGTAAACAGTCACATGAGAGTCCACACAGGACAGAAACCATTTGGTTGTGAGCTCTGTGAGCAAAACTTTAGTCGAAAATCAACTTTGAACAGACACATGCGTGTCCACACAGGACAGAAACCTTTTGCTTGTGAGCTCTGTGGACAAAAATTTTGCCGAAAATCCACTTTAAAAAAACACACGGGTGTCCACACAGGAAATGAGTAATTATTTTGCATGGATGATGTAATAACAAAGTATGACATCATGTGGTTAAATTTAGGTACTGCAGCTCATTTTCAAAACAAACAACTCTCTGACCCCCATTTTGTGAGTTTCATGGCATTGCCAGCTATGGATCAGCATCAGATACTTGATGGCAAGCAAAGAACAGTCACACGATAAGTACATAACTACATTTCATTGTATTAAGTTGTAGGTAATTGAAATGGCTTGAAACTTCTTTTAGAGCCGACAATTCATTTTTAATTCACCGTTAGCACAGTTAGCTCAGATTTTGCCTCGGTCTGGCACTGCTAGAGAAATTGCATTTACAGTAATGTTGACTGTGTTGTTTGTGTGGAGCTGACTGTTTTTTCCAGCCCTAATTTCTTGTGGTTTATTTCTGGCAGTCCCCACTCATATGGTGATCCCATCCAGGCACACCTATGCCTGTATGACAGGTATGTGAACAGACAAGCAGAATGATGTTCAGGAGTTTGTAGGAGTGAACAGCCTGTTATTTTTGATTTTGGTGTACTGTTAATGCTTAATAAGGTTGGTAAGATATTTGGTTTACGTTGAGTCGGTACTTTGGGTTAAAATTCAGATGGTTCTTCTTTTCCAGTTCTACCATGTAAATAAAAAGAAACCTCTTGTAAACAGGTTAGACATTTTCTCATGTAGTCACTCATCTACATTGTGACAACCAGTGTGGTGATTTATTTTTAACTTGGGCCATGTATTTTTGTTCCCCATCTTGCACCCAATAATGATCCAACAAACTGTTTTGTTATGACCACTATGCAGAAGCTAAGTACGTAAAACTAACCCTCCCATTACTGCTTCGATAGAAATCATGATCACATCTAAACTGAAAAAGGGCCATGAGATATAAAGACATTATTCGGTGGCTGTGTTTGAAGCAACCACTTGTGCTCTACACATGGACGTAGTTTTGACTTTAGAAGTAGGGGGGACACATCTGGCATGAGGACCGGTGGGGAATCTTTACAGTATGTTCCAATGGGAAAATGGTCTTCTGCTTGGTCCTAGTGCTCACCCAGTGTCTATTTAATATATTGTAATATTGATTTTGTATGGTAAAAAGTGCAGAGGTCAAATCCTATCCCCCCCCCCCCCACCACCACCACCACCACCACACACACACACACACACACACTTATGGGCCATTCCCATCTGTACCGGGTCGGCCCGGGCCGGGTAGCGTAGGTTGTTTACATATCTGGGTGGCCTGGTATTTTTCCGGGCCAACCAAGGCTCATTCTCAGCCCTCTTCTCGAGGGGGTCTGCTTCAGGCCGACCAGGGCCAACACACCCACTGCTGACAGCAAATGCACACCTTCCATTAGAGCAAGCCTCTGATTGGTGGGTAGAATCAGCCCACATGGGCTTAAGACAAGGATGTGTGGAATCATCCGGGCCAGGCTGGGGCCGACTGGGGCTGCCTGACCCGGGCCGACCCGGTACAGATGGGAATGGCCCAAAAGAGTCCTAGGCTCTACATGTGAGACAGGCTACACCAGTCAATCATTGCCTAAAAAAACACTAGCTGCTTTGATTTCCACACTGACAGTAATGTCTTTATTGTAGTAACAATTGCCTCACACACTGAATGATCACAAACCTGCTCTAATGAAAGGCTTTGTAACTGTTTTCCTCCTTTGTGCATTGTAATATGATTTTGTGTAATCCCCTGTATTGCTCTCATGCTGCCTTCCTGGACCAGGTCACTCTTGCAAATGACATTTCAATGGGTCTCTCACTTGGTACATTATGTAGAACATATGATGTGAGCGTGACACTATTTACACTATCTGTGGCCACATATTCAAATTTGAAAATTAGGTTTATATTTTAAAAACTATAATAAAAGTGAATCTTTAATGATGCAGAAAACTATTTAATATTGTATAACTCTGCAAAGAAGGTGATTGGCTGCAACATGCCCTCGTGACAGGACCTGTACACCATTCAGAACCATTAAATGAGCAAGAAAGATTGTGGCTGACCCTTTTCCACCCTGTACATCCTACTCTTTTCGCAGGGAGATGTAGTAGGGATACTTGACTAGGGATATATATTCAAGTATTCTTTATTGAGGATTCAGTCCAATTCACAGAAGTAGAAAAACATTGTACAGATAAGATCAAATGAAACGAGCACAATATGACACGCTAAAGCACAAGAGACAAATAATCATTAAAAACAAGACAATAATAACAGCAGTGTCAAAATCCCTAATCCAAAAAGGACTGTTATACCAGAGTTTCCACATCTTTGACTGGTAATGTATTGCACTGACACAGGTATTGGTTAGATTTAAAACAATCACATTCTTAGAATTGTTCAGCCTACAAATAAATGTATAAATAAAACAGCTTGTAGGGTGCTTCCCCTCGCATTTACAAAGTCTCACACTCACTTCTTTCCAGAAATCTTTTGTGTTATTAAGGAGTTTCAGAGACTCAGCTCTCCTAGCTTGATCATTTTCACTAATAAGACCCACTGCATATTTGTATGTTCCCTTTTACACTCAAACACAGGCCCGTGTCTAGGTCTCACCGCAGACGCCTGCTCTCTTGAGGCCTTGCGTGCTTCAGCATGATACTCAGACACATACTCTCTCCAGCTTGGTCTTATCTTTGTTTTAGTTTTACGTCTGTGAAAGGGATTGCTAGCCTTATGTAGTGCATTCTGTAATGGAATGAAATGACTGTTTTCCACCTAAAAGTCATTTCCCCCCTCTCCTCTGACACAGAACTAATCTGCATGAGATATGGCCTCAAGGTCTCATGCATTTGCTCTAAATTTTTCTTTTCCAGCCCAAGAGAAGAATGAAGAAAAGGACTCTCTCTTTTTTAATAAATCAAAGAACTCTATTTTTAATAAAGCTAATCAAACAAAGTGTTAGTCAATGAGATGTGACAAATCTGTGAAATGAAAATATTAATTACTTTATTATAATCCTATAGAATATAATAAGTAATATAACTTTAAATGTTCCTATAGGACTGATCTCATGTAGCGTTAAAAGACATGACACATTGCTTTTACTGATCCAATCAGAATCTGCCAGATCCGACGGAGGCAAGGTTTTGGTGGTGTTTGGTAAATCTGTCATCTTTTCAGTCGACCATAAACCAAAACATCCAAAGTATAAAACTATGCTCACGTCATCTTTAACACCAGTTCAAAGCGTTCTAGAGAAGTTGACAGAGTGGCCAATCAGTAACTTTCCTCTTCAGCCGAAAGAACCAATGACAAGCTGGAAAACCTGCTGCCGTTCCACCTACTGCAAAGGTTCCTTTCGGAATAACAGCTGAACCATCACGGCCCCGTTTTGGGTCTTGTTAGATGCCAATAAACTGTCGTGACCCGGAAGTATCTCAAAGACTGGACTGGTCGGCTGCCGCGGCTGTTCTACAAGCTTCGGCTCCAAAGGTCCAAGATGGACCTCTACACCTCCTGATCTAGACGGGGACTTCCACCAGGGTACATAGACCGACAAATGGCGTTGAATGTTTTTATGAATCTCCTAATCAAAGCTTAGCGCGAAGACATTACCTTCACTCCCATCAGAACTAATCATTTCCACGGATTTGCTGGTTCTGAACAACAATCCACATTACACCATTCTCCGTCTCACTTCACCTTAGTTACACCATACATTTAGTGTTTAAAGTTAGTCTAGCTTTAATTTGTTTAGTAATAAATCTTTAAATTTTTAAAACTTGACTCTCTTCTGTTGTCTCTGAGTTAATACGAAGTGGTTACACAATCCCTGCAATAAAAAGTTCCAATCTTCTGGTTAAAAAGTACCCGCAGATCCTTAAGGTTGATTTCATATTTCCTATGGAATCTCATGTCATGGTTCATTAAATAACATGTAAATTAAAACATTACAATTCACTATGTCATCATACATGTTACCTATTGCTTATATTTGTTCTGGATCTTTACAGTCGGTCTCTCTACAGGGGACTGCTACCCTAGGCAGGCAAATACCACCTAAATGATTCTCAGAAAGCAGCTGATAGTTTAAAATGTCCTCCTCAGAGAGGGTAGGTCAGTCTACAACTTTCCTAGTTTTTTCAGTGTCTTGTTCTGCTTTTTGCAGATGATGTGGTCCTGTTGGCTTCATCAGTGATCTCCAGCTTTTGCCCCTTAGTACTAATTGGTACTAATTGATCACCATTGTAATGCCACATCCTACCTGAATATTGTTGCTGACTATGTCCATCCCTTCATGATCACAGTGTTCTTAGCAGTGTTCTGATGGCTACTTCCAGCAGGATAATGCGCCATGCTGGCCCATGCATTGTAGATTTTATTAATTTATCTCTACAATCTGGTTGGGTACCATCTGTTTTCAAACATGCAGTTATTGAACCTATCCTTAAAAAAACAAGTTTGGACTCATCTCAGCTTTAAAAAACAGACCCATTTCTAAATTACCCTTTATCTCTAAAATATTGGAAAAGGTTGTGGCAGATCAACTGATTCCTTTTCTGAAACTACAAAACAGTTTTGATAAATTCCAGTCTGGTTTTTGTAAACAGCATTCAACAGAAACAGCTTTGCTTAAAGTTTCCAGTGACATCATGATGGCTGCAGACAACAGGGAATTCACAGTGTTAATATTGTTAGATTTTTCTGCAGCTTTGACACTGTTGATCACAGCACCTTAGTTAACAGACTTGGTGACTCGGTGGGGATCTCTGGAACTGTTCTAGACTGCTTTAGATCGTACCTTTCTAACAGGAGTTACAGTGTCTGTATAAACCAAACCATGTCATATTCTACCGATCTGTTCTGTGGGTACCTCAAGGTTCTGTTTTGGGTCCACTGTTGTTTCTGCTGTACTTACACCCTCTTGGACAGATAATTGATTCTTTTCGTAATGTCTCTCTCTTATCACCTATATGCAGATGATATTCAGCTGTACTGCTCCTTTAAGGATTCTGAGTTCTACAAACTGTCTGAATTATCAGAGTGTCTATCAGCTTCCTTCAATTAAACTCTGAAAAACTGAATGTCTGATCATTGCCCCTGAGAGCATAGTTCCCCTGATTAGTCTAAATCTTGGTAATTTCTCCTCTGCCATCAAGATAAACTTAAGGAATTTGGGTGTTTTTGACCAATCGATGCCTCTTGAAGGCCACTCAAAAACATTGGTCCAAAACTGTTTTGATCACTTACGAAGCATCTCCAAACAGTGAAGATTGGTGTCAAAACATGAACCTGAAATGGCTTTCCATGCCTTTATCTCCTCCTGTCTAGATTACTGTAACACACTCTTCACATGTTTTAACAAAAAAAAAAAAAAAAAAAAAAAAAACTCGACCGCCTTCAGTTGGTCCAGAACTCTGCAGCAAGGCTCCTAACTAGAGCTAACAGAAGAGCTCAGATCACTCCTGTTCTAATGCCTCTACACTGGTTACCTGTTAACTTTAGAGTTCCTTTTAGAATCCTGATTATAACTTTCAATGCTCTACATGGTCAAGATCCTCCCTATATTACTGAACTGTTAAAGCCTTATGCTCCAACCCAGCCCTCAGGTCCACCCACCAGAACCTTCTAGAAGTTCCAAAGACCAGATATAAATCGCTCTTTCCAGACTGTTGCACCCCGACCCTGGAATGATCTTCCTTTATCCTTACGTAGCATTGACAGCCTGGACACTTTTAAAAAACAGCTACCCTTTTATTTAAATCTGCTTTTACCTAAACCTTTTTATTTTCTTATGTTAACTCAAATTTTCAATCATCTTTCATCTGTTTATGAAATGTTATAATTTTATGACTTTATTTTATCTGATGTTAATCTAATTCTGTTTTAAGATCATTATGATTTTATGACATTGTTTTATTTTGTTTTTATCCATGTGACACACTGTGATTCTATGTCTGTGATAAGTGCTATAGAAACAAAATTTACTAACTTACTTACAAGTCAAAAAGCTTGAATCATCTGACTAGTTTCTTGAACTTGACAATGAGTTCCCTGTACTCAAATGAAATGGCCTCAACAGTCACCAGATCCCAATCCAATAGAGCATCTTTGTGGTGGAACGGGAGATTCGCATTTCGTGCAGTCGACAAATCTGCAGCAACTGTATGATGCTATCATGTCAATATGGACCGAAATCTCTGAGGAATGTCTCCAGTACCTGGTTGAATCAATACCATGATGGATTAAGGCAGCTCTGAAGGCAAAAGGGGGTCCAACCTGGTACTAACTAGGTGTACCCAATAAAGTGACCAGTGAGTGTTTTGTCTGCTTGTCTCCAGTCCAGTAGGGGCGCTACCGAACCTGTGAACCAACCGGATCCGAGAGGAGAAGACCGTCACTGAACCTCTTCTACCATGGAGGTGCTGCGAGTGTTGGAGTTGTATAGTGGTATTGGAGGGATGCATTACGCCTTAAAAGGTAAATGTTGATAGTTTCCTCCTTCTGTAAAGGTGTTTTCTGGAGATGCGTTATGATAGTTTGTTGTTTGTTTTAGAAAAACCAACATGCTGACGTTCAGTGACTTGTGGTTATGGTTAAAGCTAGACGTAAGGTTACGGTTATGCAGGGTTATGAATAGATATCTTCTGGAGGTCGTTAGCTGTTCTGGTGATAGCTGAGCCAGCCAGCTTCCACTCGATAATTGACGTGCGCGTCGACACGCGGCGCTACGGTACGGGACGTAAAATTACGAGCACCTTTCAATAACAAAAGCGCACAAACGGTTCCTGTTGTTTCTGGATTACGAGAAAGAGATAAACACGAGAAAGAGATAAACACAAAATACTTCCTGCTAGGGCTCTATTCAGTCCTAAGAAAAAGTATGTGTAAAATGGTTTATAATAAAATAACAACCATTCATATCCAATATCTTCACGAGACGTTGAGAGTGTGTATGTGTACTTATTTAACTATCCTACTCAGGACCAAACCCGGCATATTCACAAATCTTCTGAACAGGGGCGCCTCCAGAAAATTTGAAAGGGGTGGCCAGACGGGGCCAAAAAATTATTTTGGGGTGGCACACCAAATTGGTCCTTGTGGTAATTCTGGGAGAGTTTGCCTGTGTTGATGCTCCTTTATTCATATTTTTTTTAACTGTACGTATCCAAAACATTTAACTTAAAATTTACAAACACAAACATTTCAGAAAAATACATTTCAGTTATTAAAATGTTATTTCAATTTTTATTTTAAAATGTATTTTTTTAGTTTAAGCCACCTGTTGCTGTCTTCACAAAAAAATGGAGATAAAAACCTTTTTTAAAATGGTGAGCAGCATTTTTTTTACTCATTAATTCTATTATTTTTATTTGCTTCTGTAGATGGTCCAGAACAGCACAGCTAGATTTTTAACAGGTACCAGAAAGAGAGAGCATATTACCCCAGTCTTGGCCATGTTGCACTGGCCCCAGATTCAGTACAGAATCAATTTTAAAGTTCTTTTATTCATTTTTAAAGCCTTACATGGTCAAGCTACTTTGTGTGTACGAGCTTCCTCGCGTACTATGATCGACCAGTTTTTGCTGGTTGCTCCGACAGCAAAAATGGAAACAAGAGGGGACAGAGCTTTCACAGTTGTAGGCCCAAGGCTGTGCCACTAACCATTAGGATGTCCTTCTCAGTTGAAGAAAAAAGGTTTAAGACACATTTTTACATTCTAGCTTCTAAGTGCACAGAATAGTAACTAGTGTTCTCATTTTTGCCTCTGTGTTCTTATTGTTTTAGTAGTAGTGTTTTAATAATCTTAGTGTTTTGTTTTGTTTTTATGTGTGTAGTGTTCAGCATTTTGGGTGTCCTTTGGATTGTTAAAAGTGCTTTACAAATAAAGATGATGATGATGATGACGATGATGATGACGATGATCGTGATACGTATCGTATCGCCATCTTTTCACCAATACACATTCCTAGTTGAATGATGTGGGTGATCAATGTCTATTCTTTGTCGCCTCTTTTGTCATACTGACTGTTTTCAGGATTATGAGTAATTCAAATAATTTATTAACAGACAGAAATTGAAATTAATTTTACAACTTTTTCTCCCCAACCCAGAAAGTGGTATACCTGCCCAGGTAGTGGCTGCCATTGACATAAACACCACAGCCAATCAAATATACAAGCACAATTTCCCAGACACCCCCATCTGGAACAAGACTATTGAGGTGGGTTAAATTAATATGAGAGCAAGGCGTGTCAGTTATTTGTGGAGATAACCCAGCAGGTGCATATGGCATGTTTGTGGTGTGAACTGGATGTCTGCTGCTCAGAGAAGCTTCTGTGGTCATCTGGTTGGAATAATAGCTGACTGTAAAGGAAAAGACTCAGTTTTTTCTCTTCTTTTTCAGGGAATAACGTTAGAAGACTTCAATAAGTTGTCTTTTGATATGATTATGATGAGCCCGCCTTGCCAGCCTTTCACCAGGTTTAGTGTGGATAGTGACACGCACACATGCACACACACACACACGCACGCACGCACGAGAGGCGTTTTCCATTGTACTTTTACTGTGATGCATCTCAGGCCCATTGACCAATGAACATTCTCCAGACTAAATGTTAAAAATGGGTCATTTCATCACTTTTCTTTAGTTTGATTCACCACCGTCTCATGCTACATCAGTAGACGTTGATCTGATTACATCAAACATTCACAGTAAAATAAAGTAAATACAAAGCCTGAGACGGGCCATCAGTCATTCCATTGCATAAACTACATTTTCTGTAGCCTGCACCATATTTTTCAGTTTTATTCCTCTGTAATGAAACTCATTAAAATGCTTAGCAGTAGTTGAAATACTTTCTTATGTGTAATGATTTTCTGTTCTCTGTGTATTTTTATGGATCAGTTTACCTATTTTCTGATTGGTTTTGTGATGTGTTCTGGGTGTTCAGGTTGGGCCTTCAAGGTGACATTTCTGACCCCAGAACCAAGAGCTTCCTCTACATCCTCGATCTTCTTCCCAGGTATTAACATATTCAACATCCATCCATCCATCCATCCATTTATTTTCATCCATCCATCCATCCATTTATTTTCATCCATTCATTTTCATCCGCTTATCCGGAGTCGGGTCGCGGGGGCAGCAGCCTAAGTCGAGAGGCACAGACTTCCCTCTCCCCAGCCACTTGGGCCAGCTCCTCCGGGGGAATCCCAAGGCGTTCCCTGGCCAGGTGAGAGACATAGTCCCTCCAGCGTGTCCTGGGTCTACCGTTAGGTCTCCTCCCGGTTGGACGTGCCCGGAAAACCTCACCAGGGAGGCGTCCAGGAGGCATCCTGAGCAGATGCCCGAGCCACCTCAACTGGCTCCTCGATGTGGAGTAGCAGCGGGTCTACTCCAAGCCCCTCCCGAATGACCTAGCTTCTCACTCTATCTCTAAGGGAGAGCCCAGCCACTCTTCGGAGAAAACTCATTTTGGCCGCTTGTATCTGCGATCTCGTTCTTTCGGTCACTGCCCAAAGCTCATGACCATAGGTGAGAATAGGAACGTAGATCGACCGGTAAATCGAGAGCTTCGCCTTCTGACTCAGCTCTCTCTTCACCACGACAGACCGGTACAACACCCGCATCACTGCAGATGCAGCACCAATCCGCCTATCAATCTCACGCTCCAGTTTTCCTTCACTCGTGAACAAGACCCCGAGATACTTAAACTCCTCCACTTGGGGCAGGACCTCATCCCAGACCCGGAGAAGACATTCTACCCTTTTCCGAATCAAGACCATGGTCTCAGATTTAGAGGAGCTGATTCTCATCCCAGCTGCTTCACACTTGGCTGCAAACCACTCCAGCGAAAGCTGAAGATCACGTTCTGATGAAGCAAACAGGACCACATCATCTGCAAAAAGCAGAGACCTGGTCCTCAGGCCACCAAAACGGATTTCCTTCACACCTTGGCTGTGCCTAGAAATCCTGTCCATAAAGGTTATGAACAGAATCGGTGACAAAGGGCAGCCTTGGCGGAGTCCAACTCTCACTAGGAACGAGCCCGACTTACTGCCAGCAATGCGAACCAAGATCTGGCACTGGTCATACGGGGACCTAACAGCCCGTATCAGAGGGCCTGGTACCCCATACTCCCGGAGTACCCCCCACAGGGCTCCCCGAGGGACGAGGTCAAATGCCTTCTCCAAATCCACAAAACACAGGTAGACTGGTTGGGCAAATTCCCACGCAGCCTCCAGGATCCCCCTAAGGGTATAGAGCTGGTCCAGTGTTCCACGGCCAGGACGAAAACCACATTGCTCCTCCTGAATCTGAGGTTCAACAATCCAACGGAGCCTCCTCTCCGGAACCCCTGAATAGACCTTACCAGGAAGGCTCAGGAGTGTGATCCCCCTGTAATTGGAACACACCCTGCGGTTCCCCTTTTTAAATAAGGGGACCACCACCCCGGTCTGCCAGTTCAGTGGGACTGCCCCCGATGTCCACGCAATATTGCAGAGCTGCATCAGCCAACACAGCCCCACAACATCCAGAGCCTTAAGGAACTTCGGGCGGATCTCATCCAGCCCTGGAGCCTTGCCACATTTGACCTATAGAATCTAGAGGCAGCCAACTGTTTAAATACACAAATGTGTATTTTAATAATGATGTTATTTAATTGGTGAACTTCTTATCCACTGTAGCCTTTGCTTTACTGAGTGCTACAGAAACTGTAGTGCTAGTTCTGTTTGTCTGATAGCTAATGGGCTCGACACAAGGGAGGCGACAAACGACCGCGATCAGCGAAATTTGTCGCCATCGCTTTTATTACCTGACACACGGGAGGCGACCCGCGGTAGCGGGCATCAGCAAAGCCGTTGGCGCGTTCTGTTCCATGGCGAAATTGAAACTTCTGTTGTTTTGTTGGCTGTGTCAGGTTGGAGGGAATTAAGGTTATTTAAGCGGTTCAGAGTTAAAAAAGTGGTAGATGTGATGTTTCACAAAGTGCTGTTAGAGTTATGTGAAATCTTACTTCTGATTTTACTATATAAAACATAATAATAATCAACTTCTCCTTCATGTTTGCTCGGAGATGTACGGAGCATCCTGTCCGCTCATTGGTCAGTGAATGAAACCTCCGTTGATTGGTCCTCGCCCGAGCGACAGCGATGAAAAGTTGAAAATGTTTCAGCTTTCTGGGATCACATCGCTGGGTCGCCTGTACATGTGCATGAGCGCAAAATTTCACACGCACGTTTTTCGCGTTTCGCTTGGTAGGAGGGAAACCCGCGATTATCGCTTTGTCGCGCATGTCTCATTGAAAATGAATGGAGGAGAGGCGATGTCGCCTCCCGTGTGTCGAGCCCATAAGGCTGCAACAACAGATCAATAAAAATCGATGCGTTGGTAATGCGTTTCGTCATCCATTTGTTGTGTTGTGCAACTTTTTTGTGTTGCGCAACCTTATTTTACAGTCAATGTGTGCAGCTTATTTGTAGACGGCAACAGAGCAGACTTATGGGCTTATGCTTGACGCGTCCGCGAGGTCCGCACGGCTCCGCGCGGCGGAATTGCGTCATTTTAACAACCACGCCCCTCCACCGCATCTCCGCACGTCCCAAAATTTCCGCACCGCGCACCTAGGAAATTTTCTAAACACGCGGACGTTCGGACGTGGAAAAACATGGCGGACCAGCAAGAACTAGTATGGCAGACGAAGAAGAAGAAGAAAATAACATTTCTATAGCGCCTCTCAAGATAAAAATCACGAGGTGCTTCACAGAAACAAAAAATATTAAAAAGCATTTAGAAAATGTTTAAAAATATATTTAAAATTAGCAAAAATAGACAATTGTTATTAAAAAAATGTTAAGAAAGAGTGAACAGGAAAGAAGGAAATCAGTGGATACTGAGGAAGGTGAAATAGGTGGGGAGAGCAGAATAAAGAGAGAGGGGTGAAGAAGGTCATACAAAAGCCAGCCTGAACAAGTGAGTCTTCAGCTGCTTTTTAAAGGAGACCACTGAGTCCACTGATCTCAGGCTCAGGGGGAGAGAGTTCCAGAGTCTGGGGGCCACAGCAGCAAATGATCTGTCACCTTTGGTCTTTAGCCTGGTGCTGCACAACCAGTAGGCTTTGATCACCGGACCTCAGGGACCTGCTGGGGGTGTAGAGACTAAGAAGATCACCAATGTAAGATGGTGCTTGTCCATGTAAGGCCCTATAGACCAGAACCAGGATCTTGAAATGAACCCTGAAGTTGACTGGCAGCCAGTGAAGCTGGAGGAGAAGCAGGGTGATGTGGGTGTGTTTGGAGGACTTGGTCAGAAGCCGAGCACAGGCATTCTGAACCACCTGTAGACGGTTCAGGGAGGTTCTGCTCAGACACGTGAAAAGAGAGTTACAGTAGTCTAAGTGCGAGGAGATGAAGGTGTGGATAACTGTCTCAAGTTCAGAGTGGGACAGAATGGGACTCAGCTTAGCAATGTTCCTGAGATGGAAGAAGGAAGAGCAAACAAGAGAACTGACATGAGAATCCAGGGTGAGAGCTGGGTCAAAGGTCACGCCAAGATTCCTGACCGAAGGTCTGGTGTGAGAAGCAAGCTGACCAAGAGTGTCTCTGACTTTGGGAACCAGCTTGTCTGGAGCACAGATGAGGATCTCAGTCTTATCTTCATTCAGCTGAAGAAAGCTCCCAGCCATCCAGGTTTTAATAGAGTCTAAGCAGGTGTGTTACAGCTGCAGCTTAGACATCTCATGGGGCTTAAAGGAGATGTACAGTTGGATGTCATCTGCATAAAGATGGTAGGAGATTCCTTTGAAGGAGCTCAGGTTGTGCTGAAGAGGAAACAGATAGAGGAGGAAGAGCAGAAGCCCCAGCACATAACCTTGTGGGACACCATGGGTAAGATAGGGTTCCAAATGAACATGATGTTCGTGAAGCTAAGAACATCTAAACTCTACAAGCAGAAGTCCTCACCAGTCACCATTCTGTTTGTTCTTAGCTGACTGCAGCGCTACGGAGCAGAACCGCAGCAGTTAGGTTCGGGTCTGCTCTGCTAAACACAGCAGCAGGAATGCGGCAAGCCACTGTAGCATATAATTTACACGCGTCTATTTGTGAACATAATTAAAAATGGATTATTGCTAACCCGTACTTAATAAATATGTTACCATTACATTTTTTGCATTAGAAGTTAAACATTATTAGCATTTCCAGTAACTTACTACTGAACATGTTAATGAAATACATAAAATTTTACTGATCATAGTTTAATTATGGATACATTTAGGTGATAGTATGTTGTCTATTGAACTGTTTTCTAATCATGTTTTGTTGTTAAATAAAGTAAAGAAAGGAGAGGAAAATGTTTCCCTAGCAGTTTTTTAATGTTGCCGTTTAATCCGATTAATCGAGTTGAGACCCCATCTGATTTATATGATCCAAATAATCGTTTGTTGCGGCCCTACTGACAGCTGGACTTTATGACTCTGGATGAATGCTGGAGTCGTGACTTGTGTTTTGTGTATTTATTTATGCCCGTGGTTGTGAACTTTTTTTCCATGTCCTTATTCGGCCAGGCTTAGCAAACTCCCACGCTACATCCTTTTGGAGAATGTGAAAGGTTTTGAGAGCTCTTCTGCCAGGTAAGCTGTTCACTGGTTGGAAAGTGTTTTGCTGCACCTGCACCATAATGTTATAATTAGCCCCAACGGACACAGGGAGAGAGCCTAAGTCTCCTCCCCTTCCAGTCAGGTCATGGGTCCCTGGAACAAAAAAAAAAAGGGAATGCAAGTGAACTGAGCTATAAAAGCTACTTTCTAATCTGCTTAGCCTTGTGCCCTGAATCATGCATATATTGTACTTCTTTTTAAATGAAAGGAAGTCATATGAGATTTGTCTATGTCTGTCACATACTTTGAGACTTGTTTTTGTAAAAAAAATCATAAATAATGACTACAAATCAGACGTTGCATATATGATGTCACTACAGAATCTCCCTAATATGCCACATGGCCAGACAGTTTCTTTAGTTTTCTCTGTTTAATGCTCTTTTATCCTGGAAGAAGAACAACAAAATGTAAATGAGATTAAATTTAGATAAAAGAAAATTAAAATTAAGTAATTAAAAGAAAACAAGGCAAAGAAATAAAAAAAAACAGAAACCAAAAGATTTAGGAGGAAGCCATTCTATAAAAATGTGTCTTCAACCTGCTCTTAAAGACTGCCAGTGATGGGGACTGTTTGATTGTTAGTGGGAGCTCGTTCCAGAGAGAGGGTGCAAGGACTTGAAAAGCCCTTATCACCACGAGTCTTAAATTGGGTGCGAGGGACAATAAGCAATTTCTGGTCAGTCGACCATAATGACCTTGAGGGAACATGCTTTGTTAAGAGCTCCGCTAAGTAGGTGGGGACACTGACTTGGAAAAATAAAACACAAAAAGCAGAATTTTAAACTGTGCCTGGTAGGACACAGGTAGCCGGTCCCGGATGTAGGCATGGGCAAGGAGGGGCAATGCCCCCCTAAAAATGGTGACTGCGTCCCCAAATGTGATGACGTAGAAATCCCGAATTTGAAAAGGTCTGATGAAAAAGGGTCAGGGAGAGTGATCTCTCTCTCTCTCTCTCTCTCTCTCTCTCTCTCTCTCTCTCTCTCTCTCTCTCTCTCTCTCTCTCCTCTCTCTCTCCTCTCTCTCTCTCTCTCTCTCTCTCTCTCTCACTCACTCTCTCACACACTCTCTCTCTCTCTCTCTCTCTCTCTCTCACACACACTCAAATTCTTGAACATCTCTCTGACTCAGTCAATATGATGGAGCGTCTGTCATGAGTGGGGTCAGGGGTGGGGTTCAGGGCTTACTGCAGAAGAAGGTAGGAAAGGATATTCCCTACATCCACTGCTACAACCACCAGCTGCACTTGGCAGTGGTCCATGCAATGCAGGCAGAGCCATGTGCAAAAACCTTTTTTGATCTATCAGGATCTCTACACTCATTTTTCCACCGTCATTATGTTTCGCAGAACTATGACGTTCCCTCCCTGAAACGACTGTTTGAGATCAGGTGTACAAGCCACCATGATGAGACCAAGTGCCTTGTGGAGAATCAGGATGCTATCATGAGTATCCTGTCAGAGGTTACAGAGGACAGAGCTGCTGCTGCTGATATCTGTACAGAGGCATCAGGACTGTTGGTGATGTTAAGGAGGCATCACTTCTTTGAAATAGGAAAATTCCTCTCAAAAGTTCTGGGTTCCTTGAAGTCTGCAAGTTCTATGCTGCAGTCTCACTCTGTTGACCTGTGCTGTGCTTCAGAAGTAGTCAGTGCATCTCTGCAGGCTTTGAAGCAGATGAGAGATGAGCAAAGTGAGACATTAACCAGCACACCTTCACCAGCTGCTAAAAGACAAAGAAAAACAAGCTCACTGCTAACAGGTAGTGTTGTAATGTCCACTGTGGGCCACGTAGAAGACTCCACAACTCCTAGCCAGGCTCTGAAGAGAGCTCTGCTCAACATTTTGGGCATAGTCATTGTAGAGATGGAGACAAGATTCTCCAAAAGCAATCTTGATCTCATGAAAGCCCTTAACTGCCTTCAACCTCAGTCTCCCTCCTTTCTGGATCCTGACATGTTAAGTCCTCTGCAGAAAATGACAGGAAGTGACAGTGAGAAACTTTCCAATGAGATTCTTGTTGCAAAACTAATGTTGGGGAAAGAGTTCAAAAAGACTGATGATGATAACAGTGTAGAGTTTGTAGACCTCTCCACCATTTGCAAATATCCACATGGGTATGAGAATGCCTTTCCTCGGCTCCATCGCATGTATGTGACCTCCCTTGTGACTGGAATATCAGCAGCATCGTGCGAGAGCTCTTTCTCCACTCTGTCTCGTGTTCTTACCCCGTTCCACCGTACTACGCTACATGAGAGAAAAAGAAATGTAGTCCTTCTGGCTCACGAGAAGGCCATAACAACAGGCCTAGATTCGTTAGGACTTTTGCACAGAAAAGCAGATGGCTGATGCTGTAATGACTGATAAAAGCCATAAAGAAATAAGAACAAAGATTCTAAAAAAATAAAATAAATAATTTATAAGTAAAATAAAAAATAAAATAAAAAATGGAAGCAAAGACAGATAAGACAGATAAAATAGATAAAAGACATAAAAAGATAAAAACATTAAAAATAGAAAGAAAGAGATAGATAGATAGATTGATTGATTGATTCAGCCCCAATAGGGGGCAAGCCAGTGCCCCATTTGTGCCCGTCCCAAGCCCGGGTAAATGCAGAGGGTAGTGGGGATTTGGGGGTATGTAACACCTGAAAAATTATTTCCCAGACCTGCCCCCCTGATATTCTACATGCACCCCTTTGTAGGGCTGGCTAAATCCGGCCCTGCTGGTAGCCAGTGAAGGGAGGCCAGCACGGGAAAAATGTGGTCCCTTTTCTAGTTCCAGTCAAAAATCTGGCTGCACTGTTCTGAAATAATTGCATGTGATGAACAAATGTCTGACCCAACCCAGCATAAAGGGATTTACAATAGTCAAGCCTAGAGATCACAAATGCATGGAGTACAAGCTCCAAGTGAATTCTGGCAAGAACCTAAATCTGAGATGCAGCTTGAGTGAAACATGATAAATTCCATTTTACATTCATTAACGTACAGGAGATTAGCTGCCAACCATGCCTTGACCTCATTTACACAGGTCTCAAGGGTCAAAAACGATGCTCCGTTCCCAAGAGACTGTGAAGAATAGATCTGGCAGCGTATAAGTGGAACTTAATGCCATGTCTGCAGAAGATGGACCCCAATGGCAACAAATAAATTGCAAAAAGCAGTGGTCCGATAATTGAGCCCTGCGGAACCCCCAAGTGCAGAGCCTCCCAGAATTTTTATTTCATACAGAACCTCCTATCATATACAGTGGGGCAAAAAAGTATTTAGTCAGCCACCGATTGTGCAAGTTCTCCCACTTAAAATGATGACAGAGGTCAGTAATTTACATCATAGGTACACTTCAACTGTGAGAGGATTTTTAAAGAATTTATTTGTAAATCAGGGTGGAAAATAAGTATTTGGTCAATAACAAAAAATGAACTCAATACTTTGTAACATAACCTTTGTTGGCAATAACAGATTACTATAGGTCTTTACCAGGTTTGCACACACAGTAGCTGGTATTTTGGCCCATTCCTCCATGCAGATCTTCTCAAGAGCAGTGATGTTTTGGGGCTGTCGCCAAGCAACACGGACTTTCAACTCCCTCCACAGATTTTCTATGGGGTTGAGGTCTGGAGACTGGCTAGGCCACTCCAGGGCTTTCAAATGCTTCTTACGGAGCCACTCCTTTGTTGCCCGGGTGGTGTGTTTGGGATCATTGTCGTGTTGGAAGACCCAGCCACGTTTCATCTTCAAAGCTCTCACTGATGGAAGGAGGTTTTGGCTCAGAATCTCACGATACATTGCCCCATTCATTCAGTCCTTAACACGTATCAGTCGTCCTGTCCCCTTAGCAGAAAAACAGCCCCAAAGCATGATGTTCCCACCCCCATGCTTCACAGTAGGTATGGTGTTCTTGGGATGCAACTCAGTATTCTTCTTCCTCCAAACACGATGAGTTGAGTTTATACCAAAAAGTTCTACTTTGGTTTCACCTGACCACATGACATTCTCCCAATCCTCTGCTGTATCATCCATGTGCTCTCTGGTAAACTTCAGACGTGCCTGGACATGCACTGGCTTCAGCAGCGAAACCTGTCTGGCACTGCAGGATTTGAGTCCCCGCCGTTGTAGTGTGTTACTGATGGTGACCTTTGTTACTGTGGTCCCAGCTCTCTGCAGGTCATTCACCAGGTCCCCCCCCCCCCCCCCCCCCCCGTGTGGTTCTGGGATTCTTGCTCACCGTTCTCATGATCATTTTGACCCCACGGGATGAGATCTTGCGTGGAGCCCCAGATTGAGGGAGATTATCAGTGGTCTTGTATGTCTTCCATTTTCTGATAATTGCTCCCACAGTTTATTTTTTTCACACCAAGCTGCTTGCCTATTGTAGATTCACTCTTCCCAGTCTGGTGCAGGTCTACAATTCTTCTCCTGGTGTCCTTCGAAAGCTCTTTGGTTTTGGCCATAGTGGAGTTTGGAGTCTGTTTGAGGCTGTGGGCAGGTGTCTTTTATACAGATAATGTGTTCAAACAGGTGCCATTAATACAGGTAACGAGTGGAGGACAGAAAACCTTCTTAAAGAAGACGTTACAGATCTGTGAGAGCCAGGGATTTTCCTTGTTTGAAGTGACCAAATACTTATTTTCCACCCTGATTTACAAATAAATTCTTTAAAAATCCTGCCATGTGAATTCATGGATTTTTTTCACATTCTGTCTCTCACAGTTGAAGTGTACCTATGATGTAAATTACTGACCTCTGTCATCATTTTAAGTGGGAGAACTTGCACAGTCGGTGGCTGACTAAATACTTTTTTGCCCCACTGTAGGTATGAATGAAACCATTGAAGAGCAGACCCAGTGATCCCCACACACCATGTCAAACGCTGCCGTAAGTTCCAGTAAAAGAAGTGTCACAGAGAAACCCTGATCCAGAGATGTATAAATGTCATTTAAGACCCTAAAAAGGGCTAATTCAGTGCTGTGTCCCAGCCTAAATCCAGACTGGAAAACCTCAAATAAATCAGATCGGTGGGACACCAGCTGCTGGTAAATAATCTCCAAAATTTGAGAGGCGAAGGAGAGGGTGAAGATTGGCCAAGAATTGTCCAGCACTGAAGCATCAGCACCAGTGTTTTTCAAGATCGGCGTCACCACTGCGGATTTCAGTGAGAATGGAACAACCCCAGCAGGGGCGGGGTGACAGAATGTCCAGAGAAGAGCCGGCTTCTGTCCTAATACCACCTTACTCAACTCAGAAAGGGATACAGGTTAATCATAAGCCACTTTAGAGCACTCTGACTGGAACAAAAGGTTTCCCTTCACATTTCAATAAAAATTGTATCAGAATCGCCCAACATTGATCAGGCTGAGTGGGTTATATCAGCTTGAACCTGCAGCAAACATGAATCTACAGGTTCTGGGTCTGCAGCCGGTGCAATTCACATGGGGGAAGTGGGGTTTCATCATATAATTAACCCCATACTGTTAGTTTAATTTCCAATATATGTACCCTTCCAGTGTTAACATGTAACATGAGCTCAGTGTCCCAGTGTTTCACGTCTGTTACCTGTCTTGTGTTTTCCAGGGAATGTTTGGTAAAAACATTGATGGAATGTGGCTACGACTTCCAGGAATTCATGCTGTCACCATCAAGTGTATGATATGTTTATGAATTTTGTCATATGCACTTAATGTTTGGTTAAATCACATTTATGATAATATTTAGGGCATTTTCTATTGCTGATAAGTAAATATTCGTGGTTTAGGTTGGGATTCCGAATTCAAGACTGCGTTATTTCCTTATTGGCAAGATTTCCACAGAGGAGTTGAGCATTCAGACCAGTTCAATGGTAAGGTTTGACAAATGTATCAAGGCCAACAGTTTAGCCGTCCCACTTTCCTAATGGGTGTGACCCCGCGAGGAAACCATTGAGCAGGGTTGATGGTTTATCCCTTGGGTCCACGTGGCAGTGATGAGGAGTGAGCACCACCTCAACCCTGCTATGTGGACCTCAAGGGATAAACATCAATCCTGCTCAATGGTCAACTTTCCTCACGGAGTCACCCATAAAGACAGTGTAAGAGTTAAAATAAATGTATAAAATAATGATGTAGTCCTAAGATGTGCAATTGATTTGTTCCACTTATTTACACAAATACTAATCATGATTTTGAACCTAAATTGCCTGATATCTTAACAGATTTTTAAAAAGCTGCAGACTTTTGAAACTTTTTTTTAATTCAACATATTATTATTTAACATAGCATGAAATGTTGGGCCGATACCGATATACTGACATTAATGCGTCTAAAATCAGCTAAATGAAAATTATTAAAGCTGAATTTACATTATTATGTACACACACCGCACACATTTACACTTCTGAGATAATTACATTCACTGATCACATGACTAAAGAAATACACACCACCCCTCTCTTCCTCTGAAACAGGCAAACAAATGGAGGCAAGATGGAAAATATATTGGTTGTTAATATCGGCCCGGTTTTATTTATCGGACTGATACGGATATGTTGAAAAATGACTAACATCGGCCGATACAGATATTGATGTCGATATATTGTCCATCCGTAATGAAAAAAAGTCTATGAATGCAGCTACTAATAATGGGTGGTATAAACTAAATATGGTCCGACCACTGGGTACGGAAAGTAATCAGACCCCCGTCAAGTTTTCACTCTTTGTTATATTGCAGGCAGCCATTTGCTAAAATCCATTAAATAAATGTTTCTGCAGAGTTATTAAAAAGACAACTGAAATATCACATGGTCCTATTATTCAGACCCTTTGCTGTGAGGTGCTTTCCATTTCTTCTGATCATTCTTGAGATGGTCCTACACATTCATTGGAGTCCAGCTGTGTTTGATTTCACTGACCTGACATGATCAGGAAAGACACACACCTGGCTATATAAGACCTTGCAGCTCACAATGCATGTCAGAGCAAAGGAGAATCATGAGGTCAAAGGAACTGCATGAAGAGCTCAGAGACAGAATTGTGGCGAGGCACAGATCTGGTCAAGGTTACCAAAACATCTCTGCTGCTCTTAAGGTTCCTAAGAGTACAGTGGCCTCCATAATCATTAAATAGAAGATGTTTGGGATGACCAGAACCCTTCCTAGAGCAGGCCGTCCGGACAAACTGAGCTACCGGGGGAGACGAGCCTTGGTGAGAGAGGTGAAGAAGAACCTAAAGATCACTGTGGCTGAGCTCCAGAGATGCAGTCAGGAGATGGAGAAAGTTGTAGAAAGTCAACCATCACTGCAGCCCTCCACCAGCCAGGACTTAATGGCAGAGTGGACCATCAAAAACCAGTACAAGACTCGTGAAAGTCTTCATGGAGTTTGCTAAAAGACACCTGAAGGACCCAGGGATGGTGAGAAATGAGATTCTCTGGTCTGAGACCAAGATAGAACTTTTTGGCCATTATTCTAAGCGATATGTGTGGAGAAAACCAGGCACTGCTCATCACTTGTCCAATACAGTCCCCACAGTGAAGCATGGCAGTGGCAGCATCATGCTGTGAAGGTGTTTTTCAGCTGCAGGGACAGGACGACTGGTTGCAATCGAGGGAAGGATGAATGCGGCCAAGTACAGGTATATCCTGGACCAGAACCTTCTTCAGAGTGCTCAGGACCTCAGACTGGGCTGAAGGTTTACCTTCCAACATGACAGTGACCCTAAACACACAGTTAAAATAACAGAGGAGTGGCTTCACAGCAATGATGTGATTGCTCTTGAATGGCCCAGCCAGAGCCCTGACTTAAACCTAATCTCTGGAGTGTTGTGGTAGATCTCTGGAGAGACCTAAAGATGGCTGTCCACCAAGGTTCACCATCCAACCTGACAGAACTGGAGAGGATCTGTAAGGAGGAATGACAGACAATTCCCAAATCCAGATGTAAGAAACTTGTTGCATCTTTACCAAGAAGACTCGTGGCTGTATTAGCTCAAAAGGGTGCTTCTACTAAATACTGAGCAAAGAGTCTGAATACTCAGGGCCATGTAATTTTTCAGTTTGTCTTTTTTAATAAACTGCAGAAATTTCTAAAAAAAATCAGTGTACTTTTCAATTTTTTTGGTCAATATGGGGTGCTCTGTGTACATTAATGAGGAAAACATGAATTTAATTGATTTTAACAAATATCTGCAATATACCAAAGAGTGAAACATTGACAGGGTCTGAATACTTTCCGTAAAAACTTTACATACGTCTAGCCAACAATAGCTTTTGACCTGACCGGCCTACTACTGTAGAGCTTGTTGATGAATTTCAAGTAGGGTAGAACCGTTTTAGGAAAAGGTTTTTATATATTACACAATGGTCTTCAACTCCAGCTTCAGCACAGTAATAATAATAATCCAAAGTGTACTTTTAGTGGCATGTAAGTATGATGAGAAAAGACCCAATAACAGTTGTGAGTGTGTGAACAACATTGGAGAAGCACCTTGGAGAAGTGAGACATCACACAACACCAAGACCTTATGGATGGAAAATCTAAGAGCTGATCACAGCAATCTCCCAGAGCAAGAACCAGTACATGTCACTGGCAAACATCTAAGAAAAAAGTCTGGAGTGAAAGGAACTTAAGACTGCTCTAGGTCCTGACATAATTCACACCTACTTGCTAAAGAACCCGACTGCTTTCCATAACTCCTTGCTGCACAGATGGACTAACTGATTAAAGGGCTAGGGTAATTGATAGGGAACAGCTGTAGTCAAGTAAGATTGACTCAATGTGTAACTTCAGTTCTAGATTTAACAGGGAGCAAGTTCTGCAAAGGGATACGCTTTTATACGTGTATCTTATGTGTATAGGGTATTTATACACATGTCACGATACAAGGTTTGTAGGACCCAAAATGCAGTACCCAGGATGACACGATGCAGAGATGATGAATTAGAAAAAATACTTCATTTTAAGGAGAACAAAAATAAGTCCAAAGGGAGCCAAAATCCAGATAACGATCTGGAAAACCCAAAACCCTAGAGAACACTAGAAGACCAAAAACCCTAATAATCCAAGACGAGAGACGAGACTGACAGAATACAAACAATGGACCGACAAGACACTGAGACAAGACAGGGCTTAAATACACTGGGGCATAATGGGAGGATGATGAGCTGCAGGTGTGAGGGGAGAGAACCAGGTGAAAGTGATAACTAATCAGGGAGGAGGAGCAGGAGAGGACACCAGACCTAACTGGGAAAGGACACACACACACACACACACACACGCGCACGCACACACACACACACACACACACACACACACACACACACACACACACACACCACACACAAAACTGGTATAATAGACCTATGGAAATTATGGTGGGGAGACTGAAAGAACACAGGACCTGAGAGGGAATATCTGGAGGGCTGAAGACCAGGGGACACAAGAGGAACACAAAGAGACACAGACCATGCAACACAGTTTAATCTGAATAAACTCATCTGGAATACTTTTTCATCACAGGTTCCCTGTACCCCTCCACCTTTTGCTGACTCTTCAGTCCTGACCTGCACATTTCCACATCCTGGCCAACCTGCTAAGGAAGAACATAGTAGTCACGTCTTGTATAAACGTGAGACGCCATCAGATGTTCAGAGGAAGACGAATCAGAATAATGACCTGTCTATCAAGCAGATACGAGACTTTCTGGAACCACTGGTGGAAGAAAACATGGAACGCTTTCTCCTTTCTCCTAAAACATTATCGCGTTATGGTCTTCTTTTGGACATTGTTCAACCCAAAAGCAGAAGGTCTGTCTGCTTTACCAAAGGGTGAGTTTAAAAAAATCTGTTGTATTTGATGACATAGATTTGCAGGTTTTGTTTGTATTTCTAGAGATCTTGTTACTTATAATAAATATTTGTCATTGATAAAAGAATGTAATACTAATAATTTTATTGATTAAAGGTAACAGGACCTAAAGTTTACTTCTTGGATGCTTTTAGTAACCTCTGCTTGAAGGCATAGGGGACACTTGAAGAATGTGGTCCAGTGTTCTTCTCATTTGTGCTACATTCTCAGTCACTCGTTTCTTCTTAAAGTTACCGTGTGTAGTTTCCTGGCACTAGGGGGCAGTACATACATACATTTCAGGGTAGTCTTACCATATTGCATGACTGTCGCTAGTTTAAAAATAACCTTACAGTAAATGTTAACTGTGTAGCAGAAAGCATGCAACCTCAGTGTGACTTCTCAGACTTTGATGGTTCTTCGTTTAATTCATCGAAACAATGCAATACCCTTTGCAGATTTCTGGCGCTGTAGTTTCCGGATCTGTTCAGGGTGCTGTGCCTGCCATTGACGTAATGTCTACAGCAATACCGCCTGGCCAAAATATATAGCATCCCTTTTTCAATTCTGTTCTTTCACAAAAGTTTTGGAAGCAGTTTAGCAGTTTTGTTATTAAAGTTGTGTTTCTTACTACCTAGATGTTTTTGATTGTAGTAACATAACTTCTGTAAGTCGTACTTGTCGTGTTTTGGGGAAGCTTTTTGACCCAAGATATACAGAATCAGCACACAGAACACAGTATATGAAATTATAGCCAAAAGAGGTTTGTTATAAAACTGAGGGAGCACCATCAAACAGAGGTGAGGCTAGAACCTGGAAACAGATACAGGTTCGTGCTTGGCTTGTAGCGGGGAATTGCACGAGACTATTGCTGGCTTGCTTGCTCAGGGCTTCAGGGAGCTCAGGAAGAGGAGAGGTCAGGTCTGAGTGGCGACTTGTGAGGCTCGGGTGTGGGGTCCAGGACGAGAGTAAGTGAGCGGTGGGGAGCGGGAGTTGGAAGGAGGAGCGAGGCGTGGTCCAGAGGTGAAGTACAGAATCTTTATGGATGGAAAGATGAGGGTAGCAGCAGGTATCCTGGAGGCGAGGTGAAAAATAAAAAGTAATTAATCACAAAGACTCTGAGACAACAAAATAATTCTTTTAGTTACTCGGTAGTGGCTAGAGACACCCAAGGCAGGTAATACCCAGATTGAAGAATCACTCTGCAAGGTGCTGTTGTCTAACTCCTCCTTCTATACCGGACCAGTTGATGGAAGATCAGCTGAAGCTGCCCGCTCCACGTCACCACCCACCTGTAATTAAGCTCTCCAAAAGGTTAGGGAGCAGGCCACTCACCCGACCATGACAGTACATCCAGTCAATCATCCAGTGTGATGTCTTAGACAGGCACAGGACCCGGAGCCGGCCATAAGGAAACATGGCATCTAATGAGTCGTCCCCCAAAGACTTTAAACCCGCTTCCTATGTACTTTAGACCCGATTTTTATAGTTTTATGGTATGAAGCTGTCAATTTTTTTCAACAACTGGACATCATCTTGTTCATTTTTAACATTGTTTCGATGGATATTTCCAGAGATCAACAGTGTAAACTACACATAGTCTCTTTAAGAAAACCCTACGTAATAATTTACTCTCTTTGTATTTTTGTATGTTGGGTTTTTGTAGCTATGGACGGTACGTGGAAGGAACTGGCTCAGTGCTTCAATGCTGCATGGAAACAGAGGTGGGATTTTAAGTACAGGAATCAACTGACCTTTATGCTGATAATAATGCTCTATGGATGTTTGGTTGGTTTGTTTTGTTGAGAAAATTCTTAGCTCTGTGAAAAAAAAGTGCTCTAAAATATTTGCGGACCTATAAAGCACTGCGTAAATACAGCTGCATGCAATTCCTGCTTCATAAATCCCACTCCTAGAAATGTGCTCAAGTGTTTTTGGATCGCATTCCACCTTCTACACACCCACTTTCTGCCATAAATAGTCAAAATGCAAAGCAACTTGTGAATATTCTGCATTTATATATGCTGACTCATCTGTGGCTTTTCACGGGTAACGACGGCAACTGAGTGATCTAGAAGACTAGGGCTGCAACAAACGATTATTTGGATAATCGATTAATTGGATGGGGTCTCGACACGATTAATCAATTAATCGGATTACATGGGGAAATTTTTAAAAACTGCTAGGGAAACATTATTTCTCTCCTTCCTTCACTTTATTAAACACAACTTTATTAGAAAACAGTTCAATAGCAGAAAAACAACATGCCATCACCTAAATTGTCTTATAAGCTGTATAGACAGAGACCCTAAGCTACACCTATCTGTGACCTAAAATGCTTGGTCCAAGTTAAACAGCTTAAAGAGCAAGTCAACCCCTACCAGAGTCTAACTCCACTCCCACTTCATGTTTGAAAAATGCAACACATGCTGTTGCCTGGCAGACCCGGAGCCGCTAACAAATACACACACACTCAGGCTCACGACAGCATTGTGACATCATAATGTACCTGTTTACATCATAGCATACTTCTTAGCCAATAGTGGTGGCAGATTTAAATTAAAATACAGTGCAGAGTTTTTACCTGACAACGGCACAACACTGCCAGTTTTAGGCAGAATATTTAAATTTTAACTAAGATGCACTGAGGTGCCAAATTATTGACGACACGTGTCTGCAGCACGATTAGACACTCGTTTATTTAGTTTATCAGCAAAAAAAGAGTTTATTTGGGGGTGACTTGCTCTTTAAGGGGAATTCTCATCTGTTTTGTTTGATCTCATCTGTAAACATTTATTATAACTGGGGATGTCAAACAACTAATTTTTAAATGTAATTAAACATAGGCTGTGAATTAATCAAAATTAATCACTATTTCCAAAAAAGACAGAAAAAATACCAAATAAAACAAAAGTAAATGAATGCCATCCTCCTTGCGATGATGCCCTGGGCAACTGCCATAAAGTCACATCAAGAAATGCTGCTGATCATTCCAATGATCCCAAACAGACTCACATTAGGCCACATGAAAGCAACTGAACCCAAAAATATATTAACCAGTAATATAACTGCACTCTCGCACAACACGCCTGCAGCAACAGTTAGGACGCCTCCCTCCCTTTTAAAAGCGTTTTCGCTTCTAAGGACATTGTGGTTGTAAAACCACATGCTAGTAGTCTGGCCCCAGTGTGATCAACCAGTTTCTGCGGGAATGTGACGGCGGAACCGGTTCGCAGCAGCGCGAGTCCCCCCCCTCCGCCCATCTAATAGCGTCGCGCTTACGATTTTATAGACTTTTTTTATGAGCTTAGGGCATGTCTAGCGTGTGTAATAATCCGGGGCTTGGGTGAATCACTTTTGAAAAGTTTTTAACTTACCCGGACACAGAGCTCTCTCCTTCCTCGCTGATGATTCTGACATGCTTGCGTTTAAGATGCTGCATCATCGCTGTAGTACTCCCGTGCCATGCTAAGTCTGACCTACAAACGTTGCAGGTAACGAATATCTTCACCTGATTTAACTGAAAATGCTCCCAAACTTTAGAAGTTTTTACTTTTTTTGGGTCTCGATGCTTCTGCCATGTTCCTCTTCCAAACACCTGCCGGCCCTCCGGTCTGCGCGCAACGGCTGGCGGGAGGGGAGGGGGCTTTTGGAAGAGTTGTGCAACACAACAAATCGATGACGCAATTCGTTGCCAATGCTTTTAGTAATCGATTTTCATCAAATTTATCGATTCTTTGTTGCAGCCCTATGACATAATTTTACTGAGACTGATGTTGAGGTGCTTGCATGGCATTTGTGTGTGTGTGTGTGTGTGTGTGTGTGTGTGTGTGTGTGTGTGTGTGTGTGTGTGTGTGTGTGTGTGTGTGTGTGTGTGTGTGTGTGTGTGTGTGTGTGTGTGTTAGCAACAACAGGTAATCATTAAAAACTGGTCTGTCTGTTTTTGCAGATGGAAAGTGTGTTCACAGGTCTGGACCAGCTGTCAGAGCAGGACAAGGTTGACCAGCTGTTAAAACTGAAACTGCGTTATTTTACTCCTAGAGAAGTAGCCAACCTCATGGGCTTCCCTGCTGATTTCTGTAAGTCAAGTTAAACGTGTTTGTATCCAAACGTGTGTTGTTGATTTCCGTTCAGATGTTTCAATGCTGGGTTTGCTTTAGAAGCGTTCATCATTTTTCCTGTCTTACTGAAACTTTACCAAAATGTGACTGAAGTTGGTGTTCTTTATTTGTACTTTGTATCAGTAGTCAGTATCTGCAGCTCTAATGTAAGTACTCAATTTGGAAAAATGATTGGTGCAAAACAAAATACCAGCAGCACTCGTGCAGCCCACTTAAGGACACTGCCACCACCATGCTTCACTGTAGGCACTATCGTTTCTCTGAAATCCTCACCTTTACGACGCCATACAGTTATGAAACCATTAGTTCCAAAAACAGTGATCTTTGTCTCGTCACTCCGGAGTCTAGAGTCCCAGTAGTCCTCATCTCTTTCAGCATGGGCTCTAGCTAATCCTAGGTGTGCTTTTTTGTGCATAGGCTTTAGGAGAGACTTCCTTCGTGGACGATAACTTCTCATTCTGCTATTTAAACAGAAGTCATCCTCCAGTTGCCCTGCCAGGAACTAGACAGACAAAACAGCAAAACTTGTTGCTCATTAATGCATTTTATACTTTATTTTACTTTTTGAATATCCATCGCTTGCTCTGAACAGTTTCTAAACTCGTGAATACGCCTTTTGCACACGCACATTGAAGCTTGAGCTTGCCAGCATTAAACGAGGGAAGAATTCATAAATTCGCAGAGTGAAAAAAATTAGAGGTGCCAGAAAAAATCGATTCTTGTCCAAGTTGAGATTAGTATTTATAAAGATTCTGAATCAATCTAAGTCGGGTACAAGTTGGTAGGCACATGCGTGGTGATGTGTAAAATGGTAGTGCCCATAGAGGAAACCAGAGGGTAGTTCGTGCTGCGCATGTGCGAATGAACATGTTGACGGCAGATGTCGCCTTAAAGTGACTAAAGAGTGAGGACAATAAAATAAAATAAAAAAACATGGCCCAGAGAGCCAAGAAAAACACTTAAAATGGATGAAAATGCTCCAGCTACTGGGGGCTTTGCCCCTGAGCCCCCACAGGGCATTTTCCCATGACCCCAATGGCCCCCACTCCCCTGGCCATTTTCAGGTTTTCTTCACTTAATCCAATCATATCCCTGTTCTTGTAAAAACTTGTTTTTGTCCTAAAGTCTGTCATTTTTCCACTCATGCAGTTCATGTAGCCAGTAGCACTCACCACAACTGCATTTTTAAATCTAATTAATTTGTGATTAATTGCAAGCTAACTATAAGCATCACGATTGATCACATGAATTCTTGATCATTGACAGCCCTAATTTGAAGTAATCCTCAGCTTTCCACAGATGAACTCTGGAGAAGATCTGAGCTTTGTGTTGTTTTCTGATTCTGGTTTATTGATCTTGCAGCTTTTCCACAGGATGTCTCAGTCCCTCAGCAGTACCGAGTCTTAGGAAACAGCCTCAATGTTGTTGTGGTGACTAGACTTCTGCAGCTGCTGCTCTCTGAACACTTTGGACATTCTGCAGGAGAGCAACTCTTTGCTTCTGAAGGTTCTGTAGGTAGTTCCCTTCTGTCCAGCAGGTGTTGAAGATCAGGACATATTTTTTATCTTTTATTTGTGAAGCCATGTTATGTATATTACAGACTGCTAGTATCAATTTAGTATTAGCACTCTGAATTACACATACATGACATATATATGCCATTAAAAGTGAAGGTTTGCTGTTTTCTCATCTTCTATTGAGGGATGTCTCTCATTTCTACTTTGTGCCTTCATGTTTGAGTCAGAAATAATGTTTTTATCCGTTTCAGTGCTGTAGAAATGTCAAACTACCAAAGTAAACCACAGAGTAGCTGAGATTCTCATCATCACTCACTTGTAAATGAAATCTTTGTAAGAACCTACACCTGCAGTTGTGTTTTACGTTTTAAGTGAGATGTGTGCTGAGAAGCCTCATCTGGTTGCGGGTGTCCTTCACCAATCTCAAGACCTGGTTAACCTTTACCAAGATTTACAGCTGAAACGAGCCATTAGGTAGCAAGAAACCCAAGATTTACAGCTGAGGAAATGAAAGCGGTGTGCCCAAACAAATTTTGTGTTATTAACCACATTTATGGGGGCGATGGTTTTGCTTTCTAAAACTGAAAAACTCCATGAAAGAGTGGGTTGAAAATAAAGCCTTTGTCTACAACTTTGAGGGTTTCCTGTTCAAAACAAATATTATGAAGTTATTATCAAATGTAAATGATCTGATTGTATTTTTGGGCTTTGATATAACAATAAAAATAGTTGATTCATAGTTGAAGTGTCTTAATTTAAATCAAGTGTGGCAACAATACTGAGCTAAAACTATTGGATTTTTTTATTGTTTACTCATTTTTCTGTCTGAACATATTTTTACCAGGAAGTTTAACCCTCCCACTGTCCTATTGGGTGGCCTACCATTGAGCAGGGTTGATGGTTTATCCCTTGAGGTCCATGTGGCAGGGGTGAGGAGTGAGCACCATCTCACCCCTGCCACATGGACTTCTAGGAATAAACCATCGATCCTGCTCAATGGTCAACTTTCCTGGCGGGGTCACCCAATAGGACAGTGAGAGGGTTAAGATAAATATAAAATCTTCAAGTACCTTGTAGGAATCCTAAAGTGGACAAAACTCACTTTTTGCATCTTTTTGTTCTACGATGTGGTTCTCTACTGCCTCATTGCAGACATGAATAAAAGCTATCCATCCATCCATTTTCATCCGCTTATCCGGAGTCGGGTCGCGGGGACAGTAGCGAGAGGCCCATCTCCCCAGCCACTTGGGCCTCTTCCAGGAGAATCCCAAGGTGTTCCCTGGCCAGGTGAGAGACATAGTCCCTCCAGCGTGTCCTGGGTCTCCCTTTAGGCCTCCTCCTGATTGGACGTGCCCGGAAAACCTCACCAGGGAGGCGTCTAGGAGGCATCCTGACCAGATGCCCGAGCCACCTCAACTGGCTCCTCTCGATGTGGAGGAGCAGCGAATCTACTCTGAGCCTCTCCCGGATGACCGAGCTTCTCACCCTTTCTCTAAGGGAGAGCCCAGCCAGAAAACTCATTTTGGGCGCTTGTATCCGCGATCTCGTTCTTTTGGTCACTACTCAGAGCTCGTGACCATAGGTGAGGGTAGATCGTCCGGTAAATCGAGAGCTTCACCTTCCGACTCAGCTCTCTCTTCACCACGAAGAATATAAACTACCCATCCATTTTATTTCAGGTCTTAAACTCATGAATTATGCATTAAATTAATATTAATATATTAATCAAATATTAGGAAAAATTACCATATCCCAATCCCCCCTGACCTGCCAACTGGGAGCAATGGTTCTGTGCTAAACCCCTCCTGGATATTCGAGCTCCTCGGCTCATCACAGGTTTAGTGTGGATGTGGCCAGCTGCAGCTTGTTGACAGCACCCTGAAACTGATCGTTCTGGAAGGTACTGAATTAGTCAAGAATAAAGCTACTGAAAATGCTTTTTGTAGGAGGGACTGCAGAAGACATTCATCTGGACATCTCCCCTTAGCCCTGTGAGATAAATTCACAGTGCATCCATCACCTTTTATGTATTGTTAAAATGCAATTATTCAATTTTCCCTCAATATTCTACACACAACACCCCAGAATGAGGATGTGAAAAGAGTTATTTTAAATTATAAAACTGGGAAATGAAATTTACATAAGTATTCGTAGCATTTGCGGAATACTTTTTTGATGCACGTTTGGCAGTAATTACAGTCTTTGAATGTGAAGCCACAAACCTGACTCGCCTGTCTTTAGTCAGTTCTGCTTTTTCCTCTTGGCAGCACCTCGAACCTCTCACCAGGTTGGGTGGGATGTGTTTGGAGCTCTGACAGGGACCGGAAACAGGGAGTCATGCTGGTTTTGAACCTTTCTGCAACTGTCCTCAGATTTGTGGCTTGAGACAATCCTGTCTCAGAGGTCTACAGACAATTCTTTTGACTTCATGCTTGGTTTGTGCTCTGACATGCTCTTAACGACTGAGGTACCATATCTAGACAGGTGTGCCATGTCCAATCAATTTACCATAACTGGACTCTAATTAAATTGCAGAAACATCTGAAGGATGATCGGTGGAAACAGGATTTCGATGGCAAGGCCTCAGTTTTTTATTTTAACATTTTTTTCATATGTCATTATGGGGTGTTGTGTGTAGGAACACAAAAGCATCTGTCAAAAGTTCCCAGATGCACTATATTTGTGGTGAGAACCCACTGCTAGACACACACACACACACACACACACACACACACACACACACACACACACACACACACACAGTCCGTATCCATGCATTTTCTACATCAGTTTAGTCCAGTTCACTTACAGGAAGTTGTGTGTCTGTGGTTATTGGCTGAGAGGCGGAGCTACGCCTGGACAAGGTCATCGGTCCATCACAGGGACCATTTTGTTGCAGTTAAACTGTGATAACTGCACCAACATGCAACCTGATAACCCAGTGCTTACATATGCGCCCAAAGTCAAATTAAGCAGATTACTCATCTCCAAGAATCATGTGAGAGGCCTTCTCTAAATAATAAACCACGGTTAAATCCTAGTAAAGTATAATAAATAAACCAAGGCTGTCCTGCCTCAGTAAGCGGAGACGTTCTTTATGGCTGCTGTGTTGGGTCAAAGTCTTAGCAGCGCATACTTCTAGGGTGGCAGGATGTGAAACCCTGGCATTGGTGATCAGAAGGTTCCAGATATACTTCCCCATGGCTGGGATGCTGCAGCTGTCATGGCTGCTCATCTTCATCGTCGTCCTAGTGGAGTTGCAGGGGGAATCGAGCAAAGCTCAAATGGCACAGTGAGTAATTTACGGAGGGGGAAGATGTAAAATTAAATTAATGACATCATCATTCACGCTTAACTATTCCTCATGTTACTTTGATGCTATGCAATAGGAAGTATGTCAGACCAAAAAAGCTTTTTAAGGGCACCAGCGTGTTCAATCCTGATAATACCAGACATTTTCTAAAAGTTTAAACATTTATTGGTTGGTTACATTTTATTGTGTTTAACAATGATAAAAAACAGAATAGGCATTTACTGCTTATTTTACTTAGACTGACATAGATGGATTCAGCATGAATCCTGTAGAAGTCTTGAAGGGTCTGGGGGAAAATAATAGCCCTATCACAGATGCTCCATTCCGAATTTTGAGTTTAAATATTTCCTGAGGAACGTGGGTTGACAAAACTTGCTGAATATTGATGAATATTACATTTTGCAGGCCTCGCATGACGTCAGACGATGGTCATCTTGTCTTCGTAACTGGTGACAGCAAAGATATCCGGTTTCAACCTTCAGCGTCGGGCCGAGTTAAAGTTGGTGATGAAGACCTCTCTCTCCTTCTGAGTCAGGTGAGATTCTGTAGCCCCCGGTACAGAAGACGACACACCACCGGGTATGAATCCAGTCAATAATAAACACAAATCAATAACAGGTGTCAGAGAATATTTTTGTCACGCACTTTGGGATGGCCGACTTTTTAAAATATCATTTTAAGATGAATATGTTTGTGTACAAATGAAACACATTCCTAGCATCTATAGCTAACACTCCCCGCTACAGAGCGAGCTTCTTACTGTTCAGAAAACGTTATATTAGGTTTGACTTTTGAATGAAAACACGGAATAGACGTGTCTGTTTCGTGTGCTCTTTGAATGAGATTGTGAGTCTTGCAGGTTTTTTATACATCTAAATGAAGATCTCACTAAAATATGTGATTACAACCTTGAAATCCTGCTTCAGATGATCTAAACGAGTGAAAATAGACAAAACGTTCTCATCGCATCGTATCAGCTGTTTGCTAACATTAAATCCAGCTGCTTCTCATGTGAGCGAGTGAATAATTAACAGGCAGTGAAACTACAGATCAGCTGCCTCATGACCATCGCTGGAAACACCGGCCTGTCTGCACACCGTCTCTTTAATAATACATTTGTCACACTTTTAAACTGTTACACAGTTTAGCCAGATACATGTTGATGACGTCTCATTTGACCACCGTCTGAATGTTCTTGTGTTTATTCTGGGCAAAAGGAAAGGGTGAAACTGAGTTGATCTGGAAGCGGACAAAGCTTTGAGAGGGAATCGAAATAAATAGTACTCATGTAGGGCTGCCTTTTGAAGACATTATACCCGTTGAGGCGAGATCTCCTTGGATACATTAAATCCTGAGTGTGTGAGCTGGAAAGATGCAACTGGTCAGCAACAGACCAAATGTTTTCCGTCTGTGTGTGATCACAAATACAGAATCACCTACCCAGGACTTTACACACACAAGCTCACAGGTTCCTAGCTGTTAATGATTATTTCCAGTCAAGACGTGAACAGGAAATCGAATATTAACATCTCCAATAGAACCTCCAGTTTTTAATGAACCGCAAGTTGCATCAAAGATTAAAAAAATAAAATATGTCGTCAGTGGTGCTGCAGGCGGACATTCAGACAGTGAAGTGGAGAGCAGAGCAGCTTGTCCCTCCAGCTTTCAGACAAACACTGAGGATGTCTGACCATCCGGTGTCTTGTCCGCTAACAAGAAATGTTTATGAAAGACTGATTTGTCTTGGTTTGGACTTTAGATCAAAACCA